AAAAGTAATTTTTTTTCTAATTTGTAAATTGGCAACAAAGCTGTAAAGGCCTTTCACCATATTTAAGGTTAGATATAGTGGGGAGGATTGGTTTGTCATTCGCCGGTTGAATTAAAGTAGGCTAACTGCTGTTAGTAGGATAGTGTTATCAATTATCAATTGTTTTTTAATTTTTATTTGTATGTAATTATAGAACACTGATAAATGTATTATATTGTGATATAATCATGTAGTATTGGCTATTATAGCCTATAGGTACTGAGTAAATTAAATTTATTCTGGGGACTGTAATATTAATATTTTATTTGCATTATTATGTATTGCATAAAGAGTGAAGACTATAATTTTTCTAGTTTTCATGGTATAATTTATTGATTGGTATCGACAAAATTCACGTTTATAAATTATAATTGTTTATTATTAAAATTCAAAATCAATAATTTATTAGAGCAAGAATAAATAAATAAATTATGATTTGAGACCATCGACCATCGACCGACGTGCGCCGTGCGTACCTTTTATAAAAAAGTAATAATATTATGATTTATGATGAGTAATAAGTTACCTATTAATTTATTATTATGATGATGTTACATATCAATGCGATATGCATGAATTAAGATAATATTGTTTTATCTTATTTATATAAATTGTATTACATCAATTTTCTGACAAAATGACAATAGGAAATATCTTTATATTTTGTTTTATATTATATTTTTATAGGTATCTGTGACCTTTCACAACTTACTACAGTCAAATTCGCTTATTACGATCTTCAAGGGACCAAAAGAATTTGATCATTATAACCGAACTTCGTTATATCCGGATTATAAAATGTAACAACACATAAGATATAAAACCAATCGTATTTGATTGGAATCGTTTTACCCGGAATATCGTTGTAAATGGCATCGTTATAAGCGAATTCGACTGTAAATTGTATCTATTTTTTTTTTTTTAATATTTCAAATTACAAAATTGCAATCAGTAGACAGCAATACTGAATATATTTACACTACTAGAAATAGGTACATAAATATCTATTTCTGCTAAATATACTTCAGTACCTATTTCTATTAGTTAGGTCAAATACCTGGTGCCAATAGAAAATACCTAAAAGTTTTATTGTATTAATGGTAAGTGGAAACTAATATTAACATTAACCTTTACTATATATTATATAATATATATAATATATATACCATATTACCACTGTTGACTGTTACTAGGTTACCTAAACAAAAGTTATACAGCTATAATTCTGTATAATATATTAATATATACATGGACGCCCATAGGTAATATTTTAGGAGGGTCAAAATAAAATATGTTCGAATGTAAGATAATAAAGATTTAATGTTATTTTTCACATATAAATGTATACACTATTACACTATACATGCATGTTATATTTTTATTTGTATATATATATATATATTGTATTAATAATAATTGTCATACGAATAAATAAATAAATAATTAAATAATAATTTTAATAAGTATATAAAAAAATAGAAATTAAATAATTTAATTATGTATATTATTCTGTATCAGTAAATAAGAACTGTAAATTTCTTCGTTTTATTCCAAACATATTAATGACATCCTGAATGAAAGTATCCTTGTTTGCGTTAGGTTAAAATATTTGTAGTACCTATATTGTGATCTTTATAGATTTACCACAAATTATCTGCGATAAATAATTTTACGTATAGGTTATACGGACTACAGAATACGACCTATCTATGATGTTAATATACGATAACAATGAGTATATTTTTATATTTATTTCATATCTTAAAAGTGATTTCAATGAATAATTTGCCTCGGTAATAAGGTAATATTGTGGTAATATTTTTTTCCAGGAGGGGCAAGTTCCCTGTCTTGCTCCCCCCCCCCCCCAATGGGCGCCCATGAATATATATAACATAATTCGTATCTACTGAGTGTAATCGGACTTTTCACCATAACTCATAATGTTTATAATTGTATAAAATACGTTTTTAGGTTACTTTAGTCTTTAGGTATACTTGTAAATTATAATTAAGAACAAAATATTCATTTCATGAAATGGAAACCATTATTTTTCATTTAATTTTTTTTTATTTCATCTATGTACATTAAGAAAGAAACTACTTATTCATTAGCAATAAAGTAGAGGAGTGTCGATTACCCGCACTAATTGGGACCGATGGGGGAACAGATGATCGATTAGTAAATAATGATTAAAAATAGAATTTAAAAATTAAAGTACAGTATGTACCTATAACGTATTAGTGTATAATATGAAATTATTATACATGAATTTTTAAAAGTAGATACGTACTATAATTAATTTAAAATTTAAAAATATAAACATACATAATATAAAATAAGCATTCATACATTTTTGTATTTATTTAAAATAATAATTATTTTGTTTTTTAACGTTTACAAACCAACTAAATATATATTCTACAATAAAATGATCCGTGGTAGATAAAAAACCATACATTTTTTTTCTGTTTTTTTATTTTTAATTATATCTATTATAAAAAAAAAAAAAAACTAAAAAAAAATCGTAAATTTTACATATCTATATAAATTGAAATTTTAAAAATAAAATTATGTATTATGTATAGAAAATGTCAATATAAATATTAAAGAAAATTTGAGTACCTAGGGTTATTTATTTTTTAATTGCTTGTACGTATATTAAAAAATTGATTTTGATGAAAACTGATTTTGCGTAAAAATTCTCGTTTTTCTCAATCATTGAGAAGATAACTAGCCAGTTTTTTCAACTTCCTTCTTAAATTATCAGCAATATTCACTTTTCTACCCCCAAAAAAGATTTTGAGGTTGTAAATCTAAGCATTTTTACTGCTTTAAATTTCAATAGATGATAAATGATAAAAGACACAAACATATTATGAAATCATTACATTTATTATTTTGGTCAATGCTCAGAATTTAAAATAACATAAACACATTGAATTTTTGAAATATATTAATTATCCTTAATTCGTGGAATAGAAATTATTCATATATCCGTGACTGACTTTTTAACAAATGCGATTCCTGTATCCTATGGTAATCCCTTAATACGTTTCCAGCGAAAATGGCGCAGAAAAAATATTATTAACAAAGTATAGAAACTTTTATTCAAAAACATAAATTAAATTGAGTTCATGTTAGAAAGTATATAGTACTAATAGCTAATCCATTCTCACACACCGTAAAAATTCTAAACTTTTTTAGTATTATAATACTATATATTTATGTATACTGATAGTAAATTATTTATTTTCTATCTCTTTGAAAAAACTTCATTGTAGCGTTATAGGAATTCAACATAGCACTGTTTGATATATAATTTTAAGTTTTTGAACTTTCATGGAAGATATATTATAATGATTTAGATTTTTTAAGTTTAATATTATATAAAATCCTCGTTATCTATTTGCTTGACTGTGTCATGTCAAATTGAAGCTTTCATTGTTAGATTTAGAGTTAGTAACCTAGGTCCTAGATACAACAATCAGTTATGACACCACACTTATCTTCTACCTACTCTACATATCTGACATGATATATCATTATCATATAATATCGAGTACACAAAAAAATTAATCATGTATTGAAAGAAATGTCACAATTAATTTTTATTCTTTAAAAATAATTTTTAGATTAATAAAAAAGTATTTAGATGTAAAAAAAATAAATAAATGAGAGCTCTCTCAAATAGGATATTCCTAGAGTTAGAATATTTTGATCCTTTTAGATGTATAGATTATCACCAAATTTAATATTCAAATAACTTAAAGCTTATAATTATGGTGTTCTTTGCAATAAAAAATCGAATCATAGGGGAGAGACCTCAATATGCTTTTTGAGAGAAATGATTATTATTTTTAATAATTTTTATTTGATTTGTGTCTTGTAATTTGTATTTTAAATTGATAAAAACTAATTATTTAATAACTATAGTAGTATTTTAGAATATATCATTATTATGTAAAATTAAAATAGTCAATAGATATATACGTTTTTATTTTTTTAATCAAAGATAAATCTGTACATATTATAAATAAATACAATACAATTTAATTTAGTATATACAAATAGGTAGTGTTAAGTGATTTAAAATGTTTTAATATAATATTATTAAACTTAGGTACATGTATAAATTACTTTAAGAAATTATTTTTAATTCTCGTAGACAATTAAAATATACATAGGTAATTCAATGCTCTAAAAAATATGATAAAATATAAAATTAATTAATAAGTGTATAAAATATAATTAAAAATGTAGGTACAAGTCCCTAACCTATTCATTATTAGAGTTAAAGTAGAAAGCATTTTTGAATTACTACCTTTTATTTTTAATATATTTTTAAGTACTAAATAAACTGCTTAAAATAAATATAATTAGTGAAAATACTTAAGAAACTTTTTTTTATGAGTATATTTAAATAATACTGTTCTTTATATGATTCAGAATCGGAATATTTCAATAAAATTATATATACGTTATTTTTTCTTGTATATAAAATTAATAGATTATTACAAAAAAATTAATATTTTTTAATCCTTTGAGCTAATCTTTGAGTATCTTACGCTGCCTAGAAAGTTTCCTCATTTTGTTTCTATTGACAATGGTTACTACTTATAAATTATAATACCTACTACGATTACTATTATATATGTTTATCGAGAGCCTTTATAATTAAAAATGTGTTAATACTTTGAAAAGTACGTAAGAATATGTTTTAAAGATTGAAACTATATTATAATTTATATGATGAATACAGAATGTTTTTTTAGGGTAAATATATTTATAATAATTTTTCTTCATAATAATATATATATATAATATAATATAATAATTCATATAAAACATTAAAAATCAAGGTATCCGTCATTATCGTTTAATATTATGTGGCTGCACTGTAACGTTCGTTGGCCCTCTCCTTCTTGTTTCCTTACAACATGACTACAGGAGTCTGCAGACTGCAATGGCAGTCGTCAGATGCCATAGTCGTATACGTATACTTGTTCCATTTTGTTGTGCTGGTCGTTTGTTAGGTAGGTAGCAATAGTTTCGCGTTTCACCGTTCATTCCATTAAGTGATTTCTGTAGTTCGTCATCCGTTTTAAAATATGTATTAAACCTGTAAAGAATTTAGTGCGAAATTTAATTCAAATATAATTTACGCATGTGTATAGAATAAATAATTAATTCGTGTGTTTGTGATATTCGTGTTTATAAAGTGACAATGATGAAAACTGCAATGATTTACTACAAAAATATTGGGTAAATATACATACCTACCATATTATTATTATATGTTTTGAAAATATTAACTGTAATAAATTAATTGAATATGTAGCTTACTTTATTTCATACAATATTAACTAAATGAGTTTAAATAAAATAGGTTTTAAATTTATAAATTATTATCGTGTTGAGTTTAGATATTATACGTATTTACTACGCACTATAATACATTAATATATGTTTTATATGTTATAATATCATATGCAAATAATATATACATATACATACACACATACATATGTATATATGTATATATTTGTTTAATAATTTGTGAGTAAAGTTTTTGTTTATGATTTTATTATGTTATCAATAGAATGAAGGTATTGTTTATTCTTTACTTGAATATCATATAATTTTATAAACTTAAGTATAAAGATTAAATGTGCATTTCACAACCAAGATGGTTTAATTAATTTAATTACTTATACTATTAATATGTTTTGAACTAATTAAAATTGTGAATTTGCAATAGGGATGGAATACACTAATATAGAGATGCCTAATCATCCAAATCTAAAAATTCGCTTTATTCTTATTTAAGGTGTCATTAAATACCTTCACAGATACCTATTATTATTTTCAATAAATAATGTACATTTTTGGACATTAATACATCTTAATTTTTAATATTTTTTAGATACTTACCATTAAATATTAACTTTACAAAGACGTATTTTAATTTTTTTTTTAATCGGATATTTCCCGTCGAGTATTATCCGCGATTTAAATACAAATAGTTAGAATAATTGAAATAAGAAAATTATTCTTCTTTTCAACATAATATGTTTAATTTTTTTTTTTTAAATTTACTTAATGTCATTGATTTTGATAACATATCATCGGTATTTTTCTATTTTTATGCCTGGGCGAGCACAGTAACAAAAACAAATACCAGGTTATTCGACTTCGATATCGTTTTTAGTTTCTTTTTATTTATTTAGTGATCTAGCTTTGGAGGTTTTGAACATTAAACTATTACAATTTGATTAAACGTTAAAAAAACATCATTTTAAGGAAGAAATATTCAGTGCATCATGATGGACGGTCAGTTGGAAAGACTCGAGTTAATGGTTAAATCATAGAAAATTTTGTAGATAATATACTAAAATTCCTTTGTCTGATATTTTTTTATGATTCTTACACAGCTTTCTGACAGTGGTTTACCTATTGACCCAAGATAGGTTTTTATTTTATGTTTCGTGCATTTTATTACCATTTAAGGTATGTATAAATTATAAATAATAGAATTTTTTAACATAAAAGTGCTTCAAAAGTTAGATTTTAAAATTCGATTTTATATGATTACCTCTTTAGTGTACCTTTTTATTTGTTATATTTATTATAATATCAGTTTCGTGCTTAAATGGATCGATAAGGTCATATTAATGGGTTCTTTGGATTATTTATTTCGTAAATATAAAAAAGGAAACAATAAATTGACAACAATGTTTTATTATTATTTAAATTTGAAAGCGATTATAAATCTTTACATTTGAGTATTTTACAACAAAAGTGGCGTGTTCAAGGGGTAGTTTTTAGATTACAACTCTCCCTCTCAACCATCATGTGTCTATAAGAAGTAAAAAATGAATATATCCTAATGATCCTTCCCTGTTTTTAAAAAATCCAAGCACTCCATTATATAGCGTATTTTTTTAACATTTGACTTAATTATTACATAGGTATATTTGACGTACATCATATAGTATACTACTATATCTAAGTTTTTTATAATCCTTTTTCTCATATAATTAATAATTTTAGGGCTTAACATTAAATTATAGTATACTATAATTTATATATTTATTTATCTGCTATCATTATTTACATTTAATTCATTTCGAACATCTTTACTCTAACTTAATGAAAAACTAACAATTTAAAAATTACGTATTTATTAAATACATATTAAATACAAGTATGAAATACAAATTATTAAAAGTCAACATGATTTGATAAACTATGCTTTCTGTTCTGTTTGTAGTTAAAACATTAGTACTAACAATAACACTACTACTATCTTTTAGGTGATGAAGCAATGAGATGAGATAGTGTCCGATATAACTTTACATTATAATGAAATATTAATTAATTGTTAATATCAGTATAAGCTAATAGTTATTTGACGAAATATTTCATTGGATAGAATTGATAGAAAAAAAGTTTATTTTAATTCTAGCATATTTGTATACTGTTTACATGAAATTTTATTGTTGTCATACAAAATAAATGTTGGTAATACCAAGAAGACATACTGTTTAATTGAGTTCAAAATTATCAAAAGAACTATTAAAATAATGTTATTATTTTGATTTAAATGATTATTATCAATTAAATAATAAATATACTTAAAATCATTAACTAATAGCCAGTTGTCATTAAATATATTATTATAAAAATATTAAATATTTAAGTATATATTATACGCAATATACTTAGATATTCAGTATACATTTATCATTTAAAAAACAAAAATTTTTATGTCAGCTTAATACTATATTTATATTATATAATAATAAGAAATAATGAATAGTAATGGAGGATACCGAATTGCTGTGATTATTATCAAAAAAGAACGTTTGTATAATACCAAGCAAGTCCATTCTCTTTGAAATATTATATTTTTACATACTAATAAGTTATAAGTATATACAAAAATATTTTTTAAGACTAAAAAAATAATACCTATTATAAACCAAAATAAAAATAATAAAATATTTACTCAGGTTATTTGTATAAAATCATTTCCAAATTATGTCCACATAACAATTCGAATAGTTGTTTATTGTATTATAGGTAGTAAATATTATGTTGGGCTCCCCGTTGAGTTCTAGACCGATAAGATTTCTCCGCCACGTGGAGATTACTTGTATTTAATACAAGGACGTCCCTTGGTTTTTTGAATAATTCGGTTTTGAATTTTAAATTAAGGTAAAGATATGTCTGGAAACTATCACATATTGAACAGCAGTAAACCATAAAATAAAATAAGAATTAAAAAATGTATAAGGAAAAAATAACAATGATGCATGATAGAGGTTATTACACATAAATATAAATATATGATGCTCTTTTCAAAATAAAAATTTATTAATTAATACAATATAGTATTTAGTAAAAATGTATTTTAATTACAAGTTAAATAAGTCTTTGAGAAAATGTAAAATATATGTAATAAGACTGCTGTGACTCAAATAAAATAAAAGGTAGATTATATTTAGTATTTTATTTTTTTTTTATAACTGCAATATACGCGTATTTATTAACTTTTGTAAGTTATATTCTTTTTTAATTTGATAATATGTAAAAAAAAAAAAAAAATGAAAATGAAAAATGAGAAATTATAATAATTATCTACAGTTATTAAATATAAATTTATTTGAGTGCTTAAATCACAGACATTTCATAAGATTTTCTAAAGACTTGAATTTTTAAAGTCTCGTTTAAAGTTACTAGTATTAAAGTGTAATTGTCTGTTATCAATCATCATGTTTTTAGTAATCGATTATAATTATATTCAAAATAATATACACTTTTTTAAATAGATTTATTTAATATTAAAAATTATATTTTTATGGGGAATTATAGTTATTTCGGTTTTTGAATAAATAAAAATTTAAGTAATATCATTTTTGTAAAGAGTTCAATAATAAACTATAAATATTTATTTGAAAATTTAATGAAATAAAGACAATTTATAATTGATGTATAAAGAATTATTTTAAAAATAAAATTTTATGTTAATACAGTTATTGATGACGAAGGCCCTAAATAATTTTTCTTCGTATACAATTTGTTACCTATGTAACTAGTTAGATGGACACATCTAAAGTTCTTTAAGAAATATTTTTTTTAAATTTAGTTTAATATTTAGGCTCAAAAATTTAATAGAATAGTAGTTTTGCTTACATACACAAATCTTTGCGGTTTTCATTGTGGCTAGGGCGTCTTATCGTGAGAATACTTCTAGGAATTTAACTACTTAATCAAGTTATATCCATTAATTTTCTTTTTTTTTTGAAAAACTCTATATATGTTTTTTTAAAGATGTTAATAGTTATTATTTTTTCCCACAAATTGGTAATATTTCTTGTTTTGTAATGAAAAACAGAAGAATACGTATTTAGATAATTAAAATGATGAGTGTAATCTCATGATATTATAGAAGTACAAAAACTATAAAACGATGCATAATGACTTCGAAGGTGGGAGACGCAATATTTTCAATTACATATTTATGTAGGAAATAAATTAAACTATTTTGTTTATTATTTGTAACAACCCATGTAGAGTGCATGTAAAATTTGAAACACTTGAGCTTTCAAGTAAATTACTGTGATGGCACTATATCAGTAATTCGCAGTTCACGCTAAATCTTCAAAGTTCCAACATTAAATAATATAATCATTTTTATCAAGTTGTATAGGGATTTACAATTTTTATATAGTTAACATATAAATGTACGTTGTAAACTTTATAAGAAAAAAAGTTGATGGATTGTTTAATTCTCTAATCTACGAAAAAACTTCAGATTTTTATAGACAACAATTCCAATCAATATTTATTATCATTCGTGTATTTTATTAATGAAATTATTGACAGAACTACTTATAATTGTATTAGTTATTATTTTGTTCGTCCAATAGTACATATTTTATCAATAAAAATGAGTTATTTTAAATTGATATTTTTGTTTGAAAAAAATCCAAGGTTATTTGAACTCCTAATTCCATCCCCTGTTTACGTCCTTAAGTTAGTTTTAAATAGGATGTGTAAATATGTTCAGAATACAATGTGTAATAGGTACATTTTGTTTTTACGGAGGACACTACGAGATTTAATGTGATTTTGACCTAGACTTACGATGCTGAAAGTCGACTACATTGTATACTCTCGTTTAAGTCTTTGAAATAGATTCTAAAATTAAAGCGAAGCGAGTAACATACGTAAAAATACCGAGTAGTAAAATATTTTTTAACTTTAGAAAGATATGTAGTAGAAAATTAAATCCAGATGATAATTTTTGGGGAGGAAGGAAATTAAAAATAAAAATAACGAAATATCTTGACATAAATTTTCAAAAAAAATTATTTAGTTTTTTTGTTGTTACTCAAAAATGAATAAAATTAAGGTATTAATAAAAATTTCACAAAATTTCTTGAAATATTTATAAAAGCATTTACTAATCTATTTATTTTATACCTATTTAAAAAAGTAGACAATTTAATTTATTCGTGTAAGAAATAAAATATACGGACGTGTTTTTTTTTACTTGAGTACCGTCCCCTAAATTTATTTGCACCGGTTTTGTATTGGAATAAAAAATCCAGATGAAAACCATATTATTATTATTATTATTATTATTATTAATACAAAGTGAGAGAAGTAGAAATAAAAATCAGAACCTAAGCGTGTATTTATGTTTTGATAGCCTGAAGCTCCTAGTGTCGAGATCGGATCGCGGGAAGGCCTGCTGTTGTATGCTCATATATATGTGCATATGCGCATAAAATAATCCATCATTCCAACATTCACAAGCGCACGCACGTACTCACATGTAACGCGCGCGCGCGCGCGCACACACACACACACACACACACACACACGCACACTTACACCCGTGGGCAGCCCGTCATTTTAACCTATGGAATGCCACTGCACCCAAACAACATTTTCGCCTGATCTCCATTTCCCCCACTACCTTCATTCTTTAAACATCCTTTCTTCTTTACAATAATTTTTGGAATTTTTTATATTTTTAATCTTTTGTTAAATAATAATAAAAAATTGATAAAAATTATGAAATGATATTAAATAATATAAGTACTTACTACAGATTACAATAGTACTATAATCTTAACTCTAAAAAAAAGAATTTTTTATTCCTGATAGTTACAAATATTTTTCTACTTGTCAACCATATTTTGAATAATTGAATAATAATATGACGTACGAATTATAATTATGATTTATTATATAACTCGTTGTTCGGCCCCTGGATTTATAAGATAATTGTGTATGTGTGTTTGTGTGTGTGCGTGTCTGTGTATGAGAGAAAAATGTACTGATAAATATCTCAAATCCTAAAGGTCTAATTATTAGTCAGGGACTGGTTGTTGTGATAAATTAATACTGTGGACGCTGAACCATAAGATATGCAAATATCTAGGCGCGTCTGCTGACCGTGTTATAATAATGCGGTGTTTCTTTATAGAAATGTTTATAGAGATTATAGGTAATGGTCTGTTACAACCTGAATAATAGTATAGCTTATAATTTAAAAACATTTAGGAATATGAAAAAAGTACAAATTTAATTTCTATGTGTACAATATGTCCGTAATATATTCATGTATAATACCTATTATAATATCAGATTGTGTGATAATTATAAAGGTTAATAATAAAAACAATTTTTTTAAATAAAACGAAAATTTTTAAAGTTTGTACTCTTAAAAATTAGTCATACTTTTATAATATTTAAAATGAAAAACGTATAAAGGCCCTTACACACTAGGAAAATAAGTTGGCGCGGGGACGCGATTTTAAATCGCCGCGAACGTTCGCTTAAAATTTAACAGCTTGTATTAAATTAGACCATTTACACTACGTAAAGCGAGCGAATAAAATCCGCGATCAATCGCACATGCATAATTTTGGGCGTACATTCGCGACGATTTAAAATCGCATCCGCGCGTGAACTATTCACTTAGTGTGTGAGGGCCTCAAGTGCAAGTACTACGTAAAAGATATCATTAGAAAAAATATTAACAAATAATATGGCAATTTCCGTGTATTTATGTATATATTGCGTAGGACAGTCGTGTATATTTTATTGGCTATAAATTATATTGTAACAAGTACAAGTATTTGGAATCCAATTGTAAATCCTGTTTAGTAATTAATTTTTACACTTGTTTTATTTTTATTTTTAGATTACAATAAATTCTTACTATAATATAAATATTGCAATGGACAATTGGAATTGTACGGATGTGTGATTGATTACCCAGATGTCTAGCGCCAATCAGGTAATAATTTAATATATATTTATATACTAAATTATAATCAATATTACGATCACCTTCACAATTATTTACCTGTAACTATACGCATGGGCGTAAAAACCGGATGCTCGAGACTCGGGTAATATAACTGAATGCAGATGAGACCTGGTGAGGTTACAGTGAATGTCGTGTCTTTGGCTTTTGATCGATTTATCGCCAAACGTCACTCCATCTCGTTGCAATGTCTTTGTACCTATTTCTTATTTCTTATTCCATTATCCAGGTCTGTTTCACCGTTGTTAGATGTATCCGGAACAACACTATTCCGTAAATGCAAACTTGACCATGCATATGGCATACTAAATCTCCTGTATAAGCCATCACTGTAAAAACACAGTATCCAGTGTATTTTATGTAGAATAATTATATTTTAAAATGAATTGATTACCTATACTAATTACCTAATATTTAACTAATAATTATTGGCTTAATTTAGTTTGATGTTGATGGCAGTATATTTATAATTTTTGTTTTGATAAATCTAAAAGTGCAATTAAAAAATAATGTTTATTGTTTGTATACACATATCATCTTTATATCTGTATTTTTTCATGTATATGAATGAACAGAAGGGTTTTATGTTATATAATTATTTGGTGCGACATTTGAATAATTTCATGATATTTTGTCACTAAATTGCTATAAATACCTTTCCCCGAATTGTATAATAATGTATTTTTCAGTGAAAACTTATGATATTGATAGCTTGCAATAATAATTCTATTCTTTATTAATTTATGGTTGTTTGAAAAAACTTTGGTTACCAAATGATATGTGCAGTATACATCAATTGCATAGACGGTTCAAATAATAAATTGTTTACGATTCAGCGTCTGATGCACAGAATGTATACTTGTTGTATTACAAAGGTACATTTTAATATTTATAGATTAAGTAATAACTAATGTATAAAGTTGGCTGTTATTTATTTGTATTCTGAAACACAAAACGTTTTACAATTATCACAATGTATCATCTTGCTTCCGAGTTTTGACAAGTCGAAAACAAATGCTTATTGATGAATTTCTATGATACCGTGCATTGCCATGATCGGGACTTGGCTAACTCATCCTATAAATATATAGGAGTTAGTGTACCGTAATAGCGTGCCAGAGACTGCTGATCTATGCAAGTTTTACGCATCGGTGGAATATACGTTCAACCGCTATTATATCTAACCTGAAAACTATATGTATGAGAACAGAAATTTTTACTACCATAGAGTTCGACTCACTGCACGATACCGATCGCTCCTGTAGTTCTGCGTAGGATGACCGTATTATCTTTTGAATCTCTGCACGAGCAACACTTTAAATAATAACGACAAACATAATAAAAAAAATAAAAAAGAACATGTTGCTATTACATTGTGAACGCATTCCCTTCGGGTGTTTTACATTGTGTTAAAACTTTTTTTTACTATTTTACGACTTTATATTATTATTAATTTATTATATTGCTCCGATTAATTTGGCGCATATTAAACTTACATACGTAGGTAGATGTTATCTTGACACACTGTGATTTGTAGTTTGGGTGGTCTTAGGTATTCTAATGAGTTAACGAGAAGAGCAAATCGCTTGGAGGATAGGAGTTTGATAAATATAAAAGAACCATTGTTATTTATGTTGTGTAGGCAAAACCTTATTCATTTTTTTGCCAAAATTTAGGAATAAATGCCAGTTTTATGTACTTTAATAATTAATTGTGGTATTTTAAACTTTCCGTAACAAAGATATTTTTATAAAAATAAATATTCAATGATGAAAACTCGTATACAGTATATGTCTTAACTCTTAAATACATTTTACATATTTTATTTATTATATTTATACGTATTCTATACAAAATTACTGAAAAGTGAATAAATTTACTTTTATAACTAATATAATTACTTTTTTCCACACATTAAATAACAATAACATATAATTTGTAAAACCTCCCAAGTTGTACGGTGAGTTTCTGTTTTCTTTTGGTAACATCGGAAATATGTTAAGTTTGTTCCAGTAAAATAAAAAAAAAACCCCCATATGAATGAAATGACGAATGCATTCTGTTTTTGTCGTATATTGTCGTACAACATAAAGAAACTTGTCAGCTAGAATTTATTCAATTCACTAAGAACCCCACTCGAAAGAACTGTATGATTTCGAATATGTCAGATTATCTTCGTTGTGCAAAAAAATCAAATATTTCTTTTATTCTTTTACTCGTATTTCCCACGGAATTTATGACATTGGATGAACTTAAGTTGGTATATACTAAACGTAAACATTTTTTAATATATTTGAAATACATGAATTAATATTTATAACATACATATTAATATATTATGTAAATTCTATAGTATAAACCTTAACCTGAGTATTTAATATATAGCAAATAATATAGTTCTTATATAAAATATTTTAAATTATATTTTAATATATTTAGGTATAGTTTAAGTAATTACTACTCATTGCACATATTAATCTATTAATGTTTATATTAAGTACAACCTATACTAAAATTGTTAGTTATTTAAAAAACATGTGTACATCTTCACTAAATATTTTAATCGTTACGCCAACATCCGGTATAAGTTGTAACAATGATTGTTATTTATCTTTTTTTCCGAACTTCATGGTTAACAATAAGATAAAGTTTCTAGTATAAAACTTCATAGTTGAAAAGAATAATTGAAAATAGCGTAGCTAAGTTAATTTTTTAGAAACGGTGAAGAAGTATGTGATACCTGTAGGTAACAGGTATTACTCGGGAATAAGAAAATCAAAAAAAAATTCTTTAGAAGAAGGGATCTTGGATTAGTCTCGCACATGTTTTTCATATTAGTCATAAAGGTTCAGCCAACCATGTTACAATTACGTATAGTATATATTATATTGTATTATTACTAATATATAGTATATATCATTATAGCCTATATAGTATTATGATATATATATTTATAATACTGGAGAATTATATAACTATATAATTTCAGTTTTATTCTCAATTTTATAGATATTATTTGTCATTTAGTAAATTTAGTATCTACTATTATACATTTTAAAATATTAATATTATAATTTTGTGTGAATATTTCGTACAATTTATAATATAATATAAATGTTACTGAAATGCAATAATTGCTCTACTTGAAGTCGTGACTGCAACTATACTGGCAATCCGGTATTCCTTTGAAAATAGGAAACTCACGTTCATTCACATGTTTCGTACATTATCTACCGTATATATAGTTAACTACTTTATTGCAATCCAGTAGCCGTAATTTTTAACTCTGTTCGTCTCGCGACACATAATAAAAATCCAATCTTTATCCGTTACGCATTAATTACTCTCCCATAATATATTCACCCATTAATTTGCTATCGACCGAGCATTTTCCATTGAGTGTACGTGTGTTCACGACCATTGAACTCAAAAAAATCTTGACATGTTTTAAGTAAATAACCAGTTTACACATACGCATACTCGTGTGCTCGCGTTCACACACACACACACACACTTACACATTCACACACATAAGTGACTTGTTACTTAACAGCATTGCGATTACTAATGTGCAACTAGTAGCCACATATGGTAAATTACGTTTTCATGTACCCAAACTCCACAGTGGACCACCAAAATAGGAATGCGTTGGGATTCTTTTAATGGCCCATAAGTTTTTCTCTTTTATTCCATTTCATATCAACTGTGTCAATGCGTCATTGTTGTTTTTCATTTTCTTTGTATGCGTTTTTACTATTATTAAGTATTTTTTTCTTATATATATATATATATTTTAAACTCCTTTAATACGGACTTTCCGACAAATTCCTAGTCTGTGGAATTCCAACCATACATGGTTTTATCATAAAGTTAAACTCAAAAACATTCTACCTTGAGATGTTATACAAAATAAATAATAATCAATACATTTATATACGTTTATAATATGATGATATAAAAATGAAGATTCGAGGAAATAAAATTATATAAAGAATTTAGTTGTTATAGAACATGTAAGGAATTTAGGTTAAGTATTATAGAATGTTGGAACTAGAAAGCAGAAGTTTTATTAGTGTGCGTGTGTGTTTGTGTGATTTATTAAGAAGCCGGTGCACCCACCACTATTTTCTATAAGAGAGAAAGCAAATATTCTCGTATAAAAATATGCAATAAAAATAAATAAATAAACTAAAAGCTATTTTAAATAATTTGATAGATTGAATTTAATAAAAAAAATAATATTAATTTAATTTTATGAAAACTATAGCAATGATGCTTAAATTTAAAAAAAATGGTAGGTATGAAATATATATTATGTACCTATATTTACTATAAATATATTTTTTTGACAAAACGTGAAGTTACGCATGCCACTTATTGTATTGTTGTATTCAATATCGGTTGTTTCTTTTTGGTGTATTATTAAACGTGGATAATTTTTTTAGAAACTCTTTTAAAAATTACTATTCATAACTTTTTAACTTTTGTGTTTGAAATATTTATATTTTTAACATTAGACAATTATTATAAACAGTTGATATTTTGGCCACTGTCTATAATTATAACTATATTTTAGATGAGTTGATTTTGGGTACAATAAATAGATAGATAAATAATTTTGAATTTAGTGAACTATTTTTGCTTAAAATTCACTTTGTGTGTCAAAAATGTAATTAAATTTAAAACAAACTAATAATCCTATTACATTTATTCATTTATTTTTATTAAATCCTCATCATTTTTCATGTACAAAGTCATTATTATTGTAAAGGCATAGGGGTTTTTTTTTTTTTATTTAAAAAAACTACTTGCTTATACTTTTTTATTACAATTTGAGTGAGAAGTGACAGGAGGCTAAGGATAAATGTCGGCTTACTATCAGAATAGTCGCATGTTTGATCTAAATCTCAACCAAGCCATCATGTCAATGTTTCATAGTTATAAAATCTATTTGCATACTTAATAACACACTGCGTATTATATAGATTATTATAATAGGTAGTAGACATATTTTGTTTAGCAGTGGTGTGCACTGTACATGGAAGTACTAAAATAATATTAAATATTTAAAATGAAATCATAATATTCGTAAGCCGGAATAAGTAAGAAATCTTTGTAAAATTACTTTTATAAAAATTTTATATTAGTAAAATAAACCGTATAATCAATTGTTCTAGAGAGCACTAGAATAATATATAAAATGATTTTAACTTTAACTCAAGCAACATTAATCTACTCTATTATTACTAGGTATACTTAATGAGATATATTTAAATTAAGTTTTGAATGCATCATTTTTTTTAATGTTGATTAATATTTTTAATATAAAAGTAAAAATGTCATTCAATTTTACACGACTATTTATTATTTATTATTTTTTTTATATATTAATTTTAGCATTGCGCAAAACTTATCTAATACTGCAGTTACAAACTATGTAGAGTTCATTAAGTTAGAACTATATAATATTTATAAATTAAATACTTGAAATGAATGACAATAATGAATAATATAGCATGAACTTATATATTTCATAGATTGTAATATATAGTTATTGTGGTGTTTATTTTGGCTATTATTCTATTTCCTAAGTGATTCTATTATATTATAGATAATTATTATATGATTAGTTTGCATTATACATAAATTATAATAGGATATTCAGATATTTTGATATTTATTTATCACTATTATATGAATATATATTTGATTAAGTACCTAATTTGTTTCTATCTAGTTAATATACAGTAGCTTTTACAATTTTTTATATAATACATAATAAAACAATTTGATTCCAAGCTGCAAATTTATTTTATTAGCATATTAATTATGATGATAACAATAAAATTAATATAATAGTGGAATATTAATGATATTTTCAAAAATTATTTCGTATAAAATTATTTTTAATAATTCATTACAACTAACGTATACCTAAACGGCTAAATACAGTTCTATTTATTTGGTAATTTGTATAAGGTAAAAATAGATATTAAATTAAAATTTTACATTTGTAGATAATTTATTAAAAATAATGCAAATAATACCAAAATCATTACTAGAATAATGTATATTGTATTTTAAATCATTTAATTATAATATAGGTACTATTATAGCTATATACATATATTTAATGTATTGTCAATGTTGTATCACCTACTTTGTAATAGGTAGCCAAAGGTAGGAACTGTAGGTCTATACATATTATAATATTTTAGAAATAAATAAATATTTTAAATGTTATTTTATTAGTATAGAGACATTTTAAAATTAAAATATTAAAAAAAATAATAAGTAGTATTTTTTTAATTATAATATTCCTAGCATATTTTAAAATTTTAATTTAGAATATTATTGTAGAACACGAGTAATAAATAAAAATCGTACGTTATTTATAAAAATTCTGATTAATTATTAAAAAAAAAAGCAATTCCAAGGATATTCTTCATCACTATTGTACACACGATGTTTAATTATTTTGTTCCATCGGCAGTAACTAAGTAATTAATAAAGAAACCGCTATCACATAGACATATGTGTTTTTTTTTTGTCGGGTTTTGTATTGGTAGAGATCTTTGAACCTGGCGAAAAATCGGTTTGGCCTTTAGGCACCTGCATTCTTTGGGTTGACTCCCTTATGGTTGACTCTCATTAGACCGAGTTGCCTCCGGTGGCACATACTCATGATATACACGAATCGTTTTGCCACGATTGCCGTAGTCACGACAACAGGATGGAAAAAAAGAAGAAAATACGTTCGCAATATTTCTTATTAAACAATCAATCTCAATTTTACCATCTACCACGTTTTTCATGTTATTTTTATTGTATGTAAAATTTGTTCCACTTTTTGTTGATATCCACCCACAAGCTAAATACTATAGACTGTTGTAAGGTGTTTTATGTACTAGTGTATTACCATAGTTATTAGTTATTAGTGTTATTACACATAAGATGCTTATTAATCAGAGATCAATAAAATCACATAATATATATTTAATATTTATAAGAGACAATGGAATAATATGGATAGCAAACACCACATGATGATTAAATAAACATAAATACGATGCTAAGTCTATACTCTATAGAATATACGATAAATAATTTTTATAATTTTAACACATATTAAAATAAAAATACTAATGTATACCTAATCATTTAGACAATTTACAAATATAAATAGTGATAGGTAATTATAATATTTCTTATTTTATGTGACAGCGAATGGAATATAAACTTATCACTCACGTTAACATCAAAATTAATATTAGTTTGACATTAGAAATCAGAAAAATTTATATTATATAATGGAATAATTAGAATTCTATATAATTATAACTGAGTAATTATTATGTATAATATTATAGTCGATAATTTGGTATTTATTAACACATTTATGGAAATCGACCTATTTGAAGATTTGATGAAATGTATGATTAAAACTGTGATGGAGACACGTAGTGAAAGGATTTAAATACTTAAATCTTAATAAGGCAATAAAACTTATGTCTCTTTAGAAATTAATTTCGATTTCGAATATTGATTCCTATATAATAATTAAATCAATTTTTTTCGTGTTTTTTTTATTTGTATTTACTTAGTGTTCAAAAAAGTCTTATAAATTTAGTCAATTTTATTATTTGAATAATAAAACAATAATTATAAGTACTTTTATTTTTATTATTTTTAAATTAAACTTATTTAGGCCTCTACGCGAGTTTTCTCTGTGAGACTTAGTAATCTTTTTTATTTCAAAAATAATAATAATAATAATAATATAACCATGTACATTTACTATGCTTTTTTTATTTTAAATTTTTGATAAATTATTATAAATACATCAGAAACAAAAATTTAAAAATTTAAATTATATAATGATTGATAAAAATTTAGTAAATTGAATGAAAACCAACCACAAATATTTAGTTAGATAGGTTTGAAAATATTTTCATATTTTGGAAGTCAAATGATTTCTTTACGTGTTAATTTTATGATAATATAATTTATTTAAACTATAGTCTATCTGTTAGAAACTATTTACGAGATGTAACAACTATTGAGTTACTGTTTAATATTATGTAAGTATAACTGTTGTCTGTTTTATAAAAATTCTTTATGACGCGGTTAGTTTCCATACCAATATTTTGTACACACATTTATTTAAAATAACTATGTTGTCTATGTTTAACATATTGTTAAGTTGAACTAAAGAAAGAAAATTAATTGTATTTTTTAATTCAGAAAGAAATATGTAGAAAAATTAGTCCACATCATATTCATTAGTATTATGTATAATTAAAAATTTAATGACATATCACTATAAAAAGTGTATACCTATTACTATTTCTATACCTCTATTCATTAGATCATCATGGTTTACTTGTAATATCAGCTACTAATTTAAAGGGTATTTTATTACGTCGGAGTTATGTATATTAATTAACCCCTGATTCTCTTTTCAAAAGCTATTTTTATTATAACATAAGTATATTTGTATAAATTATATAAGTACTTAAATACGTAAAAGTAATATACAACTATTTAATTTAAGTATAAAAAAGATTTACCTATAACGTTCTAACTTGCATGCAATTAAACTTGACGGTTAGGTAACACCGGTATTTTATATTTTTTCGCAGCTTTTCTTATCAGTAGTAAATACTTGTAATATTATTCTTATCGCTGATGATGGACAAAGATCAAGATTTATCACTCAATTTGTATCAACATAGTTTAAATTTATATGGATAAAATATTCCTTGTGATTATATGTAATTCGATTAGTATTGTTCAATTCAATTACACTAGAAATTCGAATTGTTGTAAAATCTTGATAACTCTATTATTCATAATATTCATATAGATTATAAATAAAATACTATCGTGATAATCATACGTGTCTTTGATCAATTTAATTTAATAAAACATTTTATTCTGAAAAATAATATTTTTTTGTTTTTATTATATCGCTCTATATATTATTTAATTATTTAATATAATGCAGAATGAATTACAGTACTGACATAATATAAAGTGCAAATATCGAGTCAAGTGACAGATATGAATCATCTTTTTCCTAAAAAAAAAATATTATATTGTTATTAATATTATATTTTTTATTATTACTATAATCGTATACTGACCAACTTTTTGAAAATATTTTTGTGTATTTGCAAAAATAAAATAAACTAAGGATTCTTATTAAAACGAGTTAAAAAAAAAAAAAAAAAAACTAACGCCAGTTTTATTTGTTGTTAAATTTTTACAGGCAAACATTAAAAGTAAAGTATGACGCACGCAAGTCGTTTATCGCCGGTAATATGCCCTCTAGCAAAGTTGGGACGGTCGTCTCCTGGTTCTCTGGAGTTTACACCATCCGTTCGAAACACGCCGTTTCACCACCCGTACACGGTACTAGAAGCCGAGACTAGCTTTACGTACAGCCCGACGCTACGGTGTAGTTCGCCGTGTTTGGACCAAGGTTACCATACGTTAGTGACCGGCAGTGGTGTCGGTGATTGCGCCAATCTGCCACTTCACTCTACAGCTACCAAGCACCGGCGGTCGCAGTCACGGACGGTCATCGGTTCGAACTTCGATCGGCTTCGAGATGAGCTGGTGCTCAAGATATTCTCGTATCTAAACAGCGCGGACCTTTGCGCGTGCGCGGCTGTGTGCCACAGATGGGAGAACCTCGCGTGGGAGCCTGTCCTGTGGCGGACGATCGCGCTGTGCGGCGAGAACACCTGCGGCGACAAGGCGGTCAGGTGCGTGTTGCGCCGGCTGTGCGGCCGTACCAGGACCGGAGCGTGTCCGGAGGTGCAGAGGTTGTTTCTCAGCGACGGCACTAAGATATCCGACAAGGGATTGACGGCGTTGGCAAGGCGGTGTCCCGAGCTCACGCACGTCCAGCTCCACGGCAGTCCGAACATCACCAACGCGGCCATATCCGAGTTGGTCGCCCGCTGCCCTAACTTACAGCATCTGGACGTCACCGGTAAGTGGCATCATTAATTATTATTTACATTACTGTAGAGTATAGACCATGTCGAGGGGACGCACACATTACAAATAGTCATGCGATTATTTTACCAAGGTTTTTCTATGATTTTCCTAGCCAGTAAATATTTATAAATAGGTAATAATATAGTCATGGTCTGTGATAATAGTTTATATTTAAGTGGCCAAACATTAAATTTAATTTGTAATAATAGTTGACTTTGCGTGTGCATCCTATATTGACGTATAGTATAATTTATTATTTTTATGTAATAATATAATATATTAATATATGTTTGTTGCATCGATAAACGAGTATTTCTCGGGAAACGGTTGTCGACGTCCAGAGTCCAAATAAAGGGAAGGGGTTGGGGAAAGGGGTTGCAACTCCGGGTCCCGATATTATTTGGGTCTCAGGGCCCCTAATTAAATATTAAAGTGGGCACTGTGAAATTGTATGATATTACATTGATTTTATTAGACATTTACAAAAATGTATTCAAATTTCGTAATAGAATTTAAGATTATTATCTAATCGATAAAATAAGCTATTAACTTTTAAGATAAAGTTGGCCAAAAGCACTTTATTATTTGCTTATCCCATCCTGTCACCAAATCTTCAATATTTGTACTAATTAGCCGACCTGTTATTTGATCACACGAACTGCAACTGCTGTAGCTTATAAACCGCAATTATCATAAATATCAAGGGTTTTTGCGAGTGCTCAGCTCTTGTTTAAACATTCTAAACGCGTATATAATATTATTGGTAAATAGTAAATACCTTTCAGTCTACAGTTTATCTTTAAATAATTTTTTTTTTTTGTCAGTTTCGCATCATTAGTACAATCGGTATAATAGTTGTTAGTACTCTATCGACTATTGTGATGATAAAATAGACAAAACTATGATCAAACAGATGTTGAATGAAAAAAAAAGTATTGTGTTGAAGTGTTGCGCTGTTTAGTATTTGTCAATACATTTTTGGCATTTAAGGATATTGATATGACTTGTAGTTGAGTTCTTCGATTAATAGAAATTTTCTTAGATTTCCCGAAGTTATTTTCGAGTTTGATCCTTTTTCAAAACAATATATGAATGAACGCGTTTATAAAGGGTCAGGGAATGTATCTTATATTTCGATGCAAATTTGTTACGAAATAATTGACCTATCGGGAAATAAAGTTTCATTAAAAATTGCAAAAACTAAATATTTTGGTCTAATTTTAGATTTTAGGTACTCCAGATAGAGATCAATTTGTTATTGTTATTAGATACATACTGTTATAAAGGGTTAGTTTTTAAGCGATTCTTAACATACATATATTTACATATATTAAGCTATGCTGACTTTTCAATGGCCGAAGAAGTAATACATTTTTTTGGAAAATAATAAGATAAATCTGTAACATTTTAGAGGTCAATCATACGACAATGCTAATAACATTACTGGTATATATGAGGGTTTACAAGCTCAAATAAAATAAAAATGCAGTGTTACTTTATTTTCCTTGTTTTGTTCATTCCCTAAATTTAATAATGCAGTGAAATGCTGTTTAGAAGCAATCAAATTTTTTTGGTGTTGTTCAAAAATTGTATACATATTTTATGGTCTTGGCATATAGATAGAATTAGCTTTTTACTGGTATATAAAAATTATCACTTAAAATATTTTAAAACTTACGAATTATATACTTAGTCAATAAGTAGGTACCTATACAAAAAAATGTAAAAATAAAAATATGGATCTGCGCCCTCCTCTTTATAATATTTAAGTATATAATCATCGTCTATCAATCAACATGAGTAAATTATAACTGTGTAAGAACTAAGAAGTATTTTTAACGTATAATAAATAATATATCATGTATAGTTGTATAGATTATAACTGCGCAGACGGAATAACATTTGTTGCTTTCTTTCGAAACGTATAATAGATATCATTTATTATTGCGGTATCAACCATCAGTGCGTATAAGTTATTTCCTGCCAATCGTTTTCGTGTATTATATAGATAAATGTTATGATATTAAGATATGAAATCTTGTATATTCGATTTTAAACTGCAGTATTGGGTGGTAGATGTATATGTAGACAGTAGACATGTCGAGTGAGTGAACGTAAGCAGACATTAATTTATGGGCGTTTCATGAGTGATTTCAAGACATTTATAGGGTTTCTTTAGGGCTTATTTCTGATACCATATAGTTAAACAAATTTAGAGCTTAAAGATTTTTTTCCAGTATGTAGGTCATCTGACATCTCTTAATTTATTCTTATAATACATTCTTTAATACATTGATTACTATTCACTAGAATTCCGATTATTATTGTTAGTGTATCCATGAAAGACTATATAGATACATTATGTTAGAAATTATTTAAAAAAAGTAAAAATACTTAATTAATAAACGAGTAACTATAGAGGAATATGATGTTAAAATTACAAAATGTTTTCATACAACGTACGTTTGGATTTAAGAATTGTGGCTTACAATATTTGAATAAACATGACTTGCATTTAAAAATAATATAAGCTGTAATTTTTATAGTTAGAATTTAATATAATATGGTAATAATTATTTAAGGTTAAAATTCAGTAGGTACATGGGAATGTATGAATTATTCATCGTGACTAGAGTCTAGATATAATGTATTTTTGATAAATTTCGAATTTAACTAGTTCCAAAATTGCCTATGCTGTACTTAATAAAATATTGTTGTTTACTGAATGTGATTTGAAGCTTAAGATACTATAACATAATACATTAAATACATTTAAAAACGAAAAATATATTACAAGTAAACAATTATTTCTTAAGAGGACGCTACACCGTCTGTGTTATCTCAGTCTTGCATAGATATATTCAACGTTCAGTTCAGTAGAACCCATCATGTGTTGTTAGCTTTAATATTAAAGTGAATTTACTTATCATCAAATTTAAAAGTTAAAACATTATCAGTGATTTTGCTTTGGATTTTTTTTTGATATTTTAATTTTTAAACTAAAAATAAGTACTTTCAATTTGTAATTTTACATATTTAATATTTATACCTTGCTTCAAAATTAAAACGTTGAAAAATTACAACGCTAAATCACTAAAAATGTTCTTTTAACTTTGACTTTAAGTTAACTGACTCTAATATTAAAACTAATAATACATAATGGGCTCTACTGAATGCAAATTTGCTATGTTGTATGTATGTAATACTGAGACAATACATGTGGGTGTAGCTTTCTCTTAAAGATAAAAAAAATGTCTTATGAAAACATATATCATATTATAATGTTATGTATTTATAAATATATCATAAATAAAGAACTTTATAGTGTTAACGGAGAATTAAAAAATATATTGGTAAAATAACTATAAATATAATTAAATAGATGAATAGAAATAAAAAATCACAATGTTTAGGTTTTTGAGTATAGGATAATGGGGTGACAATTATTTACAGTTAGGTACAATAGCCCTCGGGCGAAAAATTCTTAAATGCGACCTCGTCTTCATTAATATACGCTTATATATAAGGTATATTATATGTATATTGCGTATGAAATATATACGTTACATATTATATCAAATGAAATCATATAATATTAAAAATTAGCTGAAAAACCCGTTGAATATCAAATTATATAAAATAATTGGTTTAATAAAACGTATAATATTATTCTACTTTGGTTGATTTTCTGATAAATGTTTACAAAGTTATTTTAATAATAATAGTAAAAAAAAAACTAACAAAATATGATCAACAATAATTAATGACATCTTTTAACACTATATAAACATATACTACTATACCCATCACTCGTTTATATATAATGTGAATTATAAAATTTATGTATAAATAATATATTATACATTTTCTCAAAATGTCATTCGGTAATTAAACTCTAGTAGAACTATGGCGGTATAAACATTCGGCTGGTCATTGACAAATGATTATAATTTATATAATACATAATACGCACTGCCGATAGCGGCCAAGGACTCTTCTAGACGTGCGGACAGCTTCACATACAACACACACACACACACGCATACGAGACACGCACAATATAATATATTATTATGTATACTTACCGACTATACAATACTATATTCTTTGCGGATCGATTTCGTAGAAAATTATACACATACACATACACACACACACGTGTATGTGTATACGCGTATGGCATATATGTTATCTATATATTATATTTAGATGGGCAGGTAGGTACATTGTACATTTGTACGTGTATATAAATTGTATATAATATAAATTATCCTTCATCACAATGATGTCTCGGTGTATGGCGTATGCCAAGAGAAAAAAATGTCCTAGCGGCTAGCACCGCCACATTAGGACTTTTTTTTTATTTATTTATCCTGCACGCGTGTTTGTCTACCGACTGTTACCTATACTGAGATTATCCTGCCACCACCAGCTGGTATACCACTGGTATGGCGAATAATGCTCGCACGAGGAATTTTTTATTGACTAGTCCCTACTTACAATCTACTATACATATTATATGTAATACAGACGCGGCTAGCGTTAAAGTCGTTTAGAATTTAGCGATGGTAATCTACTGTAAACAAGTATTATTTATGTATGTATAAAGTTCATATAGTTCCAAAACAGCTTAACCAAAAAAATAAATGTTTGTTTTGCTTAAAAAAAATAATTATTTAATAATATAATAATTTTTCTAAAACCGAATTCCTCCCAGTCCTGTAATAAAAACATTTTTATTGTGTATGATAACACATAATTTGTTGTTTTGATACCTACTGGCATTTGTAAATGATAAATCAGATAAATTTAGTACTTACTAAAATGGCTAAAAATGTCTAAATAAATTGGTTGTGAGTTAAGTAATTGTTCTGGCTTTTAATACATGGAAACATAAGATATATTATGATTGGATGATCTATATAATAATATAATAATGATAAAAAAAAAATAACACCACCCTGTACCTGTCAAAAATTTCGATTTACTATTAATCAGGCTTTACATTGGAATCATTTATTCAGTTTTCGAGTTTTAGATATTATAAAAAATGCAGGTGTTTAGGATTATTGAACTTTTTTATACGGTTAAATATAAATTTATTTAGGTTGATAACAGTGAATTCTGGTATCTGGTTTAAAATAATAACCATGTTTTATATCAATTATGATAAGTTTTTTAATATGAATTTAAAATAGTTATCAGATGTTATTTTTTAAGTAAATTTAATTTAAAAAAATTATATTAAATTAATATTTACATTAATCGGTCTTTATTTTATACTGATAATAGTTTTTGTTCTTTACTTATGAATTATAACACTCCAAACATATTTTCGTTTTTGTTATTTTTGATTAAAGATTAGACAATACAATTATTATTATTTAATATTATGAAATAGAATTAAACAATAATCTAGGTCTTCTTTGATTTTTAATTAAAAAATAATAAATATACATAAATTTAAGTTTTAACAATAAAATACATAGTTTGATGATACATTAAAATTTAAAATACAATGATTGTTTTATATTTTTTTCTATCAAATATATTATTAACTTATTATACATTTCCTACCATATTCATGCCATTGTAAAGTTGTAAGTGGCATACATAAAACTAATAATAAAATTTTATTTCAGAAAAACAACGTTCAACAGACACCAATAATAGTTCTATTCCTAATTCTTAGTAAATAATGATTGAGTATCATAAAATTGGGTGAATAAAAGCAAATTTGTGAAAGTTATTAATTTGTTGTCCACTTTATGTATGACCAATATATAATGCTTGTAATTATATCATTTAATTTTAAGATAATAATTCAGAGTTTAGTATTCTTTTATTTAAACATGCTAAGTATCATTTTAGTGGTAAAAATATATACAAATTAATATACGTACCATTTAATATTTTCATGTGATTTAATAGTTTGGGATTTGTCGGTTTTGGGTTATTTCGAGTATTTACTGTTTCAATGGGTATTGTTTATTTTTTAGGTTAATTCGGATATCTGATTTCGATTTACATTCGACTGCTAAGTCTTGACTATAATCGTCCATTTTAAATACACCACTAGTAAATCATTACTATAACACGAGTATTTACTAATTTAAAATTCAAATAGGTAATGTTTAATAATAGTTTTACAGTGTATCATGTGTGTCTAGGCAAAAATATATGTATACTATGGCTTTTCTCAGACGACGGTTTTAACGGAGGACCGTATTACTTATAGCAAATAGTATAGTCATAATATATTATACATATTTAAACATCAATATAAATTCTGTCGTTCTATTCTGAAAATTATATTATCACCCCGTAACTCGTACTCATTCGCAAATTATATGACTAGGTAATAGTATATATTATAAATTGTTATTCTGTGTTATAATGCTGTTGTGCCGAAGCCCGATTCTGCAGCTATTTTATATAATTCTTAAGTGCCGTAGTGATATTGCTATTGAATATAACCCATATAACTTCATTGACAATTGACATAGGCTGCACATTATTGTTTTATGTAGTATAAACCATCAAATAATGTGTGTAATATATTTAAGTACCTAGGTACCTTATATTAAAGTAACTTGCATAATGCAGCCGCACCTTGTACACTATACTCGTATACTGCATTACTGTTATACACACAGTCTGTACCAATATCGTATACATTCATTTATCATAAATCTTAATGATTTTTTTATCTTGTTTTTTTTTGTGTATAAACTGAATGTCCACTGTATATTGGTGCATTCCCGCCCACATAAATTCTTTATCGCCCTTGGTTCTACGTCTCCTAGCTGCCATAACTTTAAATTTGACGGAAATTAATAACTCAACTTTTAAAAGATAAAATATTTACACAGATGATTGAAGCTTTTGTTCCTGATTATTCATATAAAAACATGTATACCTATTAACGAATTGTGATAAATTCTCATGATCATATGAAATTCAATTTTCAAATTTTATTTTATTTTAGTTATAACTTATAATAATTGAAATTTATCTGTCTTTATAAGTTTTTAATTTTATTTAAATCAATTTCGTTTAAAAGTAAATCCAGAAAAAATTACCCTTGCTATTTTTAGTAAACTTTATAGAAAATTTCCCCCAGTACATTGTTTATGATTATTCTCCATTTTTTTTTTATATATATATTTAAATTAATCTATTAAATAAAATTATTTCTTTTGTTTTAAATTTTAATGCGTATCAAAATAAATTAAAATACATTTTTAAATATTTAACCCAACATAAAAATTCCTCAGACCTGTGTGTTATATTAAGTACTCATACTATGTACTAAACTACCTGTAATGGGTGTATTTATGTACGAGTATATAGAAATTAATAATATAGTAATAATTATTAAACTAATATCATATAATACGATAATAATAATACGAAATATACATATTATTAAGTACATTCATGCATATGCCATACATTACTTCTTATAACTATATTAATAATTATTGTTTTTAAGTTCAACCTTTATTTAAAATAAGCCATTTATACTAACATATAGGCTATAGGTACGTACCACTACAACTCATTCAAAACAACACAACACTTGGGCATAAACTATATATTATGGTTCTGTACCACTGGTATATTTAAAAATATTGTTTGGAAATATATTTAGTTGATCACGGGAAAAGACATATCGGTAAGACTGCATTTTATATATTACGATGATGACAAATCGCAATACAAAAAATATTACATGCATATTATGCATACCTACGTCGTATTCATTAATTATTATAATATGTATTATGTAAAGTAATTTGCTACGACGTTTTTTTCCGGAACACTGCGGGACGTTTAGTCTTTAGAGACTATATTATTATATTGAAGTAAATCTTGAATTTCAGACATTCGACAAGTTCCAAACATTTTGTGACGATTCTACATCTCATCTATATATGTGTAATATAAATGTGTTTTAAAATTTCAAGAAATCGTAATTTTTAATGTGTAACCGACCGTGAAGCAATGCAAATCACATTGGCGCATGGCGGCGGTAGTTTCTTACAACAATAATTATTATTATATACAATAATGCAGTTATTCCCGCCATCGCACTTTCTACGTACACACACTCGCGTGGCGTTTACTATAATATGAAATGCGAATAAAAGGGCGTGGTGAAACCAGTCGTCTCGAGATACGATATCCCTGAGAATATTGTTTAAGGAGTTGCCAATGATGTCTACATAATATCTTTTGGTTTCCGACTATTGTGCAAATACATTTTTATTTTTCAAATTATTATTTATTTACATTATATCTAGTATTTTTGGGCTTGCTTATGTGAATATTTAAATTTTTAAAAATAAATATAATTTTCAAACGTTTATAATTGCAGGGTATGACAATTAATTTCGTACATGTATACTTTATGTATCCAATTAAACATTCTTTGATTTTGTTTTGTGGGAAACCATGTAAAATACATGATATTTAAAATATTCACTTTTATGGAAAGATAATGAAAATAAGAAATATAAAGAAATAAAAATAAGAATATGTAATATCTATATGATTTAAGTAATATAATATTATTATAAAATAGCAAATAAGTAAAGTTATCAAATTTGTATTATATTCTACTTAAAAATTTCTAAAATATAGGTATTAATATAATCTGAGTACCTATGTAAAAACAATTTTCGGTTGGAAATATCAAATTTACAAGTATAATAAAAAATTGTTTTTCAACGTTTGTATAATCTTACATACAATTTTTGGTCACCTAAATAAAATAATTTAAACATATACTATGTACAAATACGGGATATGATACATAATACGTATAGTTTATCATATATTACCAGAGAAAAGACTTTTCACTAAAAAATCATAGTAAATTTAAAATTATTATGCACTTAGAAGTTAGATAAGTTTAAGTAATTTCAAATATACGCTAATAATCATCAACTAAATCATTTTTGTTCTACCGTCACTTACTATCTGTAGTATTCAACAAAAATAGATCCAATACATTATTTGATTAACTTTGTGTTGTTCTATTATAGTGTTATTTAAAATATCCTTTCATTATTTTAATAAAAAATAGTTTCTATAAAGTCCTTACGACAAATTCTCTACGGTTTAATATATAACTGTTAACTTTGATTTATGAACATATTTATCGATTAACTTCCAAAATATGCAAATATATGCACTAAAAATTATTTTTTATGAGCATTTTATTACAAATGTTGTGAATTGTATCATGTGATAAAGTCAACCAGACAAAATATGCAAGTACGTGAAAGTCCTTACTCTATATATTACCTATATGGCTATATGTATTTTTAGTATTTCTTCATAAGTACTAATGTATAAATATAAAATCTTTTTAGTCTATGTATGAAAAATAAAGTTCAGTTGTATTATTATTTTGTTAAAATAAACAGAACTTGTACAGAATAAATATTTGATTTCTAATTTGTTCTATAAATTAAACGTTAACATGTCTAATTAATAATTATTTATAGAAAATTTGTTATTAACCGTGAAATACATTTTATTTTAGGTTGTGTTAAAGTAAGCACCGTTGGAGTATATAGTCGTCCGGAACCATCACTGAGACTGTGCCTGCAGTATTTGGACTTAACTGACTGCCAGCTTGTCGACGATGCAAATCTGTGTGTGATCGTTAGTAATTGTCCACAACTAGCTTACTTGTACCTGCGGCGATGCACTAAAGTAACAGGTAATTATACACCATATAAATTTCAAAACATTCAATAGCTACTATAGTCAAAAATACTACATTCTTAGAACAATATTATTTGATTTAATCCGCAAGTGATTAGCATAATATTATACTATATTATTATCATATGCGGGTATACTTTTATATAATTTTGGTACAATTTAAATGAGTGCATATTTAAGGTCTGTATTTTGTATTTTTGTAAATTTTTTAGTTATTACTTGTTATGATAATATTATCATAGATTTATTGCAACTAAGCGAATGACAAACACAATGTATTATGTATATATTTAAAAACTATTTATTTTTCAATTTAATATTTATATATATTTACAGAGTTAAGATATTGATTTTACGATAATATTTTACATGATATATTATATTTAATCAATTTTTAATATTATTGGTATCTTTATTTTGCTATCGGTTATTTATATATAATATAATGTATATGTAAGCAATATATCCTTTGTTGTTGAAAGATAAAACATTTTCCATTCAAATTTTGTCTTGTCCTGGAAAATGTGGAATGCCAGTTATTCGCATTGCATTCATACTTGGGTAAATACTCCACAAATAAGAATTCTTAAGCTGTGGATCCGGTTTTAATTCATTAAGACGCTTTTTATATTTGCCAAGAACGTGTGTATATAGGTATAATGCCATAAATTATATGCACTATAACCATTTTATTGCAGTGCCTCTTCAACTCTAAAACAAAAATAAATCGATGCAAATTTAATGACAAATACAGTTCCCGCACGTGTATATAGTATTATACGTATATAGTAATTTGTATAATATATATTATAAGTAGGTTTAATTTTATCAGTAGTATAACTATTATAGAATTCTTCACTTTCAATCATGAATCAATGATTGTAACTAATTATTTATACATAAATACAATTAAAAAATGTGAATTCTAGACTCTAGATACGTATATTCGGTGCGACGGTGCCTATTATAAGGTATACCTTTATAAGTAAACGCATTATATGAATAAAATTATTTCTTTCAAGAGTGTGACACATTATGTACGATATGTATACAGGAAATAGCCAATACATATGATATATTTTTACTTTTTTTAAAAGTATATAATATTATTTCCACTTATTTACACGTCATGACGGTATTTAACATCAATAATATTGACATTATAATATGATCTATTAAATTAAAAAACAGACATTACGATCACTATTTATTATACAACAATGTAATAAGTACCAATAGTCAACACCATAATATATGCTCACCTTTAATTTTTTTATTTTAATAATGAATTGATTCAAATAATTGTTTTTTAAATTTTTAAGAATACGTACCTACTTAAGAACTTATTTTCAACTGTTGGGATTAGATACATAATAATAGGTTTGGAAGATACGAATGCTATAACAATGTGAAAATTATAATAATTAGTATTTAATAATTTGTAAAAATTTCCAGAGTGTAATTAATACTGGATTCAACATTAAAACTGCCTATGCACTTAATATTTTGTGTAAAATACCATCTTCAAGAATAACTTAATCCTCAGTTTATATATATGTTAATAATTTAGAAACGATTCGTTAGAATTTCATTTAGATATACCAACATATTAACATATTCTACGGTAAAAAATTATTTTACTGTTTACTGTTTGTTCTCGCAATTGAAAATATGATTATTAGCCAGTTTAGGCACTAGCTTAAATGTTCCTTGAGTCAGAATACTCAGAATACGTATTAAATCATAATTAAAGCCTAAAGGAAATAACTGGGTGAACCACTCTATGTTAATGCTATGCTCAATATTAAAGTACCCATTTAATGTTTCACCGTCACGTGATGATTATATTATTGTTATCGTATTTTGCAGACGCCGGTATCAAGTTCGTGCCCAGTTTTTGTTCGGCGCTGAAAGAGCTGAGCGTGTCGGACTGCCACCAAGTGACCGATTTCGGGCTGTACGAGCTGGCCAAACTGGGCGCACTACTGCGGTACCTGTCGGTGGCCAAGTGCGATCAGGTAAGCGACGCGGGACTGAAGGTGATAGCGCGCCGGTGCTACAAGCTGCGGTACCTGAACGTGCGCGGTTGCGAGGCGGTCAGCGACGACGCCATCACCGTGCTAGCGCGGTCGTGCGCCCGGCTCCGCGCGCTTGACATCGGCAAGTGCGATGTGAGCGACGCGGGCCTCCGGGCGCTGGCCGAGAGCTGTCCCAACCTGAAGAAGCTCAGCCTCCGCAACTGCGACCTGGTCACCGATCGCGGCATACAGCTGATTGCGTACTATTGCCGCGGGCTGCAGCAGCTCAACATACAAGACTGTCAGATATCCGTGGACGGGTACAAGGCCGTGAAGAAGTACTGCAAGCGGTGCATCATCGAACACACCAATCCCGGTTTCTTCTAAACGGCCACGTTGTATATACTTGGGTTGTACACCGAGTGATCCATTTAACGTTAAACAGTAGACACTTGTTATTTCAAAGAACTATCAATGTTTTTGAAAATATTTTCTCTCGTGATTTTAAATTTAATAATTTGCATTTAAGTACTCTAAAAAATAATCTGCTTTGAATTGAGGAATCGAAAATGAACGTTGTCATAAAAAAAAAATCGAAAAATTCTTATTTTCATATAAAAATCTTGTTAAAAATATTTTCAAAAACGTTAATAGTTTTTGAAATAAATAACATGTGTGTCATAATAAATGGACCAACCGTTAAACTTGAGACGTGTAGGTACATATAAGGCGGCGCGGTTCTGTAAAATGTATGACGTATGTGTATTAATGTCTCATAATGAATAGAATAATAATTATAAAAATTATATAAAATAATACGTAAGTCGACGTGGGACGGGTACGGTGATTAAAATTATCTATTTAATATTATTGTTTAGTCGCAAATAGTCTATTATTTGGGGCTCTTTGAGGTTAGGTTATTCATGTAAGATTAATAAATAGTACCTATCGACCTGCAAAATACCGCAAGACGAAAAAATAATATAAAATTTGAAATTTGAGTTTTTCGCTGTATTTGCATTTGTGCTAGCGAATAATATTATATCAAATTTTAAATCATCGTCACCTACGTCGATACGTTCAATTAATTTAGTTATTTGTAAGTTTAAATGACGAACCTTATAGCTGACACTGCCTAAAAATGTATTACTATTAGATACATATTGCTATATCAATATTTCATTATGATGTTGCAACTAAACTCTCCTGATAGGTACCTATGTAAAAATTGTAAAAAATATATACTCGAATCGTAAGTTGGTAGTTGGTTTTGTTTTTTTTCTGTCATCTGTGTCTCATTCTATGATTCTGATTTTTATATCAATTTTATACCTATTTAATATCGACGTGACTAGTATTGCAGGTATAAATTTTAACACGGGTACCTAAAATATATTGAATTGATTTTATAATTTCTATTTCACATTTTCTAAGATTAAATATTTTTTGTGACCTGATTAAATGTCAAATTATTATGATATTATTCAAAGAGATTTGTTCGTAAATATTCACGTTTTGCAAATTCAGTTATATTATATTATATTATATTCAGTCATATTGTGATATAATAATAATTTATTTATCTTCAGATTTGTTTAGTGGCTATAATTTTTAAAGGCAATTTTTGTTTTTTTGTGATATACATCATAAATAATGAGAAGTAACTTGTTACTATCGGTTTACAATCTAATTAGTTATCATTGTATACTATTTTAAATGTAAGTTATAATTTGCAATTATATTTACATAAACGCGAGAATAAATTTAAAAAAAAACATGGGTTTGTCAAGATATTGCATGTTACCACAAAAATTATAAAAATATTTGATTAAGAACTAAAATTAAATGTAAATATCTGTTTAAAATGTATAAATATAATATTGAAATATGGTTATTAATTGATATTATAACATATCGTAATATTATTAATCTTTATTTTCAATCATAACTAAGGTGCCATCTAATTTGTCTAAATGTTGCCATTCGATTTTTGAAGAAAAATAAACTACTTATTATTTTAATAGTATTTTGTTAGAATGTTATTTTAAGTGGCCAACATAATATTTAAATGAAATGTTTTCATGTTATTAGACGACTGTGTTTATTTATAAGTCTGATCACAAATTAAAACTTTTATAGTTTATATATTATAATGTTGTTTGGTTAGAATATAAGTTATATTGTAAATTCTTTGTATTCATTTAAAATAGAATACAATTTATAAATATATTTGTATAAACATTATCGATAGTGTATAAAACTGCTAGTATACATTTTAAATAATTGTATATTTTTATAATAACAAAATTACAACTGTTTTTGTTTTAATTTAATTGTTTTATTAATTGCAATTTATATTGTATTATTTCTTATACAAAATATCAGTATAAGTCCTTGCCAAAATCACACTTCCTTTTCTTTTATTGATTTAATATTTACATTGAATGCTTGCTTAGTGTATAAGTTTTTAATCTTACATTCATTCATCACACAAACAGTGTGAATAATCGAGTTTTAATGTAGGTACAACGTATATTACCAGATGTATTATAAAACAGATTTATTAAAATAAAACCAAAATATTCATTTATTCGTTTTAGTTGTAAAAACTTTATTAAAAAAATATCAACGTTTTTTGTAAATACAAGGTTTTAATTCTAATATAGGTAATTTCTTTTTTAATGCTGTTTTACTTATATCTTGAGTTTTTTTAAAATCCATAAAGACAAACATTTCAATTGTCTGATCTAATTTTGTTTTTTCAAATCCATATTTAGCCAAATTATCAATAAAGGTATTAATATTATCAAATCGGCTTTCAATTTCGGCTATCTTCATCAAACCTCTAAAATAAAACAAAATATTATACATATAATGTTATATAATTTTATGAATACTAAATCAAAAAAATAATAAGATTCAAAATTAAAATTGTATTATAATATACACTTTCTAAAGTCAAGAAAACCTCGATATAGATTAGTTTTTGTCAGACTAAGATGAAACAACACCAGTCATTTACTTCTACGTAGTCAAATATCTATACACTTTCATGTAGTGAAGTTACTACCTCGAGAACAAATCGGTAGTCAGCCACCCAAGCAAAACTTGCACTAAGTACACTTAATACTTTACAGAATAATATCTTTTGTACAAAATATATATACAAATCACCTTGTTTTTGCAACATTAATATTCAAAACTTGTTTCACCACATTAAAATAATTTTAAATTACCCAGTTTTCAAAACCCTATTGGCTTCTTTAATGAATGATTGCAAGTTTGTGCCCATCAGAGAGAGACAAAAAATTGCTATGTCAACAGACCCATTGGTTAAGCTAGTGTGAGCCATATCACCAGCAGTTACATACTGATTGACTGCAACTAAATCAAATGAATGAACTTTTACTTTAGGAAATGTCCTAGCAAGTTTAGCATCACCACAACCAAAATCTGCAACTACAACAGGCGAATTGACATTGGACTTCTTTAAACTGTAAATTAAAAACAATTTTATCGAGAAAATGAATTAATAAATAGAATTATTACAAAGAACTGTAATAAATGCAGCTTACATTGGATTGATTTGTTTAATTATAACACTAAGCGGTTTGACAGGCCATTGAATAACTTGTTGCATATAACCATTATGATAGGCTTTAAATGCACTTGGTTCTTTTTTGAAATATTGTAAAGCTTCTTGGCTGCTAGATGAATAAAATTGTTCATTTAAATATCTGAAAAATGTTTTTAATGTTAATACAAAAATATATTAAATAATCAACTATTTGTATAAATGTATTAATAATATAAACTAGTTAACTATTATATACCTGAATCTTGCACCTTTTAATTTATCTTTCATCTTCTTAATGAAGGAAACAGGTGTTTTGTCTCCATCGACCTTTTTCTGTTCTTTGTATAAACTAGGAGTAGAGCTTTCGGGTGCACCTTTGTAACTTATATTCGTTAATTTTATTAAATTGTCATTTACAATAGATTGAGTTGATTCCACTTTAGCTTTAGGATTTTTTTTTTCATTTTTCAGACCAACTTCAATTAATGCTTTTTTTGATATCTTCTTTTTTTTACCTTTTTTTTCTGTTAAACGTTTTATTTTGTTTCTTTTAATTTTATGGGTTTTAGCGATACCAGAAATAGCTTTAGCAACATTTTTTTTATTTTTAACTTTCATAGTAAAATATTTTTTTATTAACACGTATTGTTATCACTACTCTGCTGAATATCTAATTGCTGTTGAGCAATATCAGAAAGAGCGGCTTGTATCTGTTCAAGAAGAAGTTCACCTTTTCTTACTACTTCTTCCAAACGTTCAGCAGCTAACTGATTATCCTGTTCTAATCTCCTTAAACTTGCAACCTATAACATTTAAAATATTTAAATAAATATGTGTACTATTATTTTCTTTATAATTACTATACATCAGCGGTTATCAAACTGTGGCACGCATAAAGTTACGGATACATAGAAGCAGCAGTTTGGAAAATGAATTTATATTATTTATTATTTTTATTTACACTTGGTAACACATCTGATATTATTTTATGTTTAGTGAAAATAAGTATTAATTATACCAAATATTATTTTTATATACAGTAGAAACTCGATTAATCATCACTCTCTGATATCTGTAATTATCAAAAAATACAACAGCAATCAAGGTAAACTTGCTTCAGTGCCTAACACTAATTTGTATTGCTGCGACTATAAAGCGTACAAGAATATTTTGGAATATCTAACATATTATTATAATGTAATAAATGCAATAAACATAATGTGAACTAACACTTTTAAATTTAAATAATCTGTAACTAACAAATAGCCTGTCTATGCATGAATTGTATGATATATTTTTTTTTATAATTATTTATATGAAAATAATAAAAAATACACATTGTAAAATATATAAAAATGTTAAATGCAAAATTTCTGTTAACTATTAAAGCTTAAGTCCCATAACTGATGGTTAATCGAGTTTCTACTGTATTATAATAATTATTATAAATGTATTGACATTATGAATAGTTCTATTTTAAGTTATCAGTATTAGGTACATAAATAATTCGTATTTTAAGAGTACTACACCAAAATAAAGTTTGAGAACTTTAACTATACATACTTGTAAATCAGTAGAAGTATCGTCGTTGGGCAGCGATTCAATTAATGCGTCAATATCTTTAGCACAACGAGTTATAAGTGAAGAAAATAAACTTGTATAATCTAAAACAATTAATTATCAGTACTTTATCAGATTTTAAGCTCTAATTATAAATACCTTCTTGTTGTTGTGGTGTTTGAGATCCGTTTCGGTCAAAGTTAGAAAACTTAGATGGTAAAGCACACTGTTGTAAAATTCCAATGCTGTTGCAGAAGTTATCTGCTTGCTGAAAAATTGTAATTAGGGATTAAATTTATAATTGAAAATGATTTGATGTAATTAAAATATACATAATATATAGTAGATATGATAATAAATTATTTTTAGGTTCTTTTAATTACTATATAATGTCTAATTGTTTATAATTTATAAACCATGTTGTATATTGAAAGATTTAGATCTATCCATTATATCTTCACTATACTTCATGATGTCTGATGACACTAAAGACAAAAAACATTATACTACATACTCTGTACTTTACAAGCATAAGAATCAAATCATACACATAAAAATTAGTTGAAACCGATTAAAATAAATAACGGTTAAATATAAAATATCATCAATTTTATGAATATTAAGTCACACATTAATCCACCAATGTATGTAAAATTGTTGTTTGACGCTGTATTATGACATCAGACATAAAGGATACACGCCAATTTCACGAAATCCATAAATAAAAAAGAAAATTATCATAATTAAAGGAGAATACGTTATTAATTTACAAGACTGAACTACATAAATTGCAACTATTTTCAACATAATCAAATAGAATTTAAGTAATCATCCACATGTTATCTGGCAGAAGTTTTAACTATAAAACATTTTGAATACATTTGGTGAGAGTTAATTAATAGTCATTTATATTTTATTTGTAAAATTATTTACACTTCAACTGATAAATCCTCATCCATTCAAACGTTTTTTATATTGGTACACAATTAATATTTAATAGATTCTTCATCAAACAATAGGTAGGTATACTTATAAATAAATAATTATTTATTGTTCGCACATGGTAAATTTTCACTGTAACTTACTTGATTAACAATGTCTTGGAGTTGGGTGAGACGATCGGCCATTTAGACGACGGCAGCGATCAGTGACGTTCTCGACCGGAAAGCGGATAGCAGACAATACTACACTAAATAAACGCCGAAACACCAGACAAGTATCACAGATAATATGAAGACGGCTAATAGAAGACACGCGCTCGTCGAGACACGGGATAATGATGAAAAACAACAGTGGGTGATAACAGCGTCGGCGAATTACAAAGAGGTTCCGTCCGCGTCATGTGATTTCAACGTCTACGGGCTAGGCAACGATCCGTGTCGCCGCGCCGTACGGTGCCGTTTTCCGGAAAACGCCGATAACGCACGACGAGCTCAGAGCGGCATATTTTTTTTTTATATTCCTTTTATTATTTCGTTCACTTTGACTGGTATTTCGCTCAACCAAATTTTTAACACTAATTACATCAGTAATCGTAAAAATTGCAACAAACAAAACGACGACGGGATTTTCGTATTAATTACCGTCCGCTCTTTCGCCCGGCGGTTTCATGTCGAGTTTGATCGGCTGCGGACATTAACGTCGCCTCCGCCGCTGTGAAAAGTCGAACGCACCCCAACAGTACTCGAATCTGGGGAACAGGAACCACCGGACCACAGCGGCGGCATTGAACAGGGGACACCACCGGAGAGGAGACAGGTGAGATGGGAATAGTGTAAAAAAAACGTATATCACCCACCAACGACTTCCTCAGTTCGGTAACGTAACTTCAGAGGCGCGCACGTTGTATCACATCACCTCTTGTCTCGTTTCCGTCGGCGACAGTTTTACGCATTATCACCTCACCAGGAACGTAACACACCCTCCACGCACGCCTACTGCTAGTATAATCTTTCTCACCGGGTCTCCTTCACAGAACATATTCTGTGATCCAATGTGCTTGTGCCTCCGCCGGCGGAAATTTTTAGTCGGTGACTGTATTTGAACTATTGGTCATTGGTGGCATTTCATCACGACCGATGGGCAGTATGTGGACGGCTTAACGATATATTTTTTTTTTGTCGCAATCTTGTCTTACACACTCACACATTCTGTCGCCACCCACTTTAGCTTAAAGTACCTACAATTACGACAATATCCTTAATAATATGTTTCAACACTTTACCTACCTGCTTATTGACCCCATCTGCTTGTGTAGTTTAGTGTTTTTAACTGTTTTAACGTGATTTTTTTATTTCGACAGGACTGATCATACAAAAACTAATCCTTCGAGAGACTCCACTCAGGATCTCCAGAAATCATGGAAAAGGGTGACAAGAAAAACAATGACTGTTACTTTTATTACTATTCGACTTGTATGAAGGTTGGTTTGTATTATACATAAATCATTAGTAAACATCACTAACTGTTATTTAGTTAAAAAAAAAATGTTTCCATCATTATTAATACTTACTGATCAGATACTAAGTGTTATTAAATAATTCTATTTTTATGGGAGACTTATATTTTATATTAGATTTTTAAACAATATTTTGTAAATTATCATAAACATCTTACTAATAATTGCTCATGAGAATTTTTTATATTTTTAATTCAACATGATTCATATTTTAGATAGAAATTTTATTTAATAAAATTGCGAAGAGCAATATAAATATACAAAACTATAACAAATTTATCTAAATTGATTAATATTATAAAATTTGGTAACTTAATCTTATTTAGAAAAGAAATTACAATACAGTATTTATCTTATAAAATTAGTATTTTGTTAAATTATTAAAATTTAAATAACTGGTATATCTAAAATATATTTATCTTATATGTAATTTTATAGGGAGATAAATGCCCATTTCGCCATGAACCACAAGCGTTAGGATGTGAAATGGTATGTAATTTTTGGCAAAACGGAAAGTGTGAAAATGATCATTGTACATTACGACACATGGAATTAAAGGTAATTACTTATTAAATTCATGTAATAGATTAAATGTTTCTTTGAATACTTTTTTAATTTATTTACTATAAGTACTAATATATAAAAAAAATTTTAAGTCTGTGAATGTTTAAATAATTTCCTTTAAAACTTTATTCTATTATACAATTTTGTAATATAATCATTTATATATTTATCTATTATTTATTTATTTTTTATAGAAAAATCGGAAAGCAATTCCGTGTTATTGGGAAAAACAACCAACTGGATGTCGTAAGCCATATTGTGCATTTTTACATACCAAAACCCGAGATCCATCTCAAGATGCAGGTATGCCTGAATGACTCTGAATTTTAGTACATTGTTAATTAGTTTTATGAGCATTAAACATTTAATTTAAATTGAATATCTATTGAATACATAAAACATCATATTAATAAAAATTTAAATCCATTCAATATTATTATTTTAGTTATTTATTTATTATAGCATATTAAAAGTATATATTTTGATAACTCATTTTTAAATAATTGATCACTTAAATTTGTATAAATTAAATAAAATTAAAAGATTATTAACTAAGTCTAAATTAAGTTGTCTTTTTTATAAAATATATTCAATATTTCCTAATAGGACAAAAGGATTTATGGATTAATAATAAAATTCTATATCAATGTGTTTCATAAAAAAAAAAAAAAACCAATTTTTATTTAATGTTGACTAGGGGCTATTGCGATTGCAGCTAACACCATGGCTATTGAAAATAGTTTTCGCATAAACCCAATGGCTGGTGTTGCACTTACTGCTGGTCCTGAAGCTGCATTGCGACAACGTTATGACCAGCCATTACGAATGAATTGACAACCAATGAACGCAAGTACGGCATCTACTGTTTATGGCAGTTCTGTCGTCACACTGCCATACGTATTCAACAATAATCAATCTACTGCTGCCATGTTTCTTGATCATTGCAACTTCAATGCGTTTATGTAAAATTCAATATTGGTATTTAAAACGTTCTCAGTACTGATAATTAAAAAAAACCTCCCTTTTCCTAGACATTTTCATAATCTTGGTTAGGTACAAGGCAGAATTGTTTCACTCAACAAATGCAATATTCAACAACTTAAAGCCGAAGCTTGTTTATTTATTTATCTTTGTTTTTCTATCTGAACATTTTATTATTATTTTAAACTATTGTTATTATTTATTTTATTTTTAAGTAATTTTTAATGAACATCATGTTTTGTCTGCACTGTAGTTCATATAAAAAATGTGTTGCATAATTCTACGTTTATTCAGCTCAATTTCTATTAATCTGGTTACATTCTAAATGCTTTGTGAAAAGTCATGAACTAATGCTTTTTTTTTTTTTTTTGATCTTATATTTATATTAATAACTAATAATGAATAGAAAATTATAGTTTTTGTTTTGTTTAAAAATTATCTAAATAGTATTAAAAATGTAAAAACTAAATTTATATACATAATTCATATATTATTATGACAATGAATTAGACGTGTCTAGTCTATGCACACTTTATATTATGAAACTAAATATAATGAAGAAAAAAAAATAATTACCAGTAATATAAGTTGTTATTAAATAGTTTAGTTTATGTTGTTTATTTATAATTTTTTTTCAATATTGTTCACTATTCTTGGGATAATGTAGTGCATCCAGTATTATCTGTGAAAAATGTGTAAATTTTTTTGCTCAGTTCTGGTCCAATACGACGATTGGACGCTAGTGGGCCGAATCCACGGCGAACCTATAATTTATATTCATTTTTGATTTCTCTTCTGATATCTAATTTAAATGCAAATATATTTTATGCTATTTCACTATTTTAAACAGACTTACTGGAATATCCTGTAGCAATGTTTCTCCTTCTAATCTTGAGCTGCAGTTATCATATGCCTAGATTAAAAATGTAATATTACTTATTATTCATAAATACACAAAATAATTGATACTAAATGCATTAAGATAAAATTTTTATAAGTAATTTGTTTTCTCCTTGCTTACTTCTAATAATGCAATAGGTGACCCATATGCTGTTGCAATTGCTTCACTAGTTTCAAGACCACATAGTGGGAATTGTGATAGCATTTGTCTCCATAGTTGAGTTAATCCTGTACCATTTTTATCTACTGTTACACAATTTCTTGTATGACCAGATGCATACCAATCACATCCATCTTGTTCTTCTTTATATTTATTCAATCTTAAAATAAATAATATGAATTTGATAAGAACTAACCTCATCAAACTTAGAAATTATAACTAATCACTTCAAAAAAAAAACATTTAGTTACTTGTATGGCTTTTGTGCAATGGATTTTGTTAAATAAAGAATTGCCAACCCTAAATCATTTTTATTTTCTACAAAGCGAAATGAAACTTGACAACTCAACATCATCTGTTCAAGGCTATTCAGCACATCTAGACTATAAAAATATTCAAGTTTAATAAGTATACACTTTTACATAATCCCTATTAATACATACCCAGTAGTCTTCCCATTTCTTTTAGATTTAATTTTTCTATAACAAAATGAATAAAACACATACAAAGGAATTTTTTTGTTTAATTAATGTTTCACTGTAGTAAATATAATATAATACATACTTAAGTTGATCAACAGTACTATATATTATGATTGAAAGTTGTTTTTTATGTAATTTAATATCATTTATTTTGTTTAACAATTCATAAGATGCAATGAGATTTTTAACATAATCAAATTCCCAAATTAACAATATAAAATTTTCATTCTCACTAACAATATCAGACTGAAAAAATGTTAATTAAATTAATTCAGCAATTTTATAATTAGTTACTAGTTAGTAGGTAGTTATATACTAATGTTTATGTTGTTTATTTTATGTTTTAAATAAACAATAAAAATAATATATCTATTGAAATTTATGATGATGCATATTTTTTATTAATAAGCACTTAAATAATAATCTGAGTTCCAAATTATTCATTACTTACTAGTTGTCTTGACCACATTATTGAATTTAATATGGTTGTATTTGATTCAATTTTATATTTTGCGTCTGTAGATTCTATTTCAGATATTATTTGCTCACTATACTCATGATTCATCAAATTTATATCAATGTGAACAGTTACATACTAAAATTTCATAATACAAATTATTTATGAAAAAATTAGAAAAACATACTGAACATAAATATGTTTATACCTTCATACATTCCTTTGGACTTAAACGTTTTAATTCTTCCGCTAATCTCTTTTTTGCATCTTTTCTAGCTTTTTCTTCCTTTTTTCTTTCTTCAATTTCTTCTTTTGTTGAACGTTTTTTCCGTTTTGGTTCTATCTAGAATATGGAAAATATATCTTTAGTAAAAATGTAAAAACATTAATTATAAATAAAATATATGAATTGTATTTATAATCTATATGAAAAAATACAAGTTTTTATTAAAGGGAAAAATAGTTTTTAAATATTTTTCATTTGTTTTTAACTTACCTTTTCAGTTGCTTCTTCATTGTTTGTAGGAATATTAATACTTGGTTCTGTCCTCTGTTTATGATATAAAAAAAATAAATATTTAATTTCATCCTTTATTCATAACAAATTAAAATTTTTAATGATAATTATACATTAAATTATATTTAACACATTTACTACGTATTGAAGTAAAATTATGTCATAAGGATTGTTTAGAAACGTGTTTGACACCATTTGACATTCAATATGTATTAAAAGTTAATGGTCATTAATGCATGTTTTAAAATAAGTATTCACATGCCAGTTAGACATACGATTATATTATAAGAGCAGTTTATTTTCGTTATTTTTGGAAAAATACATACACAGTCAATGTGTTTAGTTTAAGTATACAAGTAACAAGTAGTAAATTTATTTTAAATAATACGAAAGAAAATGTTCTATGTTATTTTTATTTGTCACTAATAAACTAGGTATTTTTACACTTGTATAATTTTTAATTAATATTTCATACTTACAGGTACACAAGTATTTGATTCAGAGTGTTTGACTAAAATAGAAAAATCATTTTTATTAGTCTGGACATCTTCTTGTACATGATCCTTATGATGTAAAACTTTTTTTGGAGATATTATTTTTTTTCGTTTTTGCTAAAAAAAAAACACATATTAAGTAAAATTTTGATGTTAGCAATCATGCAAAATGCATTAAATTCAAATCGTACACATTGTATAACTTGTTGAAAAAATTCTGGTTCTTTGGAAGCTAACAAACAGTCATTGTCTTTACATGAAGTCTCATTTGTTGGACAATCATCGATTATTGACAAATCCGAATCCGATATTGTATACGTATTATAATAACCTTCATCCATGATATTGTCAAAAAATTTAAAAATGTAAGTCACAAAATACAATAAACTACGAAATCTAAATTCTCAAATAATCAAATGAAGATTTAAAGAACAAAATTACAAATTTTACGAAAATTGATAAGTATTATCTTTATTTTAGTTTACGCGCCATTTTTTAAAGCTCGAATATAATATTGTGATAATCGAATTGATTAAGATATTTTTGTATTTATTTTAAGTTTTAATTTATATTGGGTTCACGCCGTTCACGGTCTTCTAAAATCGTGCATTAATTGATGGTTGAATTAGTTGCTTTCATCGAAAATATCTTTATAAAATAACACTTTATATTTTTTTATCTATTTATACATTTGTTTAAGCCTTTGACAGTTGAATGAGACGTTACTTTTTACATTTAACATTGACTGAAAGATTATTTTAAACGTACCAATTATAGTTATAATTATTCAAGCTAAATCACAACGAAAAGTGTAATAATTAATTTTGTTTATTGGTAGGGAGATTTTTAGGTCATCAGCGAACAATAAATATTTATAAGATTTGAAGATATCTCCAATATCGCCAATGAATTAAATAAGTAAAATTAAAGATAAAATATGATCACCCTGAGAACCCCAGATGGAGCATTTGCGTTATTGGATATGAAGGGAATTCAATAAATTTGAAAATAGCCATTGGACTAATCAGGACTGATAAACAGTAACATAATTAATGAGGTTATTAAATATTTTCATTATAAATGTATAGCAATTAGCATTGTTATCTGTTATTGCTCCCTGTAGGTATTAAAATATGCATACAGTGACTAAGAGTTTCTAAACTTATATAATTACCCAGTTAAATGCAGAACAATTTATTTTATAAGAAAAGTGAGAACCATGTCATTGGACGATTTTCTCCAATCGTACTAAAGACCTTTCTAAGATTTGTGTAGATTGCATGTCCTGACTATTTAACATAGAGTGAATATGAGTATAATACTATTAAGATTGATTTTGTGGATTTAGATTTACCAAAAACCCTTGCTTTCATACATTTTTTAAGAAGTTTTGGTGAAAAATTAAGTTTGAATTTTGGACGATAATTGGTAACCTCTGATTTATTGTAGACCTTTCAAAGAGAAATTAAATAGCTTTAATTTTCCATTTTTTTAGGAAAATACCAGATTATAAATATAATATATATTACTAAGAAGATTATGATCAAATATGGAAAAAAAAATGGAAACATTTAAATTGTAAGTCATTATTAAGAGTTTAAATTACAAAATGTAATTTTATTAAATTAATATTTCTTTAACGGTATACAAACTTTATTCATTTAAAGAGATTATTAGTCATTCATAAAAAAATAAAAAACAAAACAAAAAATAAAAACAAAATCGATTATTTATTTTCCATATTTTTAATTTAAATATAAAAATTATTACAATACAGGTATAATATTATACTTAATCCCATTTACAGTAGATAATGTAATTTTGTTTAAGAATAATTTTAAGTAGTCATTAGTCAATTGAACAATAATCATGTTGCTTTTCACTAAAAATAAAGAACGTGATTTGAATAATACTTAATTTTTAAAGCACTGAATATGAAAAATTTCAGCACAATTATAATATATTTATTTGTTATTTTTAATATTTAAAAACAATATAAGTTAAAACATTATTAAATATACTGACATTAAATTAAATACCATTTACTAGAAAAAAACAAAATACAAAGTAAAAAAACTAAAATAGCATTTTTAAATATTAAAAAATATATAAATAAAAACATTGAATTCAAACATAATAATTAATTAGTAACAATATTTTAAATAAGTTTAGAAAATATTATAAACAATTGTTATGAATAAAATGTTTATCTTAAATAATTTATCTTAACACTTGAGTATAAAATGTATAAGGAAATGTAATTTATAGCTTATAGATATTAAGTTTGATCATTAAATTTTGTACTTTTACCTATATTTTGTCAAAATACTATACCATGATCAATAATATAAAAAATCGTTAAAAATACATGAAAGTAAAATAAAACCCTTAAATTCAATACAAAATATAAATTAACATTATTAATCATAAAATTATAATGCCAAGATAATTTAATAGTAAGATTTAGTTTTACTTGTGTAAGGAAGTTTTGTATTGATTAGATAAATGTTATATATTTTACATTTTACAAGAATTTATTTTTTACAACATACCTATAATAAAGAAACTGATAGTGTAAGCATATAAAATTTCACAAGTGTTTATTATTGAAATAATTTAAATTTAATTAAAGGGTAACCAATTTAAGTTAATTATAAAAATTGTGAAATTTTACTGAAAATTCTTTAAAGCGTTGAATAAACAATAAAATATAACAAGTGAAAATGTATATATTATCAATATTTGTTCCTATTTGAAAAAGCATAAATTTATAAATGATTAACTATTACAAAATGATAGCAATTAGAATTCAGCTTTCATTTGTTGGTTCAGGATTAATAATTACTTGAATTACATAACTTGGAAGAATTCTTGCTTCATCTATATGTAATTTATCACCCAACAGCTTACCACCAAAAAACCATCTTTGATGTAAAGGTTCAATGCCTTGTTTAGCCTAGAAAATAAAAATAAATAACTAAAAGTTTTATATGAACATTTTAAAATTAAATTATTACATTTAATCAAAATAATTTTAAGTCATTCAAAATTGTTTTTGGTTTTTTTTTTTTTTTTAAATCACACATCAAAAAAAAAAAAAAAAAAATAATTTCATACTTAAGTACTCAATAATTTTATTTTAAATATATAATATTGATATGATCACAGGACCAACTACCTAAAATAGGAATTCTAACATTATTTTTATTCTTTAACTTAGTATTTTAAAATAATAAGATAATTTTTAAATCTTAAAACAAATAAATTAGAATACTCTAAATTACTTACTTGCAATTTCTTTTTAGCTTGTGCTATTGTATCTCTTGTCATGAGTGGCATTTTTATATCTTGACAATTGGATGATAGACGGAGTTTTAACATGATTTCAGAACCTTCATCTGAGGATTCTATGCAATAAAAATTTAAAAAAATAAATTATACAGGCTTAGTGTAGTTTATTATAAATAGCTTACAATAATTTAATGATTGTGAATATAATTTAATTAATTTTTACCTGTTTGTTCAACTGGAGAATCTCTTCCACTCCCTTCTTTCACTATATTTATAGGATAGGAAAGACAGTATACTGGAACTTGATATCTTGTTCCTAACTCATCATAGCACTCAGTTAGAAATCCTTGCAACAGACAAATTACATATTATATTGTTATGTTGAAACATGTAATACAAACAAATGTGAAAAACTTCATGCATTTAATAGCATTTAATATTTATAGTTATTAACAAAATATGTATTTTTGACTTCAATAGAAGTAAAAATGAGCTAAATAATTTACAATATTTGACAGTTGTCTTCTTAGCATAAACTAATAATTTATTTATTTTGTATATATGAAAAAGCTTATAAATTTAATAAGGGTTTTATTCTAAACATTTAATTTTTTTAGTTTTTAATATTGAAAGAAAATTTATTAGTTTTATTAAAGCATCAAAAATTGATTGTTAAGAATAAATCATTTAACTCTAATTATAGTGAATTGATATAATAAAAAATTTAAAAATAAACATATTATCCAGGATCTTTATTAGATTTTTTATCTATTTAAATTTTAAAAATTTAAAATACTCAGAATTATAAATAGAATTCTGTGTCAGTTGACACAAAATAGTATCACTAATATATTTTTTTCCACACTTATTCAGTTACATAGGCATGCGCACGGGTAAGGCTGATTGAGCTTTAGCCCCATTTGAGCCTTTTTTATAAGAGGGTGGGCACTTGGTACCTAAAAAAGTAATGAAGCATTATAGCCATGGAAAATTGATAACAAAATAAATCAAAATCATAGATATTTGCACGATTAGAGATATACTGGTTGCTCATAGGCATGATTTTTTTCTTGTATGACCATGGTGGTGGGGAGGGTGGGTAGTCAGATTGAATTTAGCCATACCTGACTCAGAAGTCTGCGCACGCCTATGTTCAATTATAAAAATACATACCCATAAATTTGGTACTTAAACATTTACAATTTTATGGTTGTTTCAGATTTAATAGTTAATTTGGGTGTTTTTATATCATTAATACTGGATAAAACAGATTTTATATTTTTTTAAGGTAATTCTAGTGCAAATAGTAGAGGATTCAGATATTATTTAAAAATAAAGTATTTAATAATACTTTTAATAATCATTATTTTTAATCAATTTTTACTAACTGATATCAATGCTTACTTGAATACATACTTAATATATTATACTCAATAGATCACTAATTTAAGATCTTTTTAGAAATTTATTTTTAAACATATTTAAATATTTAATAAAAAATTGAATTTGCTTTTTTTCTACCACTTTTGAAAGAAACTTTATCAGCTATAAATAAGTTTTGTATAAATTAAAAATATAAAACAAATGTTCATTTTTTTTTTTTTTTTATATAGTTAGGTAATTTATAACTTTACTGAAAAATATTGCTTTTTTTTTAGCCTTAATCACTTGTAGTGTTTTAATTATTCAAAAACACATTAATAATAAATTTATTTTTAAATTTCTAAATAAAACTGAAATAATATAAATATATTATATATTTTAATAAACAATATATGTAGATTAGTTTATATTTAAATAACAATAAACACAAAAATATTATATTTTTCAGGATACTACATATATTCAGTCTTATATAATATTTAGTTTGTATGGTAATACTGTAAGGTTATTTGTTATTCTTACATTATACTTTTGTAATTTAAATTTTGATATTGATTATTTTTACTTATAAAATACAAAAATAATTAATGCTAGTGCTTGTTTTTGCTATTTTAAGTAATATTATATTTAATTTATAAATTATCTAATACAGTTTATTAAATTTTCAGATTAGCTATTGCAAGAAAAATTAAATTACAGCAACATAACTATGTATAATATTAATAATAAAAATAATTTAAAACTCAACGTTATAGTTAATAAATTAATTTTATAGCAATAATATTTATTTTTAACACTAATAGTTTATTTTTTAAAGAATATTTAGAGCAGCAATGTTTTATTTTAAATGATTTTTTTATAATAGTTTTAAAGCTTCAAAATTCACATTATAGTCATCATCAATCCAAAAAAATAGTTCTAAAATAGATTTATTTATTTAAATAATTAACTTGATTATTTTATTAGACCAATACTGTTTTTTATTAGAAACTTTTAAATGAATAATTTAAGTTTAATTGTGTGATATCTAGTCATTTCAAAATACTTCATTGGAACACTGGGACACTATATTTAAAACGAGTAGTCATTTTTAACATTTTATGTATTTTAATTAGTACTAAAAACCAAACAAACAACTTATTTTCATTAATTTATCTGAAAAAATGTCACTAATTAGTTGTTTAATATATGAAAATATATACAATAATAAAAAGACAAGACAAGGAATTTAAACTAGTTTTCAAAATGTATATCACATAATTAGATCAATCAGTATTTAGTATGTTGGAATGTAAATAGCCATTTTAAATCCTTTAAAGTGTTATTTTGTAATGTTCTAATAAATGGAAAATGCAAATTTATTAACAAATTAATTAGGTATCTATTTATCATGAAGTTTATTATATCAATCCACTCAGATGTAATAATCAATTGTTTAATTTTGATTTTTATTTTGACACATATAAGACTATTAACTGTTTTTAAAATATTTATATTATAATTAATATTATAATCTTAATGTCAATAAATGCAAGATTGATTAATAAAGATTTTCTAAAGATACTTAATAAAAACTTAATTGAAACATATCATTGAATAAATATAAACATCATAAAACTATTTACCGTTAGGAACTGAAATGTTGGCACCATCTAATATAGCTTGTGCCAATTGAAAATCAGTCGTTTCAGCAGCTGCAGTAGCTGCTCTTAAAGCATCCCATATTTCCTTACGTCCTTCAAATGCTGGAGCTGTATCCCAAAATTCATCTCGTTTGCTCCTCAACTGACCTTCAGTTAAGGGAACATCAGATTTCCAACGGATAGTTTCATGGCATAATGGATGATTTTTTCTATTAGTACCTACAGAAAAAATTATGTTTACAAAATTGCATTAAAAACAATGAATTAATAATAATTTTAAAGACAATTGTGATTTAATTGGAAAAAAGTGAATTAAGTTGGAATATGATTTCTAAAAATATTTAAATTAAGTATAACAAATGAAAAAACTATTAGTCAAATTAAAAATAATAAATAATAAATATTAATGATAATTTATTTTTAGTACTAAACATTTATAATCAGTCTTTTACATTTACTAATTACCTATATCATGTGCAATTATTTTGTAGGGAGTATGAATATGATATTGGAATAGTGATGGATAATATTGATAACTAAAAAACAAGAATACTTAATTACTCATTTTTTAGCACAAAAATCAGACTACAACTTTTTGTAAGTATTTACTATATAATAAGAATAACTAAGGTATTACCCTATGCAGTTGGTCTCTAAACTTATGAAGAATTTCAAGAAACTGGAAACCAAAACAGGAGTCAGATCTTATCATATGACTAATACAATTTGGATTACAAAAATTAAACAATCATGGTAGTTATTAAAATATTATTTTTTCTTTATAAGGATGACAGATAACTAAGAACACACCCTATTTAAAATATGAAATAAAAATGTTATAAAAACAATGAAGACATAAAATTACATAGGTACTTTGATTTTAATTAGCATTAAAAATGTATATTGAATATTGTAGCATTTTACCTATTTAAATAAACCATATACATGTATTATAATATATATATATATATATCTTATGATAAATAACAATTGTAATTTGCAATTTGTACTAATACCTATTTAATCAAGCAAAATGTTACAAGACAACAATACAGGTACAGATAATTAATAATCTACCAGAACTCGGGCGAGATCCATTGTCCGAGGATGCATTCCTTCCCCTGCGATTTCTTTGTAAACCTAAACAGCCTCCCATATTGTTCGAAGAAGCCTTGGATTCATGGCAGCCTTACATTTAAATTGAGCTAGTCGGCGTTCGTAGAATATAATATTAATATCCAACAATAAAATTTGTGTAGAATGTACAACGTTCAATAAATATAAATCACACGTAAAATAATAATTATGTAAAAAATAGAAAACAATAAAATTTTGTAGAAAATGAAAAAACAAATAATTATCAAACATTCAAGCCCTGATAAAAATTAATACTTTCATCATGGAAATCATGTTCTTTACTTACTCCATGAATGAATGGGTGATATATTATGTTTTGTAAAGCACTTATCAACTAACAGCTTATCACTATATTTTTTAAGCAGTTGTGTTATAATCGGTCGGGCGGTCGGCGGCAATGTTGATTGTTGATTGTGAAATATAATACACTATTTTATAATACAGACAATACAGTATGCGTGCACGTTTTTTGGTAAAATCTCTCAAAACCATTTAATAAATAATAACATTTTATCTCCAAAACTTTAAAATGACGTATGTATTGAACGAAATTTTGGATGTTGTAAAAAATGGGAATGGTATTGATTCTACATGTGATGTAGTTAGCAAAGGTAATAAAATATTAATTAAAATTTGAAATATACTTAATAATGTTTTATAAATACTATTGTAGATTGTAGTAAGTCTTTATAAGGTTATTATTAAATTATCATTTTAAACATATTTTACCAAAATTAATATTAAAAGAAAATAGTAAATTAACCAATATAACTTTAATATTTGAAATGTCACTGTAATTAATTAATTACCAATATTTAAATATTGTGTTAATTTTAAATGAAAAAAAAATTTTTTTTATGTAGTTTTCTAGTTTAGTATAAACATTTATATGTTATTATTAAATCCCATGTATATCATTATTTTTAAATATTCAACAGATATACAATTATTCAATAATAATATTATATTAATTTGAAGATCTTTACATTTTTTTTAAGTATTCACTCTGAAATACTACTATAACTGATAATATCTAAAAAATAATTTTTGAAGTCTAAATTAAAAATTAATATTTAATTTAATTTATTACAGCAATTTAAAACAAAAAAACAATTGTTAAACATTATTATTATTTTTAGAAATATCAAATAAAAGATTAACTTTTCTCCAATTTGTCGAGAGTTTGGAAGACATTTTGACTTCTACAGATAAAGACATTCGCCTAAATGGAGTTAAGGCATTTGTAACAGTTTTAAAGAGATTACCTTTGGATTTTTTTATACCTGAAGAGTTGGATTACATAAGTCAATTTTTGTGTGAACGTTTGATTGATCATCATTCATTTGTACCAATTGTTTTGGTTGGAATTGAATATACTGTAAGACTATAATTAATTGTATTTTTTTAAATAGAATTAAATTTGAATTTTTTAAACATAATTTAGGTACAAATGAAAAATATTAGCAAACAACTGATTATAAGGTATTTTAATACAATCATGCCTCATTTTCATTGTCAATCACAACTTCAAAATGACCGAAATACATTCTATTGTATATTACAATATATATTTTTGAATCGACTAGATGGTAATAATAATTATCTACTACTTTAATACTTATCTATTTTAGAATATTCATTTTGTAACAATATTTCAACTTTTTTAAATCTGTAATGTATATAAATTTTTAAATTTTTTATAACTTTTTTCTACTGATCACATTATTTAATTTTATAAGCAAGATTGCTTTCATACAATTTTATTATACCGAACAATGTAAATTCTAATAACATTGATTTAGATTTAAATCTGAAATGTTCTTGTTATATCAGTAGAAATAAGAAATGAAAATATTTATGGATATTTTTTTTTAGATTTACGTTTTATGGGACCCGATTTCTTGTATTTTGTTATTTCTTCAATGGATGGTGAACGAGATCCTAATAATTTAATACTACTCTTTAGAATACTACCTCAATTTTTAAGAAATTTTCCATTAGGTCATTTAGCAGAGGAAACTTTTGATGTTATTGCCTGCTACTTTCCTATAGATTTCTATGAAGTAAAAATTAAAATATTTATTTATGATAATAACTTCTAAGTTATTACAAATTTTAATTATAATTTTGTTTTACAGACAGAAGAAAGTAAAATAACTAGAGATGAATTAGCAACTAATTTATCTCGATGTCTTACATGTGTAGAAGAATTTGCAGACTTTTGTATTCCTTTGGCTTTACAAAAATTAGAAACTAGTTTGAAAGTTGCAAAATTAGATTCATTGCATTTATTGGTAAAAAATTATAACAATTTTTAATAATCAATTATAATATTAGTCCCTTTATCATTTTTGTGAACTTTTTATTTACGTTTTGTCATAGTATTTCAGATGTAACATGAAAAAAAAATACATTTTAATTTTAATACTCAATACCAAATTTTAACTACCAATATTTCTGATATATTTAATTATTATACTTAATGTATTTCTTAATTTATTTTTAAAAATTTATAAAGTATAATATTATTTGATATGTGAAATTTATATTTAAAATTATATTTTTGCATAAATATTATGTTATTTATAAATAGGCCTTGAATAGTTTTTAAATTTGATATATATATATATTAAAAACTAATGCATTTTATTATTTTAGAAATTATGTTGTGAGAACTTTGATCCCATAAAAATCAAATTTCACATTGAAGAAATATGGCGTATTTTAAAAATGATAATAATGGCGGATACTGAAGATTCGGCAGATGAAATTAGAGAAGCTGCTATCAGTGTTTTAACTGCACTATTGTACTCACTTACTATTATTAAAGGAGATAATGAACAAGAACAACTATCAAATTTCTTAGATATTATTCTTAAAAGTTTGTATTTCTGAAACTTAGTTTTTAATTTGTTTTATTTAATTCTTTTATTTTTTTATTTTTTAGGTTCTAATAGATTTTTATTGGACACACAAGCAACTCTATTTATACCTTCAATTAAACTTCTTTGTAGTGTTGGAAAAACTTCAAACTATGCTTGTCTTAAGATAGCAAATAAAGTAAACCTAATTTATAGTTATTTATATTTTTAAATAAAAAGATGAATATAACTTCATAATTATAGATAATTTATTTGTAATTAATACAGGTGTATTTAATTCTTCTTGACAAAAGTGATGTATCACGATCAGAAATTATAAGAATCATAGAAGCTATGGGATTAATTACAAATATGTGTTTACAAATGAATATCGATTTATCATGTAAGTTACTAAATGACATGTCAATGATTTTTTTTTAAAGGTTTCAATACTTATTTTATTGTACAACATTTATAAGTTAAATTTTAATTATACCATTAAAATATTTATTATTTATATGCATACAATTTTTACTCAAATTTATGTAAATATGTCACTGATTAGAGTCTTAGTTTAATTTTTTTATTACTTCACTATTTTAAATTTCATCAGCTATATTTATATTCTTACAACTTCTTTATTTATTTTAAATAATATTTTCTGTTTGTGTTTTATTTCCAATCTTGAATATCTAAATAAACTCTTATTTTGAAATAAATTATTGAAAATAAAATCATGGCTTTATTTTTAGCTATACCTGGTCTGGAAAAAAGATGGGAAGAAATATGTTGTTACTTTTTACTTTATGCTCAAAATGAATTGCCAGAAATAAAAATTTCTGCTTTGAAAGCATTAAAAATATCAACTAAAATACTAACTAATTCTCAACGTCAGAATTATTACTGTATTTTAATTACGTTAATCAAATCTGATATAACAGATTCTGTTAGAAAAGAGACATTATCTTGTTTTAAAGAAGCAGCAAAATATTTTAAAGAGGAAATAAATAGTGAAATCGTGCAATTTAACTTAAACATTTTCAACCGTAAGTAATTTTTAAAACATAATAAATAAATTTGAATATTTTATGAATACTTTTGCTAATAACGTTAATTGTCTTTTTTTTTGTTTTTAGAATCTAATGATATTATATTAAAATCAAAATGGTTAAATGCATTATGTTGTTTGGGAAATGAAGAATATTTTTTTACTTTAATTAACGACATTCTAAGTGCTAATTTGTCAATAAAACAAGCTGAAACTGAGATAGCTTTAAAATGCTTAAGGTGAATAACTAGATATTTAAATATAATTTGTTATACAACTTGTTGAAATTATTATTATATTATTATTGTTATTTTTTTATATTTTATTTCAGAGATATAGTTAAAAATATTGAAAACATCAACTTGTTACATCATTTTGCTTTAAAAGGTGGACTCTTAAACTATATTTTAATAACTTGGATCAATGGTATCAAGAGTTGTGCTGATTTCAATATATTTAGAAACGAAATTGTTTTAGAAGATGTGTCTTTTGTTATTAATTCTATTGTAAAAGTGATCAATACCAGGTAACTTTTATTATTATTTTACAATATTTTCAAATCTGAATTATTGTAGTTATCATAAAGACTGTTGATGCTTATCATTTGTTGCTTTCATATAACATAATTTAGTAAGAAGATTAAATTACTTTTTACATTAGATTATTTGCAAATATCATTTACCATTTTCATTAAAAAATTATTACTAATTATACCTTGTCCAGCAAATGTATATATTATGACCTAATGAAAATCAGTTCTTTTGTGTATCTCCATAAAACACCTTATCACTAAGACTATCTCCACTATGGTGAAGATGTGTAGAATTGATATGTTCTCTTGCTGGAAAGAGTATAGCATTAACTTATTTATTTTTTATTAAATTTTCATCTATTAATCAAATTATGATGAAAGGGATTGTTTAATAAACAAAATTAATGGCGATAATGTGAACCTGGCAGCCAGCCCAAAATTACTTTAAAATCTATGGTTGGGTAAATGATTTTCCCTAAATGATGCTCCTAATATAGTTACAGCTGATTGTTTTAAAGTTAATTGATTAAATTAAATACAGATGGTACAATCCTGTCTGATTCCAATATTCATGATCTTAACTCTGTCTGAGGCTTTTGTTTTGATCTCTTAACAAGATATTTTTTACAGTAGCAGGTTGTTAGCCCACCGTTAAACCCCACCATGGGGACTTGTCTGGGCTAATTACCTGTCAATAATTAGTGATTATGTTTATATTGAAATACACCCAAAGGCATTGTTACAATAATATTAACAATATGTATATGTTTGATTTTAGTGAACAACTTCAAATACTTAATCAATTCAATCAATATTTCAATGACATTTTGGATACAAAAATAAATTATAAAACACTTTCTGATACACAACAAGACATACATTCATATATGGTATTTAATGATTTTAAATTTAGAAATAAAATTATTATTAATTTGTTCCCCTTTATTTATTTGTTCATAATATGGTAAAATGAAATAAATATTATTCAAATCAAGAAATTTTAATTTAACTTCTTATCTGTATTTTATAAATGAGTTTTATTTCACTAAATTATATTAGTGTTTATAATCACTATTAACAAGAATAATAAAATCATTAAAATAGTAATTAAGATCATTGCAAAAAGAGATTAAACTAAGCAGTTTAATTTACTATTACATTAAAATTGGTTTATTAGAATATTATAATGACATAGCTTTTTATTTTATTATTTGGAACAGTAAACTTCTGATAATTTTGGAATAATAATCACATTTTATGTTTTAAAAATTCTGATTTTTGCAGGTTATTTTATTAGAAAGTATTCTAAATTCATTAAACAAAAATATCAAACTGAAAAATGTGACTTTATTAATTGAAAACTGCATTGAATTATCAACATATTCTAATAATTCAATATGTAGTTTATCTGCTTCGCGGTTAACAGCAACATTAATTAATAAATATATTGATGGTATGTTTATCAATAACTATTATAAAAAATTGTAAAAAAGCTGTTTTATTTCTTACTATTTTATTTTTAGGTGATGAAAATGATTTCTTAATTGATAAATTAAAATTAAATTTAGAAAATTATTTAAATTTATCAAGCTTGTATATCAATAATGTGATAATTCAAATATCATGGATCACTAAGTCTTTATCTATTAAAGGTCATGGTAAAATGCTAAAATGGATTGACTGGGTATTAAAAAAATATAATTATTTAATTGATAAATGTTTACTTAATATATTATTTTTAGTCATTGGATTTATTGGCAGACCCTTTGTATGGGAAGATGATGACACAATGTTTTAAAATGTTAACACAAACAGATGATGGATATCTTAATAAAGAGTGTAATTGTTCAGTTAAGTTAGTACTCTTGTATAATTTACTTCAGTAATTGTATAAGTATTTATTATCTTTTATTTAGTGACTCTTGAGTCAATTTAAATTCAATCTCTGAATGGCTTATAATATATTTATATTTTTACTCATTTAAAATGTTTCTATTGTTAAAATATTACATTGAATTAATTGTTTTCATAAACATTGCATATATTATATAGCAATAATAATTATTATAACATGATATTATATATTATTGTTTTTAACTTATTATTTATTAGCCAATACCCACATATTATAGAATGATGAATGATGATAATAGATTAATAATATGAATAAATTAAAATTATTCTTTTAAAAAAGTTTTAAAAGAAATTTATAAATTTTTTAATTACAACATAGTAACTAAAATTGTTAATTTTTGAACTTCAATTTCCTATAAAAAAAAATTATGTTCATGTATTTTAAATATTTTAAAATTAAGAACATCTTAAAAAATCTATTTTTATATTTTCAAAATTTTTAACCTAGATAAATATTTTTATAATAATTTATCAAAAATAAACATTTCAAATGTCTTTAAATACCTTAAACTTGGACCTAATATTTTCTGAATTTCTTTGTGTATAAAAAATAAAAATTTAAGTAACAGTAAAATAATTAAAATTTCTGCAATTAATACTTTTTTAATTATAAAAAAAAAAAAAAATTGTATCTATACAATTTTTCACATATAAATTTGACTAAATTATTTTTTTTTTTTTTTTAGATTATTATATAAACAAAGAATATTCTGTTATGTTATTGAACCACTCATATCCAGGTATAATACAATGTCTGAACCTGTCAAAGAAAATTATCTCGTTAGTATTTTATACCAAATGGATGGTAACACATATGTGACACTTTCACCATATTTTTCTAAGGTAATCTTAAAGATCATTATTATTAATTGTTAACATTATTATTATTGACTTACTATAAAGGTTATTAAATAAATTATATCTTTACATTAATATCTAGTTTAAAATTGTATAAATAATAATTTAGTTGATACAATTTTATACACATAAATTATTTGTTTTGTTTACTAAACAATTTACTGTTACAGATATTACCTCTATTACTCCAACTATTATCTCCTGAACAAGATTATGTCTTACAATCGTTACAAACTTTTCGTAATCTTTTAGAATCCAAAACTCCAGTATTAGAAGATTATTTGCAATCTTTTGTCCCGAAATTGCTAAACCTATCTCAAAGTTCAAAGTTTATGAATATAAGAATAGTAGCTTTACAATGTCTGTATAATTGCTGTGACTATTCTTTAATAAATCTTTTACCCTTAAAAAGACAGGTATTAATTCAGAAAAATTTTAATTAATTGTATTTCAATTATAAATTATGATTATTTTTAGGTTATTTTGGAGTTGACAAAATGTTTAGATGACAAAAAACGATTGGTTCGTAAAGAAGTGGTCAAAACAAAATCTCGATGGTTGTCTATAGATGTATTGAATGATGATGATTAACATTGAACACATTTAATTCTTTGTTTATTTATAAATATTGTCAGGAAATGTATAGTATTCAGTTTGTTAAATTTAATATTGCTGTTTGATATTTTTATTTATTTGTCATATATTGATATGAGTTTTCAAATAAAATTTTCATACAATTTAAAATAAATAACCTCTAAATATAACTAGATTCATTATTCTAATGAATTTAAAAATGATATAAGATTTACAATATGATAGTATGATACTTTTAAATGTTAATAAATTAATAAATTTAAAATGTGGTGAGATTAAAGATTGTAAGATAATTATATAAACAAAAATTAAGGAAATCAAGCTATTTACAACTAAACTCGTGTTTTTTCCAACTGCTCATCACTCTAATCCCCGTCTAAAATTATTTAATTTTTTATTTAATAACAAATTATTAACAATATCATCTTAATGGACCCTCAAATAATTTTAAGTTTATCTTCTAGACCTATTATTATTATTACTTTATTAATCATAAATTCATAATGTTTAAAAGTTTTTCGAATTTCCTAGATTCTTAAATTAATCCTGATGTAAGTATGTTTTCAGTTGTATTGTTTGTATACTATATATTATTTGTAACGGTCGTCATTTTTTTTTATTTATGTACATAGTTGTAATCATTGAGCTGTATTAATTTAGATACCTATTGGAAGCTATTAGAAAAAAAAGTGTAGTGTAGACTTATTCACATAGTATATCCCTTGTTTAAATTACCTCTTATTATTTATATATATTTTTTTTTTTTTTGAACTTAAGCCCGGCAACTAGGGCCATTAGCTGTTTGTAGGGGTTATGAACTATGGTAAGGGGTAAGGTTGGTACGGTAAGTTGTATTTTTACGAATGTTACGGTTGATAGCAAACACGTGTGTGTGTGGCAAGGTTTTTAACCACTATGATCCCGAGTGGTCACCCATTCGGAAGCTAGTAGCTGTGGCCGTTACTTACTCTCAGTTGCATTCCGTGACTGGTAGCAGCCAACGCGCCACACCAAGCCACTATTTATATTTAAAACACGCAAATGTGCATGATAACATTTTAATAAGCCACCGAAATTTCTCTGCAGTCTAGAAGATATTGAGTGTTCTACGTCATTGAGTTAGTAACTGTAATGGATACATAAATCATTGTACTTATATACTATGCAATGAAAAACTATTCTGAGCAGAGATCATCTGCCGACTGTCAGTTGTCACTGGTCAGTCTATATTTTTAAGAATAATTTGTTAAATATTTATATTGTTGTTAATAATTTTATTCTAATAGTAAAACAGTAGGTAGTGTAAATTAATTGTTATAAAAAAAAAATAGTAATAAAATTACTAAAATATTATTTCATCTTATATTACTAGCTTTTATAAATTTATAAGTCAAAAATAAAAATATATAACAATTTATAAATGTATATTATACAATATGTAAATGTACTTATATCACATTTATCTCATATTTTATTAGTAACTACCAGAATACTTTTTACAGATTTTTAAATTAATATTTATGAAGAACTGAAAATGAATCAGATACTTCTACATCACCTGTATAACCTGTTATAATATAAATGTAATGCAATTATTAAATAATTATAATAATATTTCTATATTTACTATTTCTTTCATATTATGAGTGGAGCAATGAATAGGTATATTGATTTAACAATGATGTGTTTTTTTCTATCTTTCATCATGTTCTGGAGATAAAAGTACTTAATTTTCAATTTGAGATTGGTTTCTGGTTAGTAACAAATTAGATCTATATAATTGTTTCTTTTTTTTTGGGTGGGGGGGGAGTAAATAGTAAAAGAAATTCCTAGTAATTTTTAAAATAACCAGAATAAATTAGTGTAAAACAGGCATTTTTACATAGAACCAGTATTCGACAAAATCGTTTATGTTTTGTTTTTTGTAGTAATTCCAAAACATAAACAATAGAATATAGATACTGAAATTTTTACCAAACGTTTATATTATTATTTTCTATATATGTTAATTTTTTTTTTATTTTGTGGTGAGGAGTAGAATAGTATTACGTGATTCATCCCTTTTGAGATTATCTGGCCAATAACCATATCACAATATACAATCCACATTTTTTCCGTGTACTATGATAAATTTTTGCTCCAAGATTTCTATGAGCAAATGAACATTTGTTCATAATGTTTTGTTTAAATAACAAATAATTTATAGAACAAAGTTTATCAAATCAAAGGTATTTTTTGAAAAAATAAAGATTTTAAAGAAAAAATGTCTAGCGAAAAACTAAAATATCCACTGGAAGTTGGAAAAAATGTGATGAGAAACAATGGTAAAATTTAGAAATTAATCTCATTGGAAGAAGTTGACTGGGAAAATATTTATGTAACAAAAGTTAGTATTCCATCTTTGTCACATAGACCTTATGGCTTATTCTAAATTTCTAAAAGTCTATGCTTTGCCAGCTTGTATATTATTATCACAGAATATTTAATCATTCTGGGTTATCATCTTATTCTGTGTTTTGATATGATAATGATTATCACGAACTGTATACGTAGTATATCTTATTTTTTATAGTTCTGTGGCAGAATGTTTGGTTTATCATATTTCATGTTAGATAATTTGATTAAAATGATTTAATTCATTAGTATTTTGTGATTAGATTAATATTTAATACTTAAGTAAATATTAAATTGTTGTGTGTTAGAATTTGGAAGCTAATGATTAACGACTTGCAAATTGCAATTAACAAGTCACGGCTCGTGAAGTCATAAACTCGTGAATGAGTAGCTATGTCTGCAAAAACGTTTAAGTAATAATTATTTGACATAATTTAAACTTAAGTGTCCATTTAGAAAATTAACTATAGTGTTTAAAATTCGCTACTGTCTGAAATTTTTTAGTCCTTACTGTTTTATATTAGATATTATTATTTGTTTCTCAATTTGTTCACATTTAAATCGTAATTTTTTATTAGGTTCTTGATTTGTATCGTTAGAGATTTCACAATACAAGCTATGCATATCTTATATTTTAATATATTACATAATTCTATAATTGTATACATTTATATAATATAGTATATTTAAAGTTGTAATTTTCATAATATCCTCTTTCAGCTGTTAGTATGAATTCATAATTTATTAAATCTAAATAATGTATTAAATTATTATTGTTATTTTTATTTTATTGCATGTTTAATTAGTTTCAGAATACTATAAAATAAGTTAAATTATAACTTTGCATAAAAAAATAAACTATTCAACATATCAAGAATTTTCTTAGTTACAATGTATGACTATGAGTATGGCGATCTATGTTTTGATGAAGATAAAATGTAAGTTTAAATATTAACTTAATTGTGATATTTTTATTTTAAATTATGATTTGTTTAGGGGTATGAAAGTAACTTCTGGGGTTGTAACAATTAATAAAGATCCAACAACCAATCTTATAGGAATAACAATAGGTGGAGGACCACCTCACTGCCCTTGTATATATGTCATACAGGTATAAATTATTTTTCTTCACTTCTAGCAATTACTGATTTAGTGATTTATAATGTATTTAATTTTAATCATTAATCCAATATACTCATTATGTAAATCATATTGTCTTAGGTATCTGACAATTCACCAGCTGCATTAGATGGTACACTAGAAAGTGGTGATGAGCTTTTAGCTATTAATAATGAATGTGTACGTGGACATACCAAGCTACAAGTAGCGCAAATGATACAATCAAGTGTTGTGAGTTTAAATAATTTTATCTTTTCATGTAAAACTAAACTTTTTATTATATTTAATTTATGTTTATTTATTTGCATGTAAGGATCGAGTTATTTTAAAATATAATAAGTTACATGCTGATGCCCGTCAAGGTAAAACTTTGGATATTGTATTAAAAAAGGTTAAACATAGACTAGTTGAACGTATGTCTGCCACCACTGCTGATTCTTTGGGTATGTCTCGTGCAATATTAGTTAATGATAGTCTTGTTAAACGTTTACAACAGCTGGATGACATGGAACAATCATATCGTCACTTGGTTGATCATACAGAACGTGTACTTCGTGCATTTTATGCTTTGACACAATGTTTTAAAGGTACTTATAAATTATTTTTGGATCTTATAATTAAAGTTATTTTATTAATAACCTATGAATTGTGTTATTATTATCTGTATAAATTTCTTGCAGAGTTTGGTGATACATTTGCAGAAATAGGTGCTAGAGAACCACAACCTAGAGCTAGTGAAGCTTTAGTACGCTTTGCTGAATATCACAGACGAATGGAGCGTCAAGGCCTTATGCTAATCAAAGCTCTAAAACCTGTAAATATTAAAAAGCTTACATTGTTATTTTAATTATAATTTATAGTTCTGGAATAGATATCTAGGTCATTTGGTACATACCTGAATAAAGCTATTCCAGATACTAAGCAGACAATACGAAAATACGCTGATGTGAAATTTGAATATTTATCTTACTGCTTAAAAGTTAAAGAGTTAGATGATGAAGAGATAACTTATTGTTCAGCTGATGAACCTTTATATCGCATTGAAACAGGAAATTATGAATACAGGTATAGCAAATAATATTAATTTGAGTGTATCTATTGATAGTAACTGAAGTATATTGATTTAAAAAATGTTTACATTAAATTTATAATCATGTTCTTTTGTATAGACTTGTACTGAGATGTCGACAGTTGGCAAGAAAACGATTTGCTGCTCTTAGAGAAGATGTTTTGGCCAAAATTGAGCTATTGGAAAATAAACATGTGCATGATGTTGTTGGTCAATTGCATGCAATTGCTTCACATATGGCTAGTTACAATCGTGAAATAAGTTGGATGATGCTTGGAGGTAATAACGTTAGTGAACCACCGCTCTTTCCTATTGAAATGGATTTGACATGTAATGCATTTCAATATAAGTCTGTTCAACCAGTTAGTGAACTTAACCAAGATGATTTTAATGATGTAAGAAAAATATTTGTTTTATTGAAACTAACTAATTTATTACATATATTTACTCAATTATACATAAATTGATTATTAATTTAATTTATAGGAAAGTATACACAATCAAGTTGACAATCCAAGAGTGTACAGAGATTTGCCAATATTACTTAAAAATAATGATTCTGTTTCTGCTTTGACAGAATTATCACAATTATGTTTGGATACAGATGACACTGATAATGAAAATCATACATCATCTTCTCCATTGCTTTTAGATTTAAAATAATTTTCTTTTAATATAATAGAAAAATATTATATTTTTATCTGTTAATCTAATCATTCCTACTCATTTGTATGCATTTAAATACGCTTTGTACTAGTCACTTTTAATATATCACGCTTATCTATATTAAATAAAAAAAGAAATACTAAATTTCTAGTTTTTATTATTATCACTAGGGATGGGTTTGATCAGTTTTTTAATAATTATTTCTACTATATGTAGTTTCACAACACTGTAGTAAAAATTTTATTGAAATAAAAATTAGTATTACGTGATATGTTTTTTTTTTAATCTTGTTTGTGCAAATATAATAGTAAAATATAGTTAAAAAGTTTTAAACAGATTAAAAATAATAGTTTATGCTTAACTCTAAACATGGAACATACATTGTACATAATTCAGGCATTGAAAAGTGTCTGCTTATTGAAGGCTGAGATATTTTTTCATTAAAATCAAACAATAATTAATTTCATAATTATAATAAATCTATATTATTATTTTTTGAATAAAAAACAAAATCAATATAGCGCAGTTGGATAACAAAAGAAGCTTTTCTGAGAACATGTCTTCTATGTTTATAGTTCAGTGTATAACAATCAAATAATAGATTTTTAATATATTTGGAGATTAAGTTGCAATTAATATAATACATTAACAACATTTTATGGAAAATTATCATATTTTATTAAAAAAAATTAAAATTAACATGTCTTTAAACTAAAATCATTAATATCAAATAGTTGAAACTTAGATGTACCACTTCCACCAACAGCCACTAAAAATGGGTTATCTGTACATCCATCTAAACTATGCAACGCACCAGAAAATTCTCTTATTTTAATTAAGTGTTTATTTTCTCTATCCCATACCTTTAAGGTTTCGTCTGTTGAAGAACTAACAATAAATTTCTCCCAGACATAAATTCCAGTGACTTCATTCTCATGACCTCTATACTTCCATAATGGTTTATCAGCTCGACAATCATAGCAAATTAGTTGACCTCTATCAGTACCAATGTAACATAAAAATCCATTGGATGGATCCCAATGAACTTTTTCTACTTTACCTTTAATATACCAATTTTTATATGTATCATATGTACGACAATCATAAACATAAAAATCTGAAGAACCAACTGCGAGTGTTTGTGATTCGAATGGATGCCATTTAAGTGATTGGACATGATCTCCAAAATTTTCCATTCTTGTATGAGGTTCATTTGTTTCTAAATCCCAAAGTAAAGTAGTCTCATCTACCGAACCACTGGCAAGTATATGAGGTAGGTGTTCATTCCACGCTATATCTAAAATAGCATCAGTATGACCATAATTTCTCTCAGGATTTTTTTTCTTCTTTCTACCCAATCTGTAAACACAAATGAAATACTTAATATTAATTTTTTTTTTTTTTGTTAAGTTATAGTTACCTAAATGTAGGTTCCAAACACCCAATTAAATCTAAATCCCAAACTTCTATCACAGCAGACATGGATCCCATTGCACAGAAATTCCCAACAGAACCAAACCATTCCAAGCATAATGGTGGATGTTTCAAAATTATATCGTGATGAATGTAAAAATCTTTATCATTGTCATTATAAACATAGACTTCAAGTGAGCACTCAGTTTTCTTTACATTACCTACTAACACAAGATTGTCATCAGGTTTGAGGATTTCATCTAGTTTGTCACTATCGGTATCGGAATCATTAAAATCAGTATTATTATAGACGGCCAGACCACTAATCGACATAGCTCCTGACATATCCATTTCTTCTTCGTCATAATTATCTAAGCCGTAGTCTTTTTTATCGCTCTTGCTTAACTCTTTTTCTTTGGGTTTGATTTCTGTTAGTTCTTTTAATTCTTGTTGTGATAATTTTATCGTATTTTGATGTAACGACACACCTTGTTTCACCCATTTCACACATGGAATAAAACTTGTCATTGTTTAAATGTTTAATAATGTTTTTACTCAAAACTTTAATGATAAATTATTATTTATTTATTATTTATCATCGCATAACATAACGAGTTTATAAAACACGTGATGACTGAATTTCAGAATATAGTGATAGTGAATATGATTAATGTGAACTGCACTTCTATATCTACTATCAGTACTATCTTCAGTCGTGATATAAACAATTCAATATTAATTTCTTATCTTTCCTTACAGAACAAAATTTTATCACAATTATAGATAGTATTTTCAATTTTGCCAACGATTTCGGGTTTATCTTTTTTTAGTTTTTAGAGAGCTGTTGAATGTTGAATATGACGAGTAAGGTTTATAATGTTTATATTTTATGATTTAATAGTTGAAAATTCTGGAGATGATTATAATTTATAATCATGGCTAAATAACCTAACCTAACCTTAGCCATGATTATAATATTGTATTTTAAATTGTTTTTGTAAATTAATGTATTTTTACTGAATTGTTAATTTATATGTTAGATTTTAATAATGTTGAAAGATTAATTTTAAATTTTAATTTCCAATATTCATTGAAATTAATTCTAGTTTGTGATGTGAATTATTATAGTGGGATATTTTTTCTATGAAATTTCATTACAATTTATTGTTAAAAACAATATAGGTTTGAAATAAAATTTAAAATTAAACAAGTTGAAAACCAAACATCAAAATCTTAAAATAACTCATCTAAAATTGACAAAAAGTGATACTCTAGTAATTTGTTTTGTCATAAAAGTCAGTTTGAATGTTACATCTATTTACCTGTCGTCCCATGATTCTTGGAAGTTTAAGTTCTAAACCTAATTTACTCATCATTTTATTTAAATTTTTAAATATTGTATTGAAATTCTGATTTGCATTTTATCGCTTTTTTCTTAGTACTTCCTAAGTTCTTTTAAATATTTCCTTGTGAAAAACTTATCCATATTCAAGATTTCAAAAAATTTCTTTTCAATAAATTAGTCATTGTTAAATTAGTGAAACTGAAACTATTTATGTGACACAACTCGAGACACAATTCAGTATAACATGTAAAATTATATTTTAAAAACATTCAATAATATAATAATTAGTGTGTTTTGAAAATTTCGCATAATACTCATGGGTCACGAGTCACAACAACTCACGACTAAATCGTCGTATACGAATTATTATTTGATGCTAGGATATGATCGATTGGATTGATCGATAGTAAGTCGAAATACGAACAATTATTATTTGTATTCGTGGAAAAAATTACTTATTACTAATTGTTGATGTTCAACATTGGATCTTTATCACTATTTTTATTATTATTATTTATTCTTTCGACTGATTTTAATTATTCAATTTTACTAGTGTATTATATCATTCTTGAGTTTTGATGAATGCCGACGTCACGTAAGGTCTCGTATCTCGAGAGTATTTAAATAATACTGAAATGGAGCCAATAAGGAAAAAATTAAAAACATTGGATCCTTATTTTAAATCAGATTAATTGAAGGTCAGTATTATCATGAATTATTAGTAACTTTTTGTTACTTACGCATTGATTAAATTGGTAGGTATATTTAATTTTATAATTAATAAATTACAAATATTAAGCCACAAAAAACTATTATGCTATTATTATTTCGTTGTATTTAAACGTAGGTAATAGTTTTGTAAATTTATTTTATCTATACTGACTACCTATATTATTTACAAAAAAAAAAAACTATAAAGTTTTTATAAAAACTACTACTTGTAAAAACAAAGTTTTAAATCGTGCTACGTATATATTCACTATAATTTGGATGTCTAAATTAGGTCCTATTAACTATTATACCGAGTTAGCTCGTGCACTTGTGTCAGTAATTTATAATTTCTTTAACGAAGGTTCTATTTTATAGCTGCAGCAATGCAAAGTACAATATTTCTTATTTTATAAGTAGGAAGTATAGAAAGTAAGGTAACAAAGATAGTAAAATTAATCTGTAACAATAGTCGGTTAAATCTTAAAAAAATGTTTATAGTGGCACTCATATTTAAAATTTTCCGTAAACAAAATATTTTATAAAAAATGTGAGGAATATTATAATTTTTTAAAAAATAAACGTAGAATTAGACATTATAATTAGATTATATTTATAATTTGAATAAGCTCTTTAGTAGTTCGGTAAGTTAAAGTTGTCCCTGCCGTATACTCAAAAATGTAGGTACTAATAATTGCAAGTTTTTGATAAATAATTCAAATGATACAAAAAAAATTAAAATCTTGTATACAATTTGTAAAAATACCTATTTTATCTAGTATTTACACAATTGTAAAATTTATAAATAGATAAAAAGTTTTGTTCGGCTAAAAACCCCTTGAGAAAAATGTATCGGTAGAGATATACCATACTGATTACTGGATCGTTAATAATAAGTTTTAGCTTAAGGTTTGACTAATCAATTTTAGTAAACTGCTTGGAAACGCCAAAATAACCAGTATATTTAATGGTATTCGGTTCCGTATCGTTGTGATAATGTCCTCCTTGATTGTGATCAGAATACAAGTGGAAATGTTGAAATCTTAAATTCAACCCCTAAAAATGTAAAAAATATTTTTAATAAATATTAAATACAACCACATAGGTTATGCGTAGAAAAATAATTTTTGAAATTACAGGATTATGAGAAACGATGCATCCAACACCTGCCAAAGGAGGAGATAATTCAATGAAATGTACCAAATTTTCTAACTCTTTTTCTGATTTTGAAGGTTTTTTCATAAAGCTTGGTTTAATGACATGAACTTTCACTTTTCCATTTTCAATGAATATTACTCCGCCTATCGCTATATTTATACATGTAACAAATAATAAAAACAAATTAATAATATTCAAAATTCGTAGTTATTAAGTATAAATATGTAATAAACGAACTAAAAATATGTATTTCTAGGAAATATAGAATTACTTATTAATGATTATAGTAGTATCAAAATTAATATTAATCCCTACCAATTATCTCATCTCCAAAATGCTTCACTAATGCTTCTCTAATACACATACTAAAACTTAACGGTCCTTTTCTTACTTCGCAAACAATTTTTAAAACCTAAAAAACCATTAATATTAAGATCATTAAAGTTACCTACTTTATTATATATAATATATTATATCAAATCAAGAAACATAAGATAATTAAAGTTAGGTCTACGATAATAATTTATTTCAAAACCGTATAACATATGGATATACTTATATAATAACGATACCTTTTATAATAATAATATTATGAGATAAAAAAAATTTCAATTTTTTTGTTAGTCATACCGATCAATCAATTTATGCAACAACTCTTGAGAGTGATAGCCTATAACCTAAATGATTTTAAAATTCTTTTTATGTTATACCACTTGAAATATTAAACATATTAATAATACATCTATGAAATAGCTACAAATGATTTATTATTGAACAGTCAGATAACCTATATCGAAATTTATGATTTTTTTTAAAAACTGTTAATATATCCAATCACGGAATTACACAATCAAGGATATGTAGTACACTAGTGTGTATTGTAAGTAGACTCTATGATATTTGGTAGATATAATACAATAAAAAAAAAGTGGCAAATATGAATAGAAGATAACCGCTGTCTGCTTTACAAGTATCAAGTGTAATTATCTCGTACTTTTCGTAGTAATTGAGTTAAGTCATTTTAATGGAAGTAACAAGTGTTAAATTTGAATTCGATGATAAATAATTGTATATGAAAAACAATTATAATTTATTTTTAATTATTTATTATTAAACTATAAATCTATTTTTACGTTTTTACGGTAATTACAAAAAATCGTTATTAAATTTAGGGTTATATAAGTGAATATAATAAAGTTTAAATATATATATTATTATAATAATTAAATAATAATAATATAATTAATACAATATTTTCAGAAAAAAATTAATCAACTTATCGTAGTATAAAATTTAAAATGTATAACTTTAATAGGCATATAATAAACAAATCATAAAATATAGGTAGGTACTAATAAGGTACTTAGTGATATATAGGCTGATATTGACGACTGTCTCCGGCTATCTGCTCGTAATTGTTTTTCGCATACAATGATATATCATTGAACTTAAATTTAACACACCTGTAATAACAGTGATTGACTTTATATCTATTGCATAGTTAAGCGGTACCCATTTGCCTATACTTTTTTTTTTAAATTATCTTTAAATTGATAATTTAAAAAAGATTTACTAAAATAAATTTATATACTATAAATAGTTCCTATTTTGATTACTTATTTATAATTAAAATATTAATAGGTTTTTACACATATTTTGTACTTACTTCTCCTTTAAAACCGTTACTAGTAAAAAAATTGGCCAAAAATGAAAATCTCATTTCGTCGTTGGGTAACATCTTATGGCAACACTCTGGGTCGTCATTAGATTTCGTCATGTGAGCGTGTGTTCCGTTTTCCACTTGATCGCCAGTCATTTTGACATTTACCACACACTTTATTATAAATTATAAACTTCATGAAATAAAATATTAGTAAATTTCATTATTTTGATAAACTATAATTTATTTTTTTTTTTTTTTTGTTATACCTACTTAATAATAAAATGTATAAAACAAGCTCTAGTTTCTTTTGTCATTTTTAACTTGATTTAAATGTTCAATAACCTTTTTCTGTTTACAATAATATAACATCTCAGTGAAAATACATGATTTTTGTATTATGTATAAAATAACACATGATAATTAATGATGTTAATTATATGTTTATTTATATAGTAAATAATACATCAGGTATAGTATTTAAAAGGTGATGGTGATATTTTGTCTTATGCAATTTATTGATAATAAATTGGAATCTTTATTCTACATAGTTATGCACTATACATACTCACTTGCCTTTATTCAAATTCTGAGTATGGAAATTAATGAATACCTATAATAATTGAACTCCAGTTTTTTCTAATTAACTTAAGTTTTCATACTATTTATCTTGTTTAGATACAAATTTTTTACAATAGAGAATCGCCATTTTTATAGTAAGTTGTAAAGTACCTATTTAGTTTTTATTTTAAAATATTGATGTAGATATATGTAATATAAATAAAAATCAAACATCTAACTAGCAGTTGCTAAATTATTATGCATCTTAAGTAATATTATGGATTAAATTTTATGTTTAGATTAATGATATTGAATATTATAGTAGGTAAATACTAGGGCAGTAAAGTTATTGCATTAAAAATAATATAAATAATTATTAATCAATAAAAAGAAATATTATAATATTAAAAAAAAAAAAAAATTAAATGCATATTACATCGCACGATAGATGATTTTTTAAGTTTTTAAAATCAAATGAACGTCTGTTATCAGTGTTATTACTTATTGCTCAATAAATTCTTGTATCGAAAAAAGTTTTTTTCTACCTCAGTGATTGTAATTGGTGCGTATTTTAAGTATATAGGTTAGAATGGTTAGATCGTTGCTGATCAAGTATTTTGGAAATCCCTCAATTGACTGTATTTCTCCACTTAAAATGTTTAGATATAATAACAATTGTTCAAAATCCATATTTTTTTTTGTAAAATATTTTTGAATTTCTGGTTTATAAAATTTTTTCTATTTTAATTTCAATTTTTTAACTATAGATAAAACTTTGATTAATGGAACATATTGGATTTCAAGCTTAGTAATTTCTGTTGATATGAAACTGTAATTGGAATGAATGATTACTAATTTGGTTTTCATAATTGTATTATCTAAAATAAGATGATTAGCTTCTTTGTTAAATTAGCATCATTTGAATTTATTAATTGTACCTATTACTTTTTTTGCTTCTACAAAATGTTCACAATAGTAAGATGCAGCATTTATCCATGTTCCTTGTTAGTTATTATGGGATGAAAAGATAAATTAATACCTACCTGGAACTTTTTCTTTAAACAGTATAGTAAAAAATATTCATTTTACTTAGGCGAATTTTGGAAAATATCTAAAAAACTTCTAAAAACAAAACTTAAACATCTAATGTTTTCCACAATTCTACGAATATCGTAAGATTGCAGATAAATTATGTGAACTATTTTTGAGTAAAAAGCTTTAATTAGGGAAACTATTTTAACTACATTAGATAAAAACAACAAGCCGTCATCATGGCGTATTCCATTCGACCAAAATTAACATGGATTTGTCAAAAAGTTTATCTAGGTGTTGAAGAGTGGTTAGCTTTTTTCCGCTTTTTTGCATAAAGTAGTGACAGTTGAAATTTCTTTGCACGTGTACTATTCCAAAAATGACCGAAAATGTATGTTGCTAATTTTATGCAAATGTTTATTACTTGAAATCACTGCTTTATATAAATCAAACAAAAATTTTAATTTTTTTGTACTTGTAATAATTTTTTGAACTTTAAAATATGTGCTATTAGTTTTTTTAATCACTGATTTAGAATGTTTATCGGTTTTAACATATTGTGTCACAATATATCGTCTATCGACACATACTTGCACTTCACACATCTTGCAAAAAAGAATACTTCTATCAGAAGAAAAAATAGTATAGCTAAATTCAGACTCATAATTTTTTAATAGGACTGATTTACTTGGTATGATTTTTGGCATTTTAATGAAAGAATTGACGTGACAAGTGACAACGTTTAACAAACCACTATAAATCGATCACAAGTTATAAATAACGATATCAGTAGGTACCTGTTTTTAAACATAACTATAATTGAAGATTGTCGACAGAATAGGACAAGTTTTTACTTTTTATCTTAACAACCAAAATTTGATAGTCATGGTGTAGAAATATTTATGAACAGCTTAGCAAATATATAACATAGGTTTGCGCCTTTTAATTTTTATTTTATATACCAACAAGTTAAGTAATCTTAATATTATAAAAAAAAATGATGAAAAATAGTTAAAATTGCACTAAAAGAAAAAAATCGCATTTATTACGATAATATTTTATTTAAATTTAAATTCACAAAGTACCACCAATGGGTGGTCTTTTCACTTCAGACATCACTTATGCTTATTGTAAACTGTTTTATAGATTGTATAATAAAAATATTTTATAACAAAAAAATTAATTTACAGTAAAACTAAACATATTTTAAGCTCACTTAGCAATGAATAAAAGCATCTACAAAAAAAAACACGAAAATGAAATAATTTCATTGCCCTAGTAATTACTAATTACTAATTAGTATCGATACGTGTAAGAATTTTATTTTAAAATTTAATGATTAATATTATTAGTGTATTATACTGATATAATCGTCTGTAGTTTATAGAATATTAATATAGTTTATATTTGATATAAAACTACTGTTGAGGATTATTATCCTTGGTACAAATACATAAAGTTAAATAACTTAGAAACATATGTTTGAGTTTTGATTTGTTAAAGTATTTATATCTACTATATAGATAAATATATATTTAATATATTTTGGGATTTACAGTTAACAGTTAAAAAAAAAAAGATTGTAATTTGAAAAAAGAAATTTGTATTGATACGGGACAATTCTTAATAGAAAATCAAATTTAAATATGAAAAAATATTCTCAGACTAAATTAAAAAATTTTAGAAATTAGAACCTTAATAAACATACATTATGTAGGTATTACGAGCAGGCTAAGTTAATCAATCTGTATACTTGCCTCACTGTCTATTCCCAAAAATGGATAAGGGCCGGCACAAGCTCCAAAGATAACCAAAGGATCGGACCCAGTAATTTGTTTTAAATCTTTAATATTGTACAATTTTTCTCGTTTTATTGAAGGTATCATATTAGTTATTTCGCCGATGTCAAATACGTTTTCGTTACCACTTAGTCCTACAAATTAATAAAATGTATACAGTACACATATATATTTACACCTAGGTAATGTCCCAATGGTAATCTAATTAATACAAAAATAACATAGTTGGGCATGGCCCGTTTCCGTCAAAAAAACTTTGGAAACTAATGATTTTAATTTTTAAGCAATATATATGTTGTGGTACGTATAAAGTATCGAAATATGTGATATACAATTGTTTATTATTTAAAAATGTTAATTTAATCGTGTCTATATATTATTATTATTATATACTTGTATTATAATTTATATTTTTAAAACAGTATAATTATTACTTGTATTATTATTTGAAATATCGAAATATTTAAATACAACAGATATGCGAGAATGTGAGATGATATTGTATAATTTTTAAAAACTCTAATTTAACTATGCCTATATTCGAATAATGAATTATTATTATCTACTTGTGTTTTTTTATATTAATAAGAATATTTTCGTATGATAAAAATATGAAACATTTGTACATGGTTCCCAAATAATAATTGGTGGAAACGTCTTTTTTCACAAAAATAAATTTTGGCGGAAACGGGAAACTTTCATATAGCCAATATAGGTTGGTATATATTTATGCTCACCTTCGGAAACTAAGTTAAACGGTGGTTGAGTTAAATCTGGACATTGAACTACCTCTGCACTAGCATTTTCATAATTTTTTAATAATTCAGGTAATATGGCTGAAATAGAAAAACCAAAATATAAATTTGCATTGTTACTATCATGATACTGTAAGTATAGGTACCTACTTAGTTTGATATTTACAAATTCCAAAAATCTCAATGTATTTTCAAAAATTAAATAGATACATCAATAACATAAGGTATATTTTATACACATTACTTAATATTTGTATAAGTTATCTATCTATATAATTTCGGTGAATATAGGTAATTATTTGTAAATTTTAATTTTATTTTAATACCCCTAACTATTTAAAAACTGTTTTTTAACAGGACTTTTTATGTACAGCAGAGCAGAATATATTAAGTACTTAAATAGAGTATCTTATAATTTTTATAATCAAATATCTTGATATATTTTGTCCAAACAGTAATTAAAATCCAATAAAATTGTCTGAAAACATCTTTTAATTGTTTAAATATCTATTTTCGTTACTGTTTAAATTATTTATGAAAAACCTTGCATTAAATTTTCAATACTTATAAAATATTAACATTTCATATATTTTTAACTACAAAATTCTATTTAAAATTTCGTGGTTTTGAAGAATTTAGTCAATATTTGAACTTTAAATGCTTATATAAATATCAATCGTGCATACAACGTATCTTATATATTTTTAAATACTTAAATTTATTACAACAATTAGCAAGAATCCTCGAATTATAATTTTTTATCGACATTTAAAAGAAAAAAAAATTTCAAATTTCGAATGCTTATAAATATAACTCAAAAAATTAAAATATTTGAAAATTAAAAATTGGTTTTACGCAAGGTTTTTAGGTTAGGTTTTCTTTAATTTATCATTTATTTTTCTTAGTTAATTTTAAAAGTATCAAGAACTTTTTACTGTTAATACTTAAGAATAATAACTGGATTTAACTTGCTATCAGAAACCATCTTTCAAGTTGAAATTCAAAGCATTTTGATAATGATAGATAGGTATATAAACAAAAATGTTATACATCAAAAAATAAAAATATCTGTCTATATTTTTTAATCTGTTCCGTAAGTTTAACTCCCGAATTTCTAGTAAGTTTAACCTTTATCCCCGAGTTATTATGTATAATAAATGTAATTAGTTAATAATTAGGAATAAATAAGATTAAATTAAGACATACGAGATATATAATTATATTATTTAATAGACAATTGTAAAACAAATTAAGCAATTTAAGTACCTATAGACTATAATGAATATTAATAAAATGACTTAATAATAGTATTAGACATAAAAGATAAATATCATTTTTCATTTTGAAAATCAGACTACCCTTATTAATAATAAGTTATTATGTATTAAAAAGCAAATTAAATAATAATAAGCAATAATATTGAAATACTATAGGTAAGTACCTTTAACAATGCAACTTAAAGGCGGTGTGTTTAGTTTGATGTGCACTACGGGCAATTCATTTATGTTTAAGGTACTTGGAAAATTGTAATTCTCGGTAGCCATTTCAGAGAAATTTTTATTTATTTTTTAAATCGAACAAAAAGTAATTAATAATTCACGGTTTAAAACGATTAGCATAGACCACGGACATGAATTTCTAGGTTGGTGTTAGCCACTGTCACCTATATTACTGCCGGCATTTGGTATTCTAGTACTTATATAATTTTATAAATAAAACTACTTTAGTTAATATTACGGCATCATATATAAAAACACGCGAATAAAAAACACGATGAGAAATAAGTGAGTACGTAACAGTAATTATTATCATTATTCATATTAACAGTCTTGTACCATAGAGTCTATGTCTTGTACAAAGATAACCCATAAAATAAGGTGAGATAAATAGATAACACTTAAAATTTAATTTTGTTTTTTTAATTGATCTTTTAAGCCCGGCAACTAAAGCCGTTAGTTGTTAAAAGATAGAGTAGGTCTTTAAGTTTTGTATAGGGTATGCAAGGTTATAGAACACGTATGTGTATGTGTGTACGCCTTGGATTCGTCCTTAAGAAACCAGGTGATTACCCATCCAAGAGCTAGCAACGCCGGTTGATGCCGGACACAAGTGACTGTGGCCCACCACCGCGCTACAACAGTCCTCATAACCAGGGCCGGCTCTAGCTTTTTCAGCGATCAGTGCAAAAATTATTTGGCGCCCTTCACATTCTTTTTAAACATTAAACAGGAAAAATTAAGGAAATTAGTTAAATTCAAAAAAATATACTTTCTTAGTTTAGTTATTATTATATAGTAATTAATAATTATCAATATAAAATATAATTTATTATTAGTAAAATACTTTGTTACAGAGGTACTAAATATAAAAAAAAATCTAATGTAAGTTCACTTTTCTTGCTTTTTTATCTGCAAATACTTTAATTAGTTCCGAGAAGTCCAAATTTTGAGCAATAGCATATTCAATACTCAGTGTAGCTAATAGTTGACCTTAGGTAGGTTTTTATTAACTTAAGTTAACCGGACTGTGACCGGTATGGTAAATAAAATTCTTAATGAAATCCATATATTGGGGTATAAATCCTCTAATTGATTTTTTTTTAAATTAAGTTAGATAAGTACATCGAGGGGTGAATTGCAATCGTTGATTTTGGTGGAGTGTTATGTGCTAATTAATTCGTCGTAAAGAAAAATTGTTTCAATATCACTTTCTAACCCATCAGTCAAAGCTATTTGGAGATCAGCGCAATATTTTAGTAATTCATCCTTTTCAAAGCTAGATATTTTACTGAAATTATAAAGAAATTTTTCTAAAATTTTCTAATTTTAACGCCTCTCGCGCCTCCCCTGATTTTGGCGCCCCTGGCCGTCACACACGTCGATCGTAACTAAAGTCGGCTTTGCTCATAACTATGTTTATTTAGATAAAAAAAAAAAATGAAAGAATAGAGAATTAATATTAAATATGGATATCTGTGGATTGTAATAATATTTTGGTTAGACTTATAAATCATCAGTGCTCATTTTTTTTTTATTTCAAAATAAAATACATACATATATATATATTTTTGAGCGCTTTGCTTTTAGAAAAATTATTATTTTTTAATAATTCAAGATGTATTTGTTTAAATTATAAAATTAAAAATAAGTAGTAGTATTTATCATAATATTATGAATGTTATGTTTTTGGAATAAACAAATCAAATTAAATTAAATTAAGTCATCTACCATAATTCTAATAGTAAAATAAATGACTTTATAGCAATATCAAAAATCATTTTATAAAATTTACTTTGTAATATAGGCTCTGGACTTTGACAGATCATCTTTATTCAGAACCATTTAAGTATTCAATGATTTATCATAATATTAAAGCTTAACACATGTATCAACATCATAACAGTAATCATTGATTATAAGAACTAGTATTTATAATTAATGCACTAACTAGGTAATAACTTACCCAACGATGAGGTACACTCAACTCCTACTATATAGCAGAGAGGTTGCTTAATTTTTAATTTTGATATTTTTACAAAAATTTATTTCATAATTTTCTTTCTGTGTTTTAGTTTAATATGCTCACATTTTTCATTGGATTAAAATGTATGAACTTGCCGTAAAATGTCTTACCTTATAATATGGTCCTTGTTAAAATTTGCAGATTAAGGGAGTTGAAGGTTTAATTAAATACTATTATTGATAATTTATATATTTATTTAAAATTGTCAACTACATGCTTAATATTTGAATATTAATAGTAGATAAAATTATTTTCTATTAGATCGAATTCTGGATTTAGTAGTTACAGTAACATTTCAAAAAATTTCATATTAAAGGGAAAAAAATTAACGTTAGATAGTAAACAGTACCTACTTATTCAGTTATATCTCTGATTTACCTTTCACAACAATAGATTATATTACTGACAGGTTGTATTTGTAATAGTAAAACCATTTGTATTGGATAGGATAAGAATACTAATAGGAAAACAGTTCTAAAAAATAACAGTGACTTGTATTGGATTTGGGATCATCATTATGTCAATATATAAAGGTATATTATTTAAATTCTAATTGTTTTAAATTGGTTTCAATGAATTTCAAACCTAACAAAGATAAAAAAATATTCTCTTATATTTTCTATGCTACCTACCGAATTGTATTTAATTAATTAGGTTAAAACTGCAAAAAAAAAGATTTTACATACAACACAATTATAGAATAGACTATTCTACAATTAATAGTATAAAGAAATATTTTTGAGAATCAAACTAAATCTATATTCTATTAATTAAAAAATAATTTTTTCCTTTTGAAATATGGAAGTTTCAATAGATATATTAGAATAAATATATTTTATTTTACAAAATTGACAAAAAAAATAAAAAGCTATTGCCGTTTTACTATTTTTATTTTTATAATTTTTAGAATGTTTACTTATTGGAAGGTTTCATAGTTCAAGTATCTGCATTCATGTAGTATTTGTATTAACATTTATTATAAATATGAATCTTTATCTGAATAAGTTTTTCAGTAAATTATTATTTTATACAAAAAGTAGAAATGAAATACACCATGTCTTCGCTAATGAATGAATATTGACTATTGGTATTATCAACAAAATAACATTATAATAAATGCTGTGTATTTTATTGTGAAAAAACTAATATTGACCAATAAATTATAAATAATGGATATTAATAGGTACAATAAAATCATTTTTACATTCATTTTATTTATTCCTAAATTAACAACATATTATATCATAGTTTTATACAATATTGCACTTAACACAAATACATTTTTTTTCTGTGAATTTTTTAAACTTTTATTTATAAAAAAAAAGCTGCTGTAAAAGTAATTATATTTTTTATTACTATAACATATTTTTTTAAATTAATAAACTCATATTATAACAATACAAAATAATGATTTATAAATAATACATTTATTATTAATCATTGCATTTTTAACATTAAAAAATATTTTTATACAGGCACTTTTTTAAATTTTCCTTCACCAAAAAGCCATAAACATAATCGATCCATTATATAAGAACCAAAATAATCTAAAATAAGTACAGTAATTAAAATAACTCGGAATTCATGAGGAAACTGAACAATTTCAAATTGCTCATTAAGTCCTTGTAAAGTACCCATACTTAAAAACAATATTACCATAATTGTCCCTACTGTACTGTAGAGCAATGGTTTATTTTCTATTAAATTTTCCATGAATGGTCGTCCTCGATAATTGACTGAAAAGGTACAAATTTGCAATGCCATGGAAATAATAAATACTGCGCTGTTTACCACATTAGGTTTAAATTCGTCTACATCTGAATCTGTAGAATCTAAATTTGTACTATTGGACAACAATCCATCATTTGAAGATGGCAAAGTAGCATTCACAGGATCATTTTCAGCATACACACTAGCTTCTTGGACTAAAAATACTAAACTACAAAAGTGTATAATGAATTGTAATAATACAGTTGATATTGTATAGATGTTGAATATATTAGGCAGTGGTCTTTGTTTGGATAAAACTTTCAAAGGACTTGACCTTGAAATAAATAAAAATGAAGCTGCTAACAGCAATCCTTGCAAAGTAGCTTGAGAATCACTAAATTTTATACCCTTAACATAAAGAACTGACTGGCTATAAGCAGCAATAAGAGCATTCAGAGCTAATATTTTAAACATTTGAAGTGTAGTAACTAAAGTACAACGACCTTGCTTAATCACGTGACAAACACAATTTACAGATGAAAATTTACTTGTAAAAGGAGCAGCAATACTAGCATCTCCTGACTTCACCACAGTTACAGATTCTTCATCCATTTCTTTCATTAATCTTTTCATTTGATCACCTACACTTTCTCCTGGTTTTCTTGATTTATTGGCAAATATATCTTTCTTTAATTTTATCTTTTCTTTACCTCTAGCAAGTATAGCAATACCAACATGTGCATGTTTCAAGGCACCAACATCATTAGTACCGTCTCCACACATCAAAGTACAATAACCTAATTCTTTTAATGTTATTATAATAAATTCTTTTTCTTTGGGAGCCACTCTAGCAAATACACATACATGTGGTATAATTTTTTTCAATATATCTTTGTGATTTTGATTAAGAAAATTTAATCCGTCTCCTGTCAAACATAAATCATATGAATCAACTAATTCTCTAACACTTCCATTTAATGGGACTTGAATTTTGTAACTATCACTTATCCAACACCATGTTTTGTTGATTTCTGAAAGTGTTAAAATGATTTGACTTGAAGATCTTGTGAAATTTAATTCATTAGCTACATAACATGCAGTTAATGCATTATCCCCAGTTATCATAGTTACCATGTGTGATGAGTTTAAAAGTTCTTTTATAACATTTTCTGAATCTTGTTTTAATGGACATGAAACTACAACAAATCCAACAAAATTTAAATCACATTCCAAGTCTTCTCTCTTTAAATTTTTTAAATCATTTGGAATGGTAGTCATTTCTTTTCTAGCAAGCGCTAATACTCTAGCTCCTCGTCCAGCTAGTTCAAGATATGTACTGTCATAGTCATTAGGAATATTTAATAACATTGATTTCAACACTTCGGGGGCACCCTTGACACTTGCTATATGAATAATTTTATTTGCTGTCTTTGTACATTTATAAGCTGCTAATACAGACATTCTCTTTAAAGATGAAGAAAAGTAAAATCTATTCAATATTTTTAATGGTGGTATCTTTGATTTCTTTGGTACAATAAAATCATTTTTAGTCAAATTCCAATTTATTGCATTCAAAGAGGCTTTTTCAATAGGATCTCCTACTAATGTATCTTCCAGTTGAACTAACGAATGACAAGATGCTAAAACTTGAATAGTATGTTCAGGGGCTTCGTTCATTGGAATCATATCTTTTTCAACACCAGCTATACCTTCAACAATTAAAGCATCTTTGGTTAAAGTGCCAGTTTTATCAAAACAGCATATTTCTACTTTGCCAGCAAACGGAATTCTAAAAGGTTCAGTACAATATATTCCAAGTTTGGATAAGGATAAAATTGATGAATTAACAGCTAGTGATAATTCAACAGGCAATTCCGGAGGTATAACAGAAGTGAGAATAAGGGTACATTCAAGGAATAACTTATAACGGCTCCTGTTTGGATCTTCTGTGCCTTTAATCCATAAATAATAAGCTGCAGCAATTGCAAAAATTAACAAAAATAAAATAAATGCTAAAGTTTCCATATTATTTGCAGTGACATGCTTGACACCAAATAATATTGTTTGTAGTAGATTACCTTGTGATGTGTTGAATCCTGTTCGTAACACATAAGCAATACAGCCATTATCTGGAGGGGCACGCACATTTGATGATGTTTTCATAGGAGAAGTATGTTGAACTACTTTTGTACCACTAAATAAAATATGCAATTTTTTATCAGATTCAAAATCTAAATTTCTACTATAATCGGCAATATTTTCAATTGATTCTTTCATCTGTGGAATAGATTCACCAGTCAATAAGCTTTCATCAACAATACACGAACCTCTTAAGAGTAATAAATCACAAGGAACAGTTTGGTCATTATTGGTTCTTGTAATAGATACAATATCGCCAGGTGTAAGTTCGTCACTTAATAAAGATTGCCATTTTTTATTGCGATACACGTGCAAATGAATTGGTTTATTACCCATATTCCTGATTTCTTCCATGTTACGTAATTGTTGCTTGACTAAGGTACATTCAAATAGTACTAACATAGCTAAGGTAAATAAAGAATAGTACCAATACTTATCAAAGCACCATAATGCAATACAAAATACTTGAAACACAAAAAAAGGAGCTGTTGCTCTTTCTATAAATAAATCATTAAACTTTGGTAATTGTATATTAAGTCGATTTCGACCATATAATTGTACAGCTCTAGATAACTGTTCATCACTATTGTAGCCTTTACAATTTCTGTATTGTTCAATTGTGTTTGAAATTGGAAATTCTAAGGAATGAAAACATTTCTTGTCATCATTCCATATATATTTGATTTCTTGGTATCTAAACCATGTAACAGTTTTCAAGTCTTGGTCTTGAAATGTATTTAACATCACTAATTCGGTGAATCCATTATTAGGAGTGGGTAATACTTTGACCAAAGCAGCTTTCTTTGGGGATGTGACACGTCGGCATGATAATAAACATCTAAATGATACAGACCAGTAACAGCTTAGTGAACACAATATTTGGGCAATACCAATGGCAAAAATACCAGCAAAAAAGAAATCAAGAAGATTGTCAGTGAAATAACAAGCAGATGACCACGAGATATAAAGGACAACAAATGGAAAGATGGCTCCGTGAAACGCAACATGACGGGGCACATATAGAGACACTGAGTCAATCAGATTGTCAATGGCCATTGCCACGGCGTTTGAAGTGGATGAAAATAAAACAAAACAATTAACGATTAACTATTGATACTGACTAGCAAAAAAACAACGGTACCTTGAACGCGTCAGAATTAGGACGAGTGGTTTATGTTCAAAGTAACTGGATGGTAGGCGAACATAGTGTGTGAGCATAGAATGAGCGCAAATTGGCGATTAAATTACGTACTGAATGCTGATGATAATGACAATAAAGACGTACTGATGTTTGATGTCCGACCAGCGACGGTGATTTATTGACTTAATGTGATGATCGTCGATTCGTTTCTACTCTATCAAGAACGCTTGACGACGAAACCGGACCGGTAACAGGTCGATAGTACATCAGTGTACCAGTAGTCGTGAATTAGCGACATAGCTTAATAATAATTTAAGTTAAAATAGGAAAGGCATTCCATATTTATTTTGATTAATTGATTTGGTTAAAACGAACGATTATTGTAACGCTTGATAAGTAGTAGAAAATTATTGAGCGAGCAATTGAAAAAATCATTTACCACTATAATTATTACAAATTAATACTGCATTACTGCTAAACAACTGCTTATAAAAAATAGTGTTTACTGTATAGTGCTTACGCCGACGATAAGTGATAAGAGATCTGGAGATAGCGAAACGGGAGAATGTTTATGAATCTTAACCTAAATGGCATGGCCAATGCGGCCAACCTCAAAACATGACCGATAGTCGGCGGGCGTAAAATATGACGACATAATAATATATACATAGTTCCATGACGAACTTGCCTGATAGATTAAAATTTTTATTCACGCGTTTGTTTTTCTCCCGTAAGCAGGTTGCACCGCATCGTCCGCATCACATTATGCTCGACGACGATTGGTTGAAATTCGATTTGACGTGATTTTAACGGTTTTGGTTCTGTGTTTTGAATTTCCAACAATCGTCAATATTATTGCCGATAAAAACATCTGAATCGTAAATTACCTAATGCGTGATTACTGTTCATTTTGTATTTGTTCATTATTACAATATTGTCAATATTGCATATTATTTATTATTTGATATTTAAATATTTATTATTATTATTTACTTCGCATTGCATAGTTTACTGTTACACTTTTATACACTTATTATTTGTAATTGAAATTAATTATTAATTACCATCGTATACCAGTATTATTATAATTTATACTAATACTGGTTACGATTATTTTTAACATATATTTTAAAGTTTTCATTAGCTTTTTATAGTCATTTAACATTTTGATATTTTATTTGTGAATCATTTTTCTTCTTAATATAAGTGTCACATTTTTGTATACTTATGTCAATGTAACGCAAAATCACAATTATTTGAATTGAATACGTGCTATAATAAAAATTAATATTTTTATTTTGTATGTACCTCATTGTTGTTACATCACAATATTGTGAGAATATTGACAATCATCTACTATGACGACAAAAAAGTGAGTTTTCTGTATTAATTTTGAAACTGAAAAGTAAGGTACATACCTATTTATATTTTTAATATTAATTATTGATTTTAATAAATAAAGGTACCTACTTTTCATTACCTATATTTATAAAATAACTTTTATTTTGTAATATTTTTTAAATTAAATTAGTAAATAATGTAAATTATTTTTCATTTTTAGTGTGTTTAGTATAGATATTTGTTAATCTATATCTATTTTAAGTTTTACACATTTGTCTGAGTTTTATATAATTTTAGGCAATTAAACAGTACTAAATTTGACTAACAAATATAAAATACATTGTTCAAATTTAGGTAAATAGTCTACTATGTATTATATATAATATAATATAATATATATACAATATTAATATAGATAAATACAATAATTGATACACTATTCTGTGTATTTGTAAAAATAAAAATGTAATTTGTCAATTTCTCTTTGTTTTAATAATTTAAAATTAAAATATGTTTTTTAATCAGATCTCAATCCTTAATGAAGGAAAACAGAATTCCAATAGGAAAGAAAAAAGAGAATATAGAAAAAACTAAAATACTAAAAAAAAGTAAGTTATACCTATTTATTGCTAAGTAAAAAATTATATTTACATTTATCATAAATGTGTATAAATATGGATTTCATCTACAAATATTTTATCACTGGCTATCTCTTGTCATTATTTTCTAATGCCTACATAAATTTTGATTTTAAAACTATATTATAATGTTAGTACTAAAGTATAAAAAATATTTTAAATAATCAATTAAGAAAACTGAGTGAGTATAATGCTTGAACATCTAGATAAATAGTATAAACAAAGGAAAATTTTAACATTTCATCACAGGTTAAATTATCCATACTCTTACTCGATAAAAATTTGTTCTTCTGCACAGCTCTATATAAAATTATGCTATAGTGGAACTAATCTCAATGACTGGCTGTTGAGTGGGAATATGTAGAATTGACATGTTTTTTTCTGGACAAAATATAAATTATTTTTAACATACATTTTTTTTTTTAATAATATTTCTTTTTATAGTTTTGGTTTATTATTTAAATAATTTTACAAAGCAATAGAAATTAGAAATAATTTATAAACTATTATGAGTAAATAAATTACTTCTTCCAAATTGCTAGTTGCTGTTGCATATGCAAATAATTTAGCTTATCAAAAAATATACTTATTTAATTTCATATTAAAAGATCAAAGAATAAAAATGAATATAAATTAATTAGACATAAATTTCTCAATGACATCAAAATATGATTAAGTAATCATTCAAAATATAATATTATAAAATAAATAAATACTTATTATTACTTTTACTCTGTCTTAAGTTAAATTATGGTAGATACCTATTATAAAATCAAAATTATCTTATATTTATAATCATATAATGTTAACAGCTCTGTTTGTATCTTATATTTTTTTTTTTATTATTTTTTTTGATCAGTAATTAGATGTGATGCATTTATTATTATTTTTATTTTAATGAAGATTTTATTAAGCTACTATTGTTTAATGAAATACTTAGAACTTCAATTTCAATATATTCATTAATAAGTAGGGCTCAGATTTTGTAGTAAAATAAATCTTTGAAAAATCATTTTAAGGAGCCAAAAAAAAGCATTAATTAAATTTAATTCTACAGAACAAATTTAAATTATATATAAAATTAAATATTAAAAAAGGAATTTAAGACCATATATTTGGTCAAGAAGTTACTTTCATTAAAACTCAATTGGGTGCTAATAACGATGAAAGAGAAATTATTTAGAACACTATACCTCACTGTTTGATATTTACTGGTCAACTAAAGTATTAGAATGTGCTATAAAAATACGCAGATATAATTCATATAATTTTAAAACTACAATTTTGACACAATAACAATAGTTATTTTATCAGTCATAGATTTATTACTAGTTTTTTCATAAATTTTATAATTTCTGGCAATAATAATATAATATTTTTAGTCTATAATTTATAAAGAAGTTAAATTTTCAAGAAAATAAGTAAAAATAAACAAATAAGGGAAAAAGCAATAAAAAGCAGGTTTTATGAAAAAAAGCAAAAAAAAAGTTTACTTCATTGAAATCAGAACAATTCAAAATGTATTTATGTATAATAATTATCTTTTTATTACACTCCCCTAAAAAGAAGCATTTTCTACAAAATCTGAGCTCTATTAATATGCAACCATATCTGTTGAAATAAATTTTAATATTTTTTGTTTTCAACTTAAAATTTAATTTAATTTTCAGCCTCAGGCATTCATAATTAAATTTAATATTTTATAAAACTATTGGAAATGAACTCATTTAAATTTGATTTAAAGAATCAATCATTAATGTTTCTAGTATAGTTGAAATAGCTTATATTTTTAATTTACCATATAAGTTCATGTTAAAATTACATAATAATATAAAATATGATCTGTATTATTTCAAAAAATAATTTTTTTACACATTACAAATAAATAAATAAATATATCATATTTAGCCAATAATTAATTTTGTAGGAACGGTTTTTGTTTTACTATTCTGTCATTCAAACTCACAATAAGTTAGAACTTAGTATTTACCTTACCCTTTTTAATGTCAGTAATAAAATATATTAGACATCATTTAGGGAGCAACAATATAAGTGATTTAATAACTTATCGTTTTAGATGAGGAATTAGAGTTGGTTGAAGATCATGCAATTTCAAAAATGAAGACACTTAAGACATCAAAAGTATCTAAGAAAACAAACAAATCGAATGAATGTAAACCACTTAAGTTGATTAACATTAATGTTGAATCTACTGATACATCATTAATGAAACCAATGAAAAAACCAAGAGTCATTTTAAGTGCAATTAAAGAATTGAAAGAATTTGAAGAAAAGTCTAATACTAAAACCACATTGAATAAAATAAAAATTGTTAAAGATAATGCTCCAACATTGAATGAAAATGAAAATAATTTGCAAGAGGAAATTGACATGGACAATCTTAATAACACAATTGACAAAATGAAACCAGTAGTCCCTGAAATTGTATTGAGTCCTTTTGTTTGTACAACACGTGGCCATAAGTGGAAACCAAGTCCTCGCAAACCTCCAAAATTATCTGAGTTGTATGATAAATATGAAGATAACAATGTTGCTGATAATTATAGGTAACATATTTGTTTAAAATATCATTTAGTTGTTTAATTTTTGAATTTGTATAATTCTTGAAAAATATTGAGTGTTTATTAGTTTTTTTTTCAAGTTTAATTAGTACTAAATATTTATGTATTAATTAATGTTAAAGGAAAAAGTTGGACAGTAAAACTATTGAACTACAAAATAAAGTTAAATATTGGGCAGAATTATCTTCTGAAAATAGCAGCAATATTCCACAAGTAAATTATAGTTTAAATAAAAGTGTCAACTACAGTATATGCTTTAGAAGTACTATTTAAACATACATGTGCAAATCCAATACATTTGTTCTATAATTTAATAAAAATGATTTGAAAATATGTTTTGTTTTTTAGTCTGTCAAAGATGAAATAGATGTTGTATGTGGACAAACAAAACTTTTGACAACTGACAAATTTATGCAAATGCGTTCTTTGATAAATGAATTTGATAATAAATCTGGAGCAATGCTTATAACCACAGACGATTTAGATGGATTTTGGGATATGTTATTGTTACAAGTAATTATAACCTTAATATTTATTATGTTATAATGTTATAAATAATGACCATTTTAAAATTCTTTTTTTAATATATTTGTGTATGTATTAGGTTGAAAAATTAGAAGGCCAATTTAGCCAACTTGCCATATTGAAAACAAATAATTGGGCTCCATTAAAACCGATTGCTAAACAAGTAATTAACAAACTACCTACTTTAAATAAACGACCAGTGGTAAAATCAAAATTTGCAGATTTTATTAAGAGTAAGTTTGACTTATTAAGTGTCAATTTATTTTTATTTTTAGAAATGTACATGCCCATTGTATTTATTTTAATATATTAATAATATTATTTTTTTAACAGCTCAAAAATTAAAAGAAGAGAAAAGTACACTTAATAATGAAAATTCTAATGACAAAAATAATTCAAAGTTCAATGAAATGAAATTGTCTAATAACACTTATCGTATGTTTTTAATTTTATTTAATTATATAAAATAAGTATTAATGTTTGTCTGTTCCAAGTATTTTAATATGTATTTCAAATTTCTATTTAAAGTTACTTCTAGTACTCCAACTTCTTCAAATCAGAAAAATTTAAGTTTTACCCCCGTGCTATTGAAGACTATGGAGTTATCATATGTGGCTCGTAGGTCAGGTATGACACCAATAGTTCTAGGTACGCCACATGTATCTCCATTAAAACCGGCATTAAAAAAGGTAGAAAATGAGAAAGGCACAAAGCGTAAGAACATTCACTTTGAATCTCCTAAAAAAATTGTTAATGGATTCGTAACACCTGAAAATTCGTGTGATGGTAAATATAAAATATTAGATGATATTTACTGTGGATTTTAAAATTTATTTTGTACAATATTAATATTTTTGTTATGAACACATTTGTAGAAAATATCAAACTTAAAACCATTCAAAACAGAGTTGTGACTCCACATACTATAAAAAAAACTAAAGTAAACCAGAACAACGAAGTAAAATCTCGGAATAAACCTATTGGAACATCAATTTCTAACCAAACTGGAAATATAACTAACTTAAAAAATACTCTTAAAGCTCAGTCAAAAATGAAGAAGACAGTAACTAAAACCTTGCTTGATATGGAAGATGATAAATCATCAATAAGGCGTTCTTCAAGACTGGCCAATAAACCTTCAAAAAATTACAAATGTTAGTAAATAAGTGATATGGTTTTTGTATAAATCCTTTTTTTTTATTTGATAAGTTAACAAAATGTTGAAATTTAAAACATATTATCAACAAGTAAAACACCTAGTAATCAAGATTCTTGACTAAAATGAAAAAGATTAACTTGTATTGTATTTTATTCTGGTGTTTTTCTGATTTTTTATTAATTATTCATCAAACATTTATTTATTTTTAAATAAATGTGTAGTTATAAAAGGTATACTGTATTTATTCTATTATTTTACTTAAAATATACTATTTTCATGGATTTCTTGACATAATGGTCTTGTACATTTTCTGATGTTTTAGCATTTCCAAATAAACTGAATATTTTCTTTTATGATATCTGTAAATATATTAAAAATGCATATTATGTTATGTTAATAACAGTATTTTAAATTTGATTAATAACATGTGAAATGTTAAATTTATACTCGTATAATATATTATCTTATGGGAAGTGACATATGGATAATTACATGGCTAATATATATATATATATAATCGAGTGGATAGTTGACTTTTCTTTCTAAATTCTACATTAATTATGTAATATTTAAATATTAAGGTATTCAAAATTTAGTTTTTGAAATGGTCACATTAAAGTAATGGAGCTCTGTTTACTTTTAAGAAAGGAGTGTTTCTATCATATTTCATTAGTTCGTAGTTAAATATACTACTCATCTTTTTTTTTTTAAAATCACAATTATTGTTTCCTATGAGCTCATGGCTAATGTTAATTGATCAGCTGGCTATTAATATAATATTTAATTAATTAATATAATAAAATTATAGAATAATATATCTATAATCTTGTTGTTAATAAATATATATTTTTAAATTGCTATAAAAATTAATGAAATATTCAATGATATAAATTATAAGCGAATATTCGTGAAGTTACAGAGTGCAAACGCCAAACAGTAAGTTGACTGTTAATTGATACTGTGATATAAATTTTGTTCATCTGCAAAGTGATCTAAAAAAAGATATGCATTATCAGATGTACCAGAAATCCTAAACAGTTAAAAAAATCTATTATTAAAAGTAGTTAACATTAAACAGTTTTGAGTTAAAGTTTTTATAAAATTATTTTTAGTAAAAATCAAACTATGCTCTTGATACGCGCTTTATCATAGACAATAATATGGTAACTCAGAATTTCGTTATCTTGTATATTTTGATAAAAATGAAGAAAAATATACCGTCCTGTTGTATTCCATAAAAAAAAGGTCAAGTGGAAACCTAGCTCTGCTGTACATTAGGTGTCAAGTGGATCATTATTAAGTGACAAGTGTTATTAGTGTATTCAATTTGGATTCAATTAAATTTTATTGTATACGAAAAATAATTTTGCGCGGAGACTATCTTATCGGCCTATATAGATTACCAAGAGGCAAGAAGAGATAATATGTTTATTTGATATAGCATTTTTATTTATTTAAGTAATTCATTTTACTTTTGGTATTATCCAGTGGGGCTTATTGAAGGTAGGGCACAAATATTTTCCTCATTTCCACAATCACAACTTCGAACTTACGTTTTATCATATGTTAATAAAATATAAAGTCTGTGCCACGGAAGACGGTCGACGATAGCAATACGAAGACGATATGACAGAAAAAATTTCGTAAATCGTAATAAAAATAGAATCCAGACACAATCCAATTGTGCTCGGCAACGATATATAATTCGTGTCGAAAAGGAGAGGAAATTTAGTAACGTTGATCGGGCCATCGGGGCACAATGAATTTGTGCTCGTCGCCCACCCAATGACAACATTTTTATATTTTATCGTTATAGTATGAACTACTTATGAAAATCTTGTATTACATTTTCAAAACTGAAATACAAAAAGTAAAGATTTTATGAATTTATAACTACGAAATAGTTTGTAATTTTTTGCGATTTTTATGAATTTTGTAAAATTTCAACTTTAAATGCATATACAAATAATTATACCCGCATGTATTTTAATATTTTCATACAGATATAAGAATAATTTTTGTGAAATTTTGTAACTATTACATTTTTAAGAATTTTAATCATATTAATAATTATTTATCAACATTTATAGAAAAAAAAAATTGAAAATTTCTCACGCCTATAAATAATTCTAAAAGAATTAATACAATTTTTAAATTTTATTGTACATTAAAAATTATAATATAAATATTTGCTGAAAATTTCATGTATCTATTATTATTTATTATTATTTTCAAAAATTGTTTGAAAAGAAATAACTATTTTACAGTTGAGTATCAAATGTCATAAATATTTTAATGTAGTGTTCATAAAAAATTGCCTCGACTTTCTAGTAAATTTTTTTTCTCATATTATATAGGTTTAAAACTAATAAACAACTTTGCATTACATTTTTAAATCTTAGGTGTAAAACCAAAAATTTGTATTAATTTTAATTAAAAAGTAATTTAATACTTTTTTTGATTTTTGTAAATTTTTATTTGATAAATAATTTTTAATAGACATTTAAAAAAAAAATATATTGATAATTTCTGTTACCTATAAGCTCACAATTAGTCGAAATATTTTAAAAATTATAATATTTATCATAAATAGAAAATTATAACATTAACATTAGGTGAAAATTTCAAGTATTTATAAAAATAAGTGCTGGGAATTATTAAGTTTGATTTTTCCAAAGTACAAACTAGATCTAATTTGTTATCCAAAATCACCCCCATTTTTGAAAATTGAAGTATTTTATCGACAACCTTTCATGTATATGGTCCACAAAAAGCACATTATTGTAAAATCAATACATTCATTGCTCGGCTCAGGAACTAAGTAAACATTTTTGTTTAACGTTTTTTTTTTGTTTGTCGCTGCATTTGCTGTGAATTGTATTATTTTATTTTAAGATGTTAAAATTTTATCTCTGACCTCTTGTTGATTTACGATAAGTCGCTTCAATTTATCATGATGTTTCTGTGCTTGTGTTAATAACGATATTATAACTATATAAGTTCTATATGTATTTATTAATACTACTAATAATAAAATAGTTAAATTAATTGCCTAACTTAATTAGCCGAAGTTTATTACAGTAAAAATAAATTAATATGGTATACAAATAATACATTAATAACACATAGGTACAATTTTTAAGAAATAATTAGAAATTTGGCAGTGATGAAATTGTTTCATTTATTTTGTTCATTGAGTAGTTATTCCTATTCAAATATTTTTTTTACTTTAAGTGTACTTCTTTATTTTAGATATGTTTCACGTTGGATATTGTTCAATTAATAAATATTATTTTTGGGTGAGTGGAATAAAATTCTGATTTAAGTTTTCTGTTTAAACAATTTGCAACAATGTAGTAAATAGCTACTAGTTCGTCTTGTAGCAGATCAGATGAAAATTAAACTTACATTTTTTGTGATGAAAAATTAGTCATCGAATATTAATAAATATTAATTTACTTATTTTTTAGTACCTATGGAAACCAATCCGAATAGTTGCAGTATGAATGTGTGGTGATAAACAATTTTTATTGGGAATCAATTCAGTACTTATGTAGTGCAGTGATGCACATAGGGGAAGAATTGGTTATGGGATAAAATCTTCCCTCCCGGTGGTCAGTTTATATGTTTTAAATCAATTTTTATAAGAATAACCCCCTCATACATTTAAAAATATATTATGTCCGCATCAAAGTGGTGTGGAACTCTCACCAAGTTTTTTATTAATAACAGAGTTAAATTTTTATTTTCTCATTCAAGTACAGAATGTTTTTTGGAGTATTTTGAACTTCGATATAACCCCATCTATAGATGTGCTTGATGTAAAATTATGTAAATCATATGAAGGTATAGTCCTAAATAGGTATTGATGTGTAACTCACGCCTGCAAATCTAATGAAGGGTGTACGGTACGTGCATCGCTGGCCATTAATGCGATGGCATCTCTGAGTGACGATGACCGTGGATGGAGTTCAGCTGGGGACTTGGACAATGTCGACGCAGCAGCGGCCAACATGGCTGAACCGATCAGGACAGGGTCGTCTTCCGTAGAAGTACGTACTGGTAGCGCGGTGACGTTAGCCTGGCACTGTAAAAATACCCAGTTTTGACTGAGTCCACCGCACAGAAGGATCTCTTGGACGTTTAACGATCCTCCGCTCTTCTCCTTCATCGATTCTATGATGTGCTTGGTACCATACTTGACCGAAATATACAATAATTAAATACACGCGATACAATACGATCGGATAGGTGTTAACCATTTATTAATACGGCATTGTCACATTTATTTTTTCGATAAATTTTTTTCGGTGGTTTTAGGAATCTAGTTTTTGTATGAACAATATTGTAATAGGAGGCGAAATTATAAAAATGATCATAGTCAATTAAATAAATTATTAATAATAATAAGTTAGCTAATTATTATATCATAGATAAGTATTATTATATCGTTTAAACTTTAAAACGGTTACCATACTTACGCAAAGTGCCTGTATCGTTGCCAGATAAATAAGTGCCAAGTTTTCTTGGTCCACGGATAGCGTCAACCCGACCATCTAAAATACAATAATAAATATAATATATTTGTATTGAGTTTAAAAGTGTAATATAAAGTGAAGTAGATAGTAGATGATAGGTAACGGATGTAGATATGCAGGGTAGGTATCGTTCATATGGATGACCTTTTCTACGTAATAAAAACGTCAGAATGTTTAAAATTAAGTCATTTAAAGTAAAATTCACAGTGGACACTAAGCTTTTTTGAGCTAGCCTGCCTCTATTAGAAAGTGGACTTAATACTTTTTTGTGGCATATTTAAGTATAGTATTGTCTATTATACATATAGTAGCTGTATCTCTTGTAAAGTAATTTCACTTTCCCCTCACCCACACCGCATATCAAGTTTCATACACATAAATTTTGCATCACGTAACTAATTCACCGGTCGACTATAGTATTATTAAGAATGTGAATTAAAGTGAGATACGTTTAAAAATATAAAGCGGTGATTTTATCTGCACTCCAGTACTCTGATTTTTCACGAAGACTTTGTCAGCACAATAAAATACTGCTAAGTCTTTTTTTTAAACATGTGGATATTTTTAAACATAGATAGGTACATCAACACCCACTATTATTACAATAATGTTCCATTTATATTTATAACATATCTACTAGATTACATATCTAGTTGTACCAATAAAGATACATGAAAAATGGGAACTCTGTTAAATGAATAATTTACATTTTTATTCTATCTATGATATGAAGATATTCAATACGTAAAATTCTGGACTTTGTACCTATCTATTGCATTAATATGGTAGCCATATAGGCCATAGGACCTTCCAAATTGTGTGTGAAATAAATTACAGAGATCGTGTAAGAATCAATAAAATATACCCACTATTTTTGTCACATAAAATTTCAAAGATCTTATATATGAGGGGTGATTACTTTTTTTGTCACGCATTGTCAAAACGATATAATTACAATAAAAAAAAAAAATTCACTTGTCAGTTTTAGAGTTTTAGTAGCAGAAGTCAGTTTGTGTGTTGTATGAAAAACAATAATCATTTCATGTTGACAGGAATGAGCAAGATTAAAAAAAAAAAAAAAAAAAAAAATTGTAAGCATTAATGATTTAAGAACATTTTTATGTAGTATCTTCTTTTTATTTGGAACTTAACTTCATCTCTTATTCATTATAGTTTTGTAACAGCTCATCATTGGGTTATATTTTGTTTTAGTTCCCAAACATTAACATTTTATAATTAATATTTTAAATTACATTATTTACAAATAATAAAGAGTATTTTTCACTATTATTCTTCATTATATTATGTGTGATTTAACGATGGAATAAAAATGTTTTTTTCATGCCGTTAAAATAAAGCCAATGTGATAGTTGTGAAATTCTTGTTATGTGGGTTCGTTATTCTGTTATAATATTATTTATTAATTAGCATGTTAACGTTGTATTAGTCTTACAAGTGTATAACACAGAAAATTTATTCTTAGAAGTTTCCGTTTAGCTTAGTTTAATATTACAGAGAATTTAGGCGATTGAACTATTATCAAACTTAAGGTAACAATATTTTACGTAAGCATCTACTTACGTCGTTTATTTCTATGATGTACAAACACAGATAATGTTCATACTTTTAAATTTGATAATAGGATAATTTAAACTGATATTCACATTAAAATAAAACTTACTATGCTAAATTTGAATTACTGATCACGAATTTGACATGTTTTGCACTTGTAAGATGGATATAACAAATCTAGTGTTTTCTTATAAGCTCTCACGTACCATTCCTTTTAGCGTGGGATCCGCCACGGGTGATCGATTGCCATGAAAGTCAGGATACACATGAAAATCTTCTGTTAGTCTATCGATCGCATCCAAACCTCTGTCTGTGGTCATTTTCATGAGTAACTCGTTCAAACAGTCTTCCGCTCTTCTGATATAAATATGGATAAAATAATTTAAATGGTAAAAATTGTATTATTAGGTAAAAAAAAAATTAAAAACTTTAACTACAAAATCGATTACTGCACTGTATAATTCCAAAGGATAAAAAAAATTCTGCCTCTACTTTCCTTTTTAGTTTTAGAATATATTTTATTTAATTTTTTCGTCTAACAAACTAAGTTTACGTACAGCTCGCAGCAGCAAAAGGGTGCCTCAATAAAATTTACTAAGTTAATTAATATAATATATTGTGATTTTTAATCAATTTTTTTTTAATATCTGATTACTAATTAAAGTAAATGTCAATTCTTAGGTGGTTATTCTTTTCATAAATTAAAATTAATTACTTAACACTCTTTATATTAGTACATAAAATTTTAAGACGTTAGGGAATGAGCTAATTTATGTACTTATTTTAAACATTTAATTTAACAATTTTTTTTTTTCATTATTTCCATCAGAACCATTCTCTCCATAAATTAACCAATTGATATAAATCTACAATAATTGCATTTATTGCATCTTCCGTAATGAGGTTCTGCTGAGGTTATGTGTAAGTATACAGATGCATTATCAGGGCTGGGGAATTGTAGTTTTTAATAAGAATAAAGAGCAATGATTAATATGTAAGTGATCTGTACATAAATTTATGCTTTTTACACTTTGGGAAACTAGCTACAATTTAAATTTTATTTTGTATAATTTGTCATAATATTACACATGGATGTATATTTTAGTATAATAGATATTTGAAAAAATTAAAAACATATTTTTAAAATTTTCAATTTAGTAGTAACTTTAATCTGCTAATGTATCGAACGGGTTTGGACATATAAAATTACATTTAGAAAATAGTCGTTATCAAATTAAAATTTTAAAATTTTGAGCTGTATTTGGGCTGATATGACAAAACCGCAGATTACACTACGCCATACCTTTATTATATTTATTTGCTATTCGCAACATGTGCAATAAATTAACTTAAGTTGCCTGTCATAGCTCAAATTTTTATTTAGGTACTTAATTAAGTTTTTAAAAACATCACTAATAAATAAAAAAAAAAATAAAAATATTTTGTATAAATATCATAGTTCATTATATATTTATTTAAAATTTTTGTTTAAATATAATATTCTTTTTTTGTTTATAAGTGCATCATTGTATTTATATTTTGGTATTTTTAAGTATTAGAAGTTCTTCACCCATATTATTACTACTCTAATTATTATTTATTATATCATGGTAAAAAATAATGCACCACTATGTATAGGTACTTACACGCCATCCGTAACGTTCAGATGTTTGGCCGCCGGATGGGTGTTGATCACGTGATCTATAAGTTTGCCCGTGGCTGATTGGCCGCCTTCCAGGAGCCACAGACCGGGTACCATGGCACCGTAGTACGGTCCCCAGACGCCATCCACAAATACTTCTTGGTCGCTGAGCAACATGTGACAAGTCGACGTACCTCCAATCATCACTACAGAATCATTAGCACAAATATAACTAGGTAGATATATTATGTATAAAATCTCAAAGAAAAATAGCGTAGCTATAACATGGTATAGGTATAATTCCTGTATGATATATTGTGTATCTATATAGTTAAGTACCTAGATAAGTACTTAAGCAACAGGGTCCTTCAAATTTTGTGTATCAAAAATGGCGGGGATTAAGTTGCCTACTTATTAAGATTTATATGCAATCCTCAATTATTTTAACAAAATTAAAAACCTTTTTTATATAATTGTATAGACAATAGATAATAAGTCTCTACTGTAGATCTTTATTATAGTAGTTATTTTATTTATTAAACATTGAAATGTTTAGACATGTGCGGTACGGGGTTGATAATAAACATTTTGAATAATTTGAATTAAGCTATGACGTGCAGTCATATTTATTAAATAATTTTTTATACTTTTTTTTCCAAAATTTTTGATTGAAATTTATTATTAAAAATAATTAAATCGCAGTAAGTACCGATTTTATATTCAGCTAATATTTAGATTTAAGGATTAAAGATCTAGGCTTAAAGTACATAACTTAGATCGAAAATCGTAATACCTACTTACTAATTAGTATCTACTTATATAATACTCACCCAATCGATGTTTAAAGTCTGTTGGATTTTTTGACCCAACTCCAATCATTCCCAGTCCTCCAGCATGTGCATCAATTAACGATGTGGCCACCGGAGTCCCAACAGTTAGTCCCATTTCTCGGGCAGCGTTCTCGGTCAGTCCGTTGCCGCAAGGTTGTCCGGGCTCAATTATTTCGTTGCCTGTTAAAAAAAAAAATAAGGTGTTGATTTAAAAGTATAACGACTGTCTTGGTCGCTGATAAAAATCGATTTGTTGTAAGAGTGTTGCTAACCTATTTTAGACCAATTGTTTTGGCTCAAGTCATCTAGACCGATTTCTTCGAAATACGAACGATCCCAGTAACCATCCAACGTCTGCTCTGCGCAGTACGTCCATTTGCAGACGACCGTACACAGTGATCTGTAAATAAAACCACCTATTTTATACAGAAAACCATCGATGTAAATTTATATTTACTATTTTGCTAGCATAATACACAGGTTATTCGAAATGATTCATTCGTTTCAAAATGGTTGTATATTTTTATTTTTTAGATTTAGGCTAATATAATATGACATAAGTTATTCATGAGCACTTCGTTGCTTATTAAAATGACGCGATATATGTGATTTAATTTTTTTATTGTTCAATTTGTTTTTATTACTCGTCATTAGTAGATGACACGATTTTCCTTTTATACCTTAATAGCTGTTCTAGTGCACTTCGTTACTCGTAAAAAATACAACCTTTTATATAAGATTTTTCAAAATTTATTACATCATTAACTAACATAGTGAGTATTGTCGATCCCCGATCCATCGCGTCGCATTTGCCTGCCCGTGTATTACTTAATTTTTGCTAAATATCAATTATAACTTTTTTCTTTTTCTTTTGGTTCTATGGGCTAAGGGTCGTATGTGGTGTTAAATTGTCTATATCTGTCATCAAAAATTAGACTATCAATTAAAAAGAGATTTTTTTTCAAATCCGACAAGTAGTTTCAGAGATTAATTCATTCAAACAAATTTAACAAACTCTTCAGATTTATTCTATTATTATATAGTATAGAAACATTAAATAAAATTATGATATGTTAAAATAGGAACTGCTGCTATATATAGTCTATAAGCAGGTGCAGAATATACATGCAGTGGTTTTCAACCTTATTGGATTTGCAACCTATTTAAATTATTATTTATTTAAATTTATAATAAAAAAAAAAAGCTGATTAATACTGGTTTATACGTGCCGTAAAAAGTAAATATAGACCAAATTTGAATTAAATATTACTATTACATAAGTATTATATACGTAAATTCAAGTTATATAATTAATTATCATTTTAATTTATTGTGCTATTTGTAATAGATATAATGAACTATACTATATAAAAAAAAAAAAATATTAGTATTATACTTATTTTATTTATTACATATTACAATCGAATAAAATATATGTTTACTATTTATGTACTTCAATTACTTATTAAAAGTATACATTGTAGTCTCTGGCTTATTTTTGAAGCTCACGTGAGTATGTGACCTATACATTGGTTGCAACCAAATGGTTAGAAATCATTGTTTAATAATACATTATTATATACACCAACCTGGAGATAGCATTCGTGGCTTTCCAAGTAAGGAAGTCGGGCAAATCGAAGAATCTACCCACTCTTTGCCAAAATGTGTTTTTTGGTAGATTATTTTTTAGCCAAAGGATTTTCGGTGTTTCCATTTCTAACGATATTTTACCTCCCACATACTTCAACACTCGATGATTTGTTGTATTTATGAAATCCGCTTCTTTTTTGGCCCTATGGTCCATCCATAGTATTACATTTTGTTCTCGTTCGCCTTTAATCATATATTTATGTACTTATACAAATGTAACGATAACGCGGTATTATAATAACTTGTCGTTGGTTATAAATTAAGTCAAAACGTTTTTCGATATTCTAAATTATTTTTTGATTATACCTATTATATTAGTTTGGTAATTTTTAAGTGTACTATTATTATATGGCATAATTTGAGGTGTAGTGTAACTTTAAATGTATAGTGTTTTTTTCAATAATTTTGTTAATAACATATAGAAAAAAACTTTTTTTTGATTTTTAATAAATTTCTTTACGCTTGTTAAATAATTTTCTTCTACAATGCGGTTAACCAAATTAATAAAATATTTATTGTATTTGTATTTTGATTTAAAGAATCTAAGTGTCTAATAATAAATTTTTCTTTTGTTTTTCTAAATTTGTTCTAACATACAAATGAAATGTAAAATAAATGTATGTCCTTAGTTATAGTAAATGAGGTATACATTTAGAGAACTATAAGCATGCATATTAAGTTATCAAAATCGATCATTTTTAAAAGTGTTTTTTTTTTACAGTACTGTTAGAAGTATTATCACCTAAAAATTTGTGTTAGAATGATTCAAATTAAGCTGTAAATTATTTTTTTTACGAGTGAAATAGTTTATAAATCGTCCGAATTTATGACATATTATGTCTAAATTGTTTTTATACTTATAGACTATACATTATATTGTATTAACTTAGTACATGTTTAGGAAGTTCGAAGTATTTATATATAAATGTAAGGTCATAGTATTGAGTACCGCCTTTATTGGATGCTTCCGGCGTATGCAGTTGTGAATACAATTCGGTACAATTCATTTAAGAATTTAAATAAATAAAAATATTTATAAAATAACTTTGACTAAATAGTATTTTATTAGTTACTGAAAATAGTTAATTATTCGAGTAAATCGTCATTATTTAAATATTAATATATTATGTAAGTGACGTATAAATATATACTGTATAGTCAGCAAAATGTCTTCGTGAAGGATTGTCGGGGATGTGGAGTGAAGCAAGGTGACTTATGATGGGGTTAGTATGTGTGTTAAATTTTTTGTGTAGTTTAAGGTAGGCAATTGTAACTTGGTTTACATATTTAATTTTCAGGTCGGAGTAGAGTATAAGGTTTTATTACTAACAAACCAGGTAGAATTTGTTATAGTGCGTAAGCATATGGGTTGGAATTAATGTATTTTTTGTATATTAATATACCGTAATGCTATACTGGAAAAATCAGCGCTTTGTAATTGTAAATAAGAATTTCGTGTTTCAGGTTTAGTTTTGATCGTAGTAGAGGACGTAGTAGATGTAATCTGGAGTTTAGTTTCTTTCTTTTATCGAATATGTGGTCTTTCCAGGTTAATCGATTGTCAAAAATGAGTCCTAAGTATTTAATTTGGTTGGTTTGTGGCGTTTGTGGTAATATTTGATTGTAAAATTTGACTGGTGGACATTTGTTTGGGCGAAGAGAGAATGTAGTGTAACTAGATTTGCTTGTATTAATTTTTATTTTCCATAGCGTTAACTAATTTTAAAGTAAGTTGAGGTGGTGTTGAAGTTAATAACTTGCAACTGTCGGATCGGAATCAGAAGCTAATATATTAGTATCGTCAGAATATGTATTAAGAATAGTGAGTGAGGATGTGGGTATATCTGCAATGTAAATTAAATATAAAAAGGGAGAGAGATCACTGCCTTGTGGTACTCCTGCGTTTACACTAAATTGGTTTGAAATTGAGTTATTTAAATTTATTTGGAAATAACGGTGGTTGAGATAGAATTAGAGTATTAAATAATTTGGGGTTGGAAAGTTTGTTTTTAGTTTGTGGATATGACAAATACTATGACTATTAATAATTATTTTTACGGAGTCTTAATGAGTAGGTAGATATTGGAAAAATGAAAATAAAAAATAAAATGAAAAACATTTTGTAGATGTAATTTAAAGTTGTTGAAAGTTGAGTTGAAACATTTATTTTAATATTTCAAAAGGCGTTAGAATAATAATGATATATTCCTAAAGGAGTTTTTTTTGCTCTTGGTTTGAATTCCAAACTATAGGTAAATCATTTTTAATTAATGTAAAATAGTATTTTCTAATGTAAATACTTTTAGAGAAAATAAAGGTTTAAAAACCTTTAAAATAATCACCCTTTATACAATAGTTCTATTTATTTTTATACTATTTAAAGGAGACTATATAAGTTACATATTTTATGTAATGTTAATAATTTTACTATTATGCTTCTTTCAAAAATAATTTCTTAAAAAACCACTGTTTAGTTCATCTATACCTATAAAGGTATAGATGGGTACATTTAAATTTATGTCAGTTATAAGTTATAACAAATCAATTCTTACCATTCTTGCTGACTGATAATGGTAGTCCATCGTTGTCCACAACTACTAAAGAACACGTAGCATCAAATCCGATACCTTTAACCTTTTCCGATGGTACACCTTCAGTGACTTCCTAAATTATGGCATTACGTATATTATATAAGTCGTGTCAAAATGTTTATCATACAATGATATACTATATGGATATGGTATTGACATTCCTATCTTCACTAAACATATATTATTGAACCAATTAAACAAAGGAAAGAGAAATGATAGTTTCACTCACACAAAAGCTTCTGTGCGTTAAAGAAACTAATACTTCAATAAAGGAAAAAAGATATGTAACGATGTTATGGTTAACAATGGTATCAGTTGTGTTGGATTATAAATTTTTATACAATGACACGTTCATAAGTTTATTATCAATATAGAGTAAATTGTACACTAAAGGACATTGTTATTTATTATTTTCATATGAATAATTTGTTTATAGACGCGTTGTAAAATGATACAGTTCTCATTCCTTACCCGCACGACTTTACAGCAACTACGCCATATGTCTTCGGATGATTGTTGATAAAAGTTTTCTTCGGGATTCCACGTTTGAATAATTTTGGTAGACTTTTTTAAAATTCTACCAGTATTGTCTACTAATGCCGCCCGAACACTTCCCGTCCCGACGTCCACTCCAATAAAATACATATTGTTTCTAAAATTAAGGAAATAAATAGCTACAGATAAAATAATAATAACAAATCAATAAATTAGAATTATTTTAAATTTGTATTGAACAAATGTATTATATTAAAATATTAATACTAACAAGCAATAAATATAAAAATGTTTTTTACGCATACGTCGAAAGGAAAGCGCGTCAAATACCTTCTATGAACTTACAATTCAAAATGTGAATGAATTAATGATCACAGCATAAAACGCTAAACAAGATTTTTACTTAAAGAATAAACTTGAATATCCGGTTAAGGCATCGATTATAAAATGGTAAATTTAAACGTATACCTTCAATACGTAATTAATAATAATTAATATTCATATGTATTATACATAGGTAATGAAATTTTAAATAATAATAATAATCTTAGGAAAAGAAATCTGACTCACGAACTTATGGGTACATAATAATATAATTAATTTACATACAAACATTAATCACTTGAAAATATAATAGGTATTTTTTTTAAATATTTGTTTTTATTTTATAGTTTTTTAAGTTTTTCCTTTTTTTAATGACAGTCTATATTATTAAATTCTTTATTTAAAAAAATCAAATAATTTTATTGCATTTCGATTTATTAAACTTAAATTTTGGACGAGTAATTTGTGATTTAAACTTTAAAGTTTAATTGAGCAGAGTAGAGTTATTTGACTGTACTCCGAAAAATGTTAGAACAACATCTCTCATTAAACTTTTGAATATATATACATATAAAATATAAAGTTATGATATAATTAGCTAATCATCTGAATTATTTTTTATATTTAATGAAATACTCCGAATAAAGATTTGTTTTGGAATATAAAATTAAATGTATGACGTTATTTAAAAAAATAAAAATACATATTTAAAAAATAATAAAGATAAAAATTATAAGCTTATGTACTCGTATTAAAAAAACATATTGTTTTGTAATGATTTAAAATTATGTAAAAAGTATTAAAAAAAAAAAAAAAAAAGATAGAAAGATAAATTTTAAAATAATGAATGACTTTGAAACAAATGTGACTTAAAAGTTAAAATATTATATTTTTGTTACTTATTCAGAATTTTACTTTGAGCAGCGTAGACGATTGTATAGGGTTATTACGTAAAAGTATTTTCTTGGTACACAACGGCGTCAATTATTTATTACGTAGTAAAAAGAAATGTATATGGTGTTCACCGATAAGTAAAAATAACACGAAGAGTCATGCGTATAATGATTGGCGATACTGCCAATATAAATTCGAATTTATCGACTAAATACAAGACGATTCTAATAGCATACCATGATTTTCATTTCATTGTGTATTAAGTAAGTAAAATTTTGTAAAGTTTACTTGAGTAAAAGTATTAAAATAGTTTTTAAGTACATTCTCAAATTCGTACTTTAAACACTTCTGAAAGTAATACCAATTTAAAATACATTCTCAAAATATTGATATTTTTAATTACTTTTTCTATTTTTTATAAGCATACTATTTTTAATTCAGTTAGATTAAAATTGTTCTAAAAATAAATAATGAATAAATGCACAAAAATTATAAACTATTACAAATTGGTTAGAAACTTTATTTTCATTTAAAAACACAATTTAAAATGTAATAGTTTTCAGGCTAAAATAATAGATTGAATTCAAGATTTCACTATAGTAGATACTTAAAATTACTAGGTACTATAATAATTATAAAATACTTAATCGAACTTTCAAATTGAAATTTAATTATCTATGTCCAATAATGCGGTATAAAACGTTAAATAAATTAAATGCTAAAAATCAAAATTGATTTTTAAGTAAAATTATTTAAATTAAATTTTTTTAAGTTTTTGTGAATAATTTTTTTAAGTATCTGCATTTGTACTCAAATATGTTTTATAGTACTTTTTATTTAAAAAACATGTTTTAAATACTTCTTGAACACTCGCCACAGAAGACAAACGTCTAAAACTTCTCTAGATATAATATTTGTTAATTTAGAATCAGTGCTAAATAATAAAGATATAATCAAATTTAAATATTTATGTTATAGCAAAATAAAAATTGAATCAATTAGCAGTTACTAGTCATCTCAATATTAAAACGTCCTAAATTATATGAACTCATCATTTATAGCATATCTACTTGCTACTACAACAATCATTAGATACATTGAAAACAACTAACTTGTACCAAAAGTCGTGACTTTCTCACAAAATGTAAATTATATTATGGTAATTACCTCTGGGGTGTCATTTGCGGTAAACAGGGTATGCAAATGCAGCATAGTAAGGGATAGTACATATTTTATCGATTTAATATTACAATAAAGTTATGTCATTAATTTTGAATTGTAACAATATGTAATTTCTATGATAAAAACAACAAAATTAAAATATTAAAAATATAAATTATGTTTCAAATTCAAATCGATGGCTGATATTTGTAAATAAATATGTTTTATATAATGATCGAAACGATTGAAATATTCGAATATTGATTTTTTTTTTGCCTTGACTTTAACTCAACATAGACCACTGCGATTTAATTAATTCAAATTTAAAACGATTTACGTCTAAGGTTCGACATTAATAGAATTAGGCATTTTATAATATATTGCAGAGTTGTAAATACTTTTGTTTACGTTTTGCATGGTCGTCAACTACTTCAGAAAAAAAGATAATAGTTTATTAAAAGACTTTGAAGGCAACATGAAACTTTATTAACTGCAATTTTAATCGCGATATTTTTAAAATTAAACGCAGGGCATATACAATAAAGAATTTAGCAATTGAATAATTAGTTATGAGTGTTATGACTTTGTTATAGAATGTTTATTGTAGATGTAGAACGCACATTACGGTCAGATGATACCCCACGCATAATTCATGATAATTTTAAATTTGAATGACATTTAAAGCTAAAATATGTTATTAAAATCTGGAGAAGTCGCTTTGCTCAGCATGAGCGTTTGTCATCATTAAGTAGGACACTATTATGATGTTATACATATTTTGAATTCAATGATAATTCATTGTATAGTTACGACGAAAGCCGATTTTGTGTGAAGACGGATTGTCAGGCTATATTTCTAAGGATATTCTAAATTTTTATTACTGTTACTGATTTATTTTTATACTAGTAGGTAGTAAGATATTTTAAAATCATTTTGAAATAACTTTTACATTAATATTAACATACCGTAGAACGGTGTGAATAGGTTCGTATTATAAGTTTAGTTTTTAATGTTATTATAGATATTGAGTTGCAAATTTCATTTGTTTTTTTTTTCAAATAACTTTTTTTTTTTGATATTTCATTTAATAATTTTATAAATTGAAAATTAAATTCAAATAATTTTTCAAATTTCAAAAACTGAAAAAACAAAATTTTTTAAAAAACAGGTAGATTATATTATGAAGTTTTCATTTGTATTAATTCATAACTAAAATGTCCATTAAAATGTAATATTTAAATTTATTAATGTGTATTGTGGGCTATGGTTTCTATTTATAGTATTAATATGAGGCCATATTATTATATTATGGTTGAAATTTATTTAATATTATAACATTTAATTTTCTATGTTATAGTATGAATTTATTAAATCATAAAAATTAAAATAATAATTATTTCATAATAATGCTTATTATAGAAGAGATGATTTTTGTGATTAAGTATATTAAATCGAAATTTGAAATTAAATAGTTCGAAAATCTCTAAAAATATTTACTTTACTTTTCAAAATAGTAATATCAATAGACAATATATATATAGTGTGACCACGGTTTAAGGTACCATCAAATATCTTAGCTGGATGACCTTGTATTGAAGTAAATATTTATGCCTAGGGAGTATTTAAATACACATTTATTTATGGTTTTCAATTTTTTTACGCTTTTGGTAATACAACTTACACTTTTTTAAAGGGAACACTTATTTTTTTTTTTTACATATTCGAATAGATTATTTTTTTTAAAACGCTTTTTGTACAAAAAGTTTTTTTCTATTTACAAAACTGACTAAGTTAGAGAAGTTAAAATTTGTGGTTATACATAAAAATTTCGTATTTAACGAAATTTTCACTTAAAACCACTGGAAATAATAAAATAAATGTTTAATTTTCCTTATCTGTTTACAAGTAATAACTTAATATGCAATTTTTGACAAAATCTGTTTTTTTTTTATTTAGTGTAACTCAAAAATAGATAACCGTAGAAACTTGAGATTTTCACTTAATGTTTATTTAATTATTTTCTATTTACGATAAAATTTTAAAATGTTCATGGTATTTTTTTTATGAGTGTCAATTTTTTGTTCTTGGTTTTTTTCTGGATAGAAATGCTTGAAAATTTAATACAAAGTTCTTCATAATCTGATTATTTCTCATTTAAAAAATAATGAATATAATATATACACACAGTATTTTTTTTATATGCATTGGAATTAAAATTTTCTAAATCACAAAAAATTGCAAACTATTTTGTTATTAAAAATTCTTTTAAACTTTTCTTTTTATATTTAAGTTTAAAAATGTAAAACGAGATTTCTTATAAAGAAGTTTATAATTAAACCTTAAAATCTAAATGAAATTTCTTATTTAACCGATAAATAACGATGTAAATTATTTTGTTATAATTTAAAACCATTATTTGTAGGAATTAAAAACTTTTTCGTACGTTTTATTATTATAAATTTTACTATATGCAATGGCATTTTTGATTTATTTTAAAGTATTATCTAAGTTACTAGAATCACAGATACTATTAATTTTTTTTTACTGTTTTTTTTTTTACGTTATTTTTAACAGAAATATGCTATTAAATTTTGAGTTATATAAGTTGACATAATATGGTTTGAATACATATATCATTATAATAATTAAATACTAATAAATGATAATATAATAATTAATAAATGCAATATTTTCAGAAAAAATTATATCATACTACAATATTACTAAAATTAAAATAAATTACTTTAATAGCTATATCAATTAAATATATCTTTAGGTTGATAGTAAATCTTAGAACAGAATTATTATCCATTTGCAATAATAAATGATACGTAATTTAATTTAAATTTAACACATTAATAATAGTGACCCACTCAACATCTTATGTATTGCAGAGTACCACTCACCTGCATACCTTTTTATTGTAGATGACTTCATGAGTAGGAGCTTTAAAAGAATCCCTTATAAATTTGAAAAAATGCAATACTCTACATTTGTCAAGTTAAATAGTTATATTTACAAACATAATCGATGAATTTTTTTTTGAAATGATGAGCGTTAATGATTCTGGTTTATTATCACACGTCAGCCACCCATACATATTACGTACAATGACTGAAAACTGTTTAATTTTTTTTTGTATTTTTAAAAATAAATTCCTACGTGTATATAAGTAAATACATAGCATATAACAAAAATTTGTAGATATGTAACAGCATAATAAGTAATAAATAATCGTATAAAAAAAATAAATAAATGATATTTGTATCATATTCTTAACCTCTATAAATTAAACTTGAGATACGTGGTAATTTTTATAAATTATTTTTATTGCAATTGTTTTAAAATTATTTTCATTTCTATAACTTGACACTATACATAGCTATCGCCTATCAGTTTAAACAAAATATTATCCTACATCACCCAATCCTCCTACCTACCAAAACCACGTTGAATAGGTTTGCATTGTTATAGGTTGTTTCGAATAATTCAATACGACTTTTACCAGATGTGTGTCTAATTTTCTTAATTATTATTTTTTTTCGTTTTGTTACAAAAGCAAGTATATAATAAGGTATTTAAATGTTTTACTTATTTTTCCCTAATATTTATTCACTAACTATTTAAACAAAGCATATGTTTAAACACTTGTGCAATACTGTTTTACAAGTATAAAACCTAGTGATTTTTTATCAAAAGTTTGTTCAAACAAATATATCACCGCATCGCACAAGATAGCGATAATTTACAGTATGGGAAGTTATCAATTATGTGTGGCCGTCATGGCAATAGCTAGTTTAGCCACAGCACAGGTAAAAACTAACTAAATATTATACAGAGTGATTCGCTAAGTATACTCATTGCTTTTTTTCCTTCGATAATGAACAATTAAATTCTGATGTTTGAAATATTCTAGTTAAATAATGTCATTTTTAAATACTTAGATTTTTTTATGACATTTAAGGAGTGTTCTGTGGTGATATCAACTTTTTTCCAATAAAAATCACATTTTTATTGCAAGTTATTAAGTATAAGACGTTTTTATAAAAATTGATATATTCAAATCGAAATTCGAATGAGTAGTTTTTGAGTCATTTAATGTTGTATACTAAGAATAATAGCATAAATAGGTCCATTAAAATAGCTTTGAAAGATATGGGGGGCTATTATGATGATTTGAACATTATAGTAAATACCTAGTTTTAATCTATATCAGTATTTTATACTCTTTAAAAATTATTTGAGTTTAATATTAATTTATTATATACCATATATAATATAATCTATCTATGTATAATTAATACCATAACATATAAGCATCAATAGTTTCAAATATTTTATTTATTTTATAGTTTACTAAAATTATTTTTTAATGAATATCATTCTTAGGATATGCATTTGAATAATTCAGAATCTACACATTCAAACTTTCATTTAGATTATATAACAACATTTTTAAAATATAACTTGCTAAATACTTTAAAGTAAAGGTTGATTCAGTACAATGTACTCTTTAAGTGATGTAATAAATCTAAGCCCTTGTTATTTATACTTCAACGTATTAAAAATCAGAATTTAAGTTAATTAATTACTAAATAAAAAATAGTAGTGAACATATTTGATAAATCACCCTGTACGTATTATAATTAAATATCATTAATATTATTATTTTCTGAAATACACATTGAATATTAATATCCAATTTAAAATATGGTTGACAAACATGGAATGTATCGCATGCCAGACACGGCCTGTACACGTTCTGGCGATGCAGTAATGTGCACTAAAAATTATTATTAATAATAACTATTAATAGTTTTTTTTTTTAATAAAATCTATCGAGTATACATAGCGTAATATATTACTTAAATAAGCAATGTTCAAACGAATTGCATAGATTGGAGGAGGAAGAAAAGTATATATTTGGAACATGATGTTTCAATTTGTTAAGTTTAGAATCACATCAAATATATATTTATTTTGTTTTGTAAGACACGTCTTTTTATATATATCTCAAATTTTAATTTCAGAACTTTGTGTTCGTTTTTTACTACGTTTTTGATAAACTGTTTGTGTTATATACATTATCAGTGTGAGTAAAACTAACGATGTGTAAAATATTCAACGACTGTGGTTTTTTTAAAAGCCGCTTTAAATTTGTCTACCAATCGTTGTACAACAGTCTTGTTAAATATTCATCTATAAACTTGTAAACGCTGATACGGATTAACACATACTTAATACGCTTAAAAACAACGATCTGATTTGGTTCAACCTGAAATATACGTAGGTATTTAATACACAACAACCCGAGTTAAATGCGTAAGCTTTATATATTTGAATAAAACTTCTAAATTTTGTATAATTAGAATTATTGGCGTAAATAGAAGGGAGGCTTGTGGCGAAATTAAATTCTCCCTTTCAAATTCAATCATTTCCTCACTATAACTAAGTAATAATGAGTAAATGTAACTTTTCCCTATAACTTTGGAATAAACCCAATAAAAATAATTGAAAAAAAAAAAAACTATTTAAAGCATTGTTTTTGTGGTACAGTAACAGTATATGTATGTTTAATTAATGATAATAAATATTGACGATAAGTATTATTTTACTAAAAAAATCATTATTATTACTTATTAGAATACCTAAATATACCATGGCCAAAAAATAAAACTTGGATATATCAGATAGGGCGTGACCCGTTTCGCCCAAATTTTGTATTAGTAAGATTTCCATTTTGCCCAGACTAGTTTATACCAATTTAAAATTTAGTTGGCAATTGTTCAGTCAAGTACTGTTGTACATTATACTTAAGTATTATTTAGCGTTACCCAGAGAATACCATGAGGAGGCACTTTATTCTCCAAAATTTTATACGACTCTTTATTCTCCAAATTTTTTTTTTAAATTTTAAATTGACTTTGCGTTAAAAAAAATGTTAGTATTAACAAGTACATTAAATAAATTATTTAAAAAAAATTCACATGCAATCAAAGGTTTTAATTTTGTCACAAATATATTTGATACTTACACACTATAAATTTCACATATAAATTTAACTATACAAATTGTATAAACAATATTGCCGTTATTTTGAAAAATAAACGAGATTTGATGTCAGAATGCCCAACTGATGTCTGATGATAGAGTTATTAAATATTGTGATTATTTAATAAACAATTATATTTCTGAGGATAGTACATTTACTCTTAGTCTATGGGCATGTAACACAGCGAGTGTACTGCTTACGATGGATACGTGTGAGTCTCCTCGGGGTGTTCTCTAGGTAACGCTAAATGATACTTAAATATAATGTACAACAATACTTGACTGAACTATTGCCAACTTAATTTTAAATTGGTATAAACTAGTCTGGGCGACATGAGAATCTTACAATTACAAAATTTGGGCGAAACGGGCATCTGTACGAAACGGGTACGGTCATTTTTGGGCGAAACAGGTCCCGCCCATCAGATTTATGATTAAAGTTATAATTTTAACAGTACCTAGGTATATTCTATCTTTTTAAATATTTACAGCTAAAAATGACTATATGTCTAATCATGCATTGAACGTTATTTTATTACTATAAGATGGTTAAATATTTTATTGAGTTCATCTATATGGACTAGATTACCAAATTTATTTATCTTCATTATCTATAGTCCATACTGATTATTTAACGATATAAATATTGATAATACTGTCAATTTATTTGCATAATAAAACTAATTTTTTTTTTTTGAAATAAAAAATATACCATGTTAAAATAAATTCTATTTATTACGTTTAAAACTGTAGTTGGATGGTTAGGTTTGTAGTTTCCTATAAAAATTAGGCTATTTACAATAATTTAGCCCATGGTTGGAGATTGGGGGAAAATGTATTATTTTGATTGAACTAATATTTACTTATAATCATTTATGCGATGTCAGAGAATTATTCCGTGTAATATACGTATATACCTATATTTTATGTATTATATGTGCACAGAAAACTAGCTACGTTGATGTGTCTGCTGCCTACCCCACTGCCGATGAATTCAATGAGCCGAAAGACGAGTTAGAATCAGAAATAGAGCACCATCAATGTGATGAATACAGATCGAAGATCTGGGACAAAGCATTTAGCAATCCAGCGACTATGGGACTAATGGATGTAGTGTTTGAAACAAATAACGAATTGGGCGCCGACGAAGTGTGTTCAGACACGATTCGGGTCCTAATTAACTTCATCAATGTGATGGCCACCGACCAAAGCGCTCACTTCTCGACAGGTATGTTGGGCAAGATGTTGGCGTTCATTGCGAGGGAGGTGGATGTGACTTCGGACAATTTCAAAGAGACAAGGCAGGTGATCGAACGCATCGCAACAAATGTTGAGATTCGTAACTATATCAGGAACTTAATCTTCCGGTCCATAAACTTGATCAAAGAACCAGAGATGAGAAGTCGACTACTTAGAGTAACTAAAGCTTTCGAGAGTCTGATTGTACCGTCCAAAGACGAGAAAAAGTCAACCAGAAGATTAAGGGGTTAGGCAATGCTCCCGCCAAGATAGCCATGGGTACCATGGATAAGATTGGAAGTTTCTTACATAATTTCTAATAAACACGTCCATACAATAGATTAGTGATATTTATATACATTAAGTGTAAACTCTTTACAAATATTTTAATATCTTATCTCACCTCCTTCCCTCACCGAAAGTCATTTTAATTTTTTGTACAATATCACACATTAGGTATTATTTGATTCACCACTCATCGTTATTATTGAAATAAATACTATCGTTATTGTTATTTTTATTTTTGTCTCTTAATATACTCAACTGATTAACGTTTAATACATTATTCATTTGTCCTGAAAGAATTCCTTGTGATTTTTAATGCTATTTAAATGTGCATACGGGAATCGCGAACCTGATGTGCAACAAAAAAAAAAGTTTCACTATAAAACAAAAATAGACTATCATTATAATATTATTAACAAGAAGATTTGGACTGTGAAGACAAGACGAAAACAATTAAGTGATTGAATAACAAATGAAATAAGTACATCATATAGGTCGTATTTATAGGATTATTATTATTATTATTATGTTTGATTGAAACATCAGGTACCTAAAATAAGAGGCGTTTAAACCTAGAAATTTGTTGTTTGTTATTACTTAAACTGAGAGAGCTTCCGATAATCAATAATTAGGTACTTTTCTTTATTTGATCACTTACAAAGACAAAGTGTAGTTTAATTTATAATTTATAAGCACATTTAATGTAATAATCAAAAATCTAGTAAATATATGTTGTATTTTTATAAATACCATTTTAGCAGGTAGCATTAAAATAAATATTAATGTTTTGTTTAATTGTTATTAATTGTTATGTATACACTAAATTAATAATTGTTATTGTGGCCTGGTATGGCGCGGCAGTTGTCTCAGTCACTAATGTGTTTTGATGTCAAGAATCGGCACACACACACACACACACACACGTGTTCCAACCGTACTATACAAAATTTTACAAACTTTACACAAAAAAATCTACTGTTCCTATCCACAACTAATAGCCTTAGTTGCCGGACTTCAATAAGATCAAAAAAAAAAAATAATAAAAAAATGATTGTTAAAAACTTAAAAATATCTGTTACTATACTGATGTTTAATAATATAATAAGCTAGGACCTATATACTAAGTTATAGATAGATATTATAATTTTAAATATAATAATTCATTGTAGCCTGTAGGATGTTGTACTCGTGTGTATTCCGATGTGAAATATTACACATTTTACTTTCGGAATAATCCAGTTTATTCTGCTAAATTTTATGTAAGAATGCATTAACTTATTATAAAATTTATAACATTTGACGTTTAGAATATGTATAGATTTCAACTTTTTTTTTGTTAATATTTTTATTTGAAAACAAGTTATATAATCATTTTAAAATTATTAATTTATAATATTATTATATAATTTAATGCATCACATAATTTCTTTATTAGACTAAATTATAGTAATATGAAAAAAAATTGTTTTACGCTGAAATTTTAAATTTTGTTTAAAACCTACAGGCCTCTTGAGTAGGACCTTGACTACAGTTAGTCCAGAAAATGGATGGTTTAGACAATACTCTCCATATAATATTCATCCTTAAGGTTAACACGTAGAAGTATTTAGCTAAGATTTACAATACGAGTGTTAAAATAATGTTACATGTGTTGCCTTCACGTTTTAAAAAAATATAAAATAGGAAATTTGCGTTCAGAAATTACAATTTTGGTTATTATTTTTAATTTTAAAAAGAATTGATCAATTATCAAACTCAATGGTAAGAATATTATCTAATGCATCTTATATGGGCTTTTATTGATTGTAAATTTTAAAGCGAATAGTAAGTATTTTAAAATTGTAATTTTTATACAGTTATACATAATTATAAGCTTATAACTTACTTGAAAATTTAAATATCAGTACAATTTTATGAAGCGTTCTAGATAATATTTTTACCTTTAAGTTTGATGAATAGTTGATTCACTCCCATATTAAATTTCAACTGCTGTAGATAGCTTTGACTTTAAGTCTTTAACGATCAATAACCATTTTAAATTGGTGGTGATTGAATCATTGAAAGTGTAAAATGTCGATAAATTTATTTCACTCGTATTATACAAGTTATTATCCCTAGATTTTTTATGTTTAAAACTTTAATCGTGTTATTTACTATATATACTATTATGTACTATCGCCTATCAGGTTACAATCGACTACATGAAGGAAAATTAGCTTAAGTCAAAAATGAATATGATAACGCATATGTGTACAGGTTGTAAAAGTACAATAACATTATATCTACGAACATATAATTTATTTATCCATTGTCTCAATTCCATTTAAACTGTTCAATTTAAATTTTGAAATTTCTTTATGCAGATTATAATTAGTCTAGTAAGGTAACTAGAGTAGATGTTATTTAGCTTTTCCATGTATTAAATCCATAAAATAAAACAAAATAATTATATAAAATAATTCAACTATGTCATAAAAATACATATTTTATGTTAATAATTAAATTTCAGAGGTTATTAGTGCGTAATAAATCTATAAAAATCAATATTAAACTATTTTCAAACAATATACGATTCATTAATACTTATTACACATAACATAATTTATTGAAAATATTTTTTTAATACATTATTTTAATATTTAGATATACAAATATATAACAATAAAATAATATTATATTATGATATTTAGGTTTAAAAAATACATAATATAATATTGCAATTAATAGATTGACGTGCAGTATACCAATATAGAGTATAAAGTATAGATTACACTCATGAAAACAAACAATTATGTGATTATTTACATTTAGCTTAATTATAGACTGTTAAACATTTTAAAAATTATAAATAAGAAAATAAAAAATATTTACTTACAATAATACAATTATAACCGTAATAATATCGTATTACTAAATACCACGATGGTCGATGTATACAATGATGGTTAATGACACTGTGTAAGAAAAAACTGTACTAAATAATATTCACAGGCAGTGTATGCAAAAACAACTGACTTTTAATCAAATCACTGCTGACAAACTTAAAAAACTGCTATTTGGCCTGATAAGAGTTAATTAGTACGGTTCAATGTCCGTTAAAAATATGTAGTACAACTAAATATTTAGATGTACGTACAACACATTTTTTCATGTAATCACTGATTTAATTCATTATTGCCATCATCATTTTTTTAATTTTTTTGTTTATGAGCGCTTGAAGACTGAAGTAAAGATTTAATAATTTTTTGTACATGAAAAGCTTAATTATAGGATCTTTAATAAGTATTAAGATTAGTATGCGAATTCTATACCTTTATAACATATCTTAGACTTTTACTGTTTCATATAAATTGAAATTTTAATACATTGCTACGTTTACAGATTAATGAAAACATTAACGTAAAATACCCTATTTATTTTCAAACAATTTTTGCTATAAATTTATAATTCAAAAATTTGTAATCATAAAAGTTAAAAAAAAATTACATTTATTTTAAGCTATTTATACATTTTTGAAGTAAATTTTAGTAATTTATAATATAATAAATATGTTGTATTAGACCAAAATTAGTTTACCGTACTAAAAATATAAATAAAAATTACAATAAATAATTATAAAAAATTATAATTTTATGTTTTTTTTTTTAATTTCCTAAAATATCTTATGTGGGATTTTATATTAGTTTTTAAAGCTTTTGACCAAGAATAAAAATAATAATAATTATATATGGTTAATAATAATTTTATCGCTGAGTGATCTTATGCTAATTATTTTTAAAACTTTTTACTAAAAAACTTATGAATTACAAGTTATCTTGTATTATACATTTTAAGGAATTTAAATGGATTTTAAAAATTTTAAAACAATATTTATATTTTTGTTATTTAACTTGCTCATTAAAAAAAAAAAAAGTGAGCATGTATTCTTAATATTTATCAATTAAACTGTAAAATTTACTATTAAGAACCTATATTTTTATTAAACATTTATAGGTACATCGTAAAAAAGTAAAATTTCAAATGTCTAGATACATATTAATTTTAATTTTTTTTTATATCATACCTATTTACTAAATTCTAATATAAATATTCGGTAAGGAATGTAAATCTCTAGAAGTATTTATTTTGAATAGAATAAAAAAAAAACGAAATTGATTTTTGTCAAATACTGGTTCTATGTAAAAATTAATTCTCGTGTTTCTCAATTTTTGTTTTTTGTTTTAACTGATTATTTTAAAATCTACTGGACATTTTTACTTTTAAATTTCTAAAATATCGATTGGATTAAATTTTCTATTATAAATTACATCCAAAATTGAAATTTGAAATGTCTTTACTGTAAGTTCTAAAAGTTAATGTCTAGTAAATAACTAAGTAATTAAACTTGCGTTATTGTAAGATCAAAATAGACATTTATATTTTCGCTCAATACTTAATGTGTAAAGAGATATTTCATTTTTTAAATGTTGAATAGTATTAATATAGTATAATATAATGTCTTGAAGTTAAAATAATGTTAATAATAAAAAAAATATGTATCTGTTATAATATTATGGCTCTCATCTCTGAAGTACTACAACGTCCATAAAGTATAATGGACAGATTTTTGAACTGGATTTACATTGTTCATTATTTAGACGTTCAATTTGTGATAGTTATTAAAAAAATAACGAGTTGATTTAATGTTATAGATTTTTAATAAATAGTGAAAATAAATTATTAATTATAATTCGATGGTAATGTGGGGTAACTTTGTATTGATGAGAAATGACAGTTGGTTACATCATATTATTATGTATACTCATTCGGTTAAATAATTATGTTTCGTTTCCATTGTTCAACGTACAAAATTAGGTCAACGATCTCTTATTAAATATTTATTTTATTTATATTGGTATGATGGAATTATGGTGTAATTAAACAAAATTATAAAAACTATAAAAGCTACATGTCATCGTGTGCCTAATATTTATTTTCCTAAGGATTAGAATTTAGAATTGCATGAAATCAGTGATTTTATTTTCGACGAAAAAAAAATGGTATGTGTTTAATATTTATATAATTTTTTTTTTATTATTATTATTTTTACTATTAAAAAAAAAAACAGAGATTTAATATACTTTTTATAAATATTAATCTGTACATAGCACAAAAAGTAAGACTTAACAAAAATGATTTTAATTGTATAAATAGTATCTTTATTTAATTTATTTTAAAATTACTAGAATAAGATACTTATCTTTCAATTAATGATGATTTGGAAATTATAGATTAATTTACTATTTATTTCACTAATAATTTTATTGCATATTTTAATAGCTTAAATTATATATAAATCCCAATCTTAAATTATTCTTGACTATTGATTTGTATGAATACTTATAAGACATTTTACCGGACTTTGGTGTGTGATATAAGTTGCCTTATTTGTATAATTTATATATATATATATATACACTAAAAGAATAAGGTTTTAATGAAATTATATGTGTATATATATATATGCATATGTACTGCTTACACACACACCCACACATATACATATGCGTCAAGTCACCTAGACAACAGGCGCGTTTGATTAATGAACTAACAACCCCTACACATGTTGAAAGGATTAAATCCAACGACGTCTGGTCTTTTTTTTCCTATTCAATAAAGTGATAATCGTCAAAAATCCTATGGGGCTGCTGACATTTTATTGTGATGTGTCGACATGATCATATAAAAATAATAATAATAACAATACCTAATACATCCATGTGCTTACACGCCTTACACACACGAAATAATATTAAAATATGAAAACCTTCAAGCTGATTACTATGTTTTTTTTTTTTTATTTAACATAAAAAGGTAATAACGAACAAGTATTATCATAAGCATAAGCACGTATGGTATTCAATTATTATAAAGAATGTTCGTTAAGTTGATTATCAGCTATTCCAATCTCATGTTTTACTAATGTTATGTAATGGAAATTGTTAATTAATTTCAAAGACACTGATAAATTAATAATAAACAATTATTACGAAAAAAGTAATGAAGATTTGAAATATCTAAGTATTCAATATATAAATTCGTCCGAAATACTTTGAATAATGCAGTTACCTGCCGTATGCGCCTTAAATCGGAAAACACAACAGATTATAAATTAATTATTTATTAATAATAAAATTTATTTCTACGATATATTATATCTCTCTCCCCTTCTAAAAAAAAAAAACAAAAAAAATACTAAAGACCACATAATTTAAGCGTGGAAAAGCTCATAAGGGTACCAACTTTAAGAAAATAATCAATTATCTTTATCTATCATATAGAGTAATATAAATTTAATTTAATTTCTTAACCTTTTAATTTTATTTGTGACTACTTTATAGTCCTTAATGAAAAAAGAAATATCTATAAATAACTACAAATTATCTATTTTGTAATTGAAGAATATAACTGCACATATGCTATATGCATTAATATTATGAAATGCAAAATGGAAGAGTATTTGAGGAACAAGCCTAATCTCGGCAGTTCGTAGTACACTGGATTTTATGTCAAGTTTTATTTACATAAATAGTTTATTCGACAATGCAATTATAAGTGTTTTAATTTTATTTGTTTAATTATTTTCATAACTTATCAGAAAAGTATCATCACAAATTGTAAGAGATGTGCATTTATTTTTGTATTACTACTTAATTAAAAAATAAATATATCTTATGTAATTTTAAAATTGTTATCGAATTATATATGTATTATAGAATATTATTAGTATAAAATATATTAATCTTATAGACACAAATAAACAAATTATAAGGTAATATTCGTATATATGTGTGCGTGTGACTGATTTTCGCATCAAACGTTTCTCGAAAAAAAAATGATCTTGCGGGGTTGTAAGTACCCGTAACGCGGTAATGCACGAAATAGATTCGGGTAGTTGTATTGGTGGTGGGCGATGTGACCTTGGAACCAAGTTAAAGGAAGTCGTTATGATGGTGGAAGAAAAAATATAAAGAAGAATGCGCTAGTGTACAAATGTCTGTACAACTTGAATCTTGGAATACGATATATAACAACGGTGCGCCTCCAGAGTCGTCTTATAGTTCGTCTTGCTTTCAGTGCGGTTTACGTACGATCGATGGCACGCGCGAAGAACGGTACTTACCGACCTATGTTCACATGTCCGATAGATTTTTGTTCGGTCTCAAAGAATACGAACAAACCGTAACCAACGAATATTTATGCATCGAACGCGGACGAGCGTGAAAAACGTGCACGTATAGACGCCTTGCGAGTGAGTACAGAGTATACTATATTTATACATACACACACACACACACACACACACACATATATATATATATATATATAATATATATATATAAGTATAATTATAAATTATAATATAAAAAGAATATAAAACGTCATTGTATTTCTTTTTCCTCGGAACAATTAAAAAAAAAACTTATGAAATTCATATTTTTTTGTTAAAATTTAACTCTCACATACTTACTCAGATTATTTTCATCTCATCCGTGAAATACGATCATTCGTGTATACACACGTAAATACATTTTACTGTTTTACTAAAGAGCATAAAACGTGTATAAAGATGTTTACGATGTATGTGCAATGTACATAATGAGATTAGTACATTATGTCGATTATCTTTATGTCTAGCTGTTTAGGTAAATAATATTTATTGTAATTAAGTACGAGTTGTAACACGTCCAGTAGGGTCGGGACTGTGGTCGTTCATGACGTGTATGCATACTATATTATACGTCAGACAGCAATAATAATTATTAATGTCTCAAGGTCTTGCATGCGCTTATCTCGTGGTTTACAATTCGTTCAATTTGTTTCTATGTTCTTATACTGCTGGCATAAAGGTATACGTATAGGTACAACCAGTAATAGTGTAAAAAATTGATAAGTACCTACTACAACAGAATAAAAAAAAAAAAAAACGCACGTGTATAATCACTATAATCACCTAATTTGTATTTAAGCTCACGCACGCACGACGATGACGACGGTTCTTAGACATGATAACGCGTATGAATGATATTAATATTATGTTTATAAACGTCACGTCGCGTAATCCCGCGTGCAACCCGTTTAATTGACACTTGACGACTGGCTAGTAAATTCAATTTAATTCCAGTTGTGATGGCAAGGAGCCACCGCACCGTCATGCGTCACGATGTCCAATTTGTTACATCTTGTAATTCGAGCACTAGATTTCAGACTTTGATTTTAAAGATGTTTCATAAACGTATTATTAAAATTTTATCTTGGGTAGACAGGGATCACATTTTTTTAGGCATAAACCAAATCCAAAAGATTTTTTTCATATATCCTTGCGTATTCTTATATATAATGATGATAATAATAATACTTTTGTTTCTATTATTCATTTTAAAAGCACTTTTTATCTACAAAATAAGATTAGTATATTTTTTTCTATTTTAATGGACTTTTGAATGATATCTTCATTTTAATTCGTATTTCTCTACGGATATTTAGTAAAGTCATACCAGGGTTGTCTAGTTATTTTAGAGCATTACCAGTTTTTTAATCTATAAAAGTTAGTCCATAATCATAAGAGTTTATCAAAAAATATAGCCATATAAGTAAATAATAATTATGTGGTGATTGCTTTCATCTCACTCCATAAATATTTGCCTTTATGGATCTAGAGAGACTAAAAAGCCCTACAAAATATAAAAATTATTCCATAAAACTTAAACTGTGCTCTATACTTTTATAAATTTGAGCTCCAGTTATACATTTATAAGCCTCAAACTAAGTTTATTAAGTTATGTTTATGAATGTATGACGAGAATTAAGTTATTTGGATTTAATATATTTAAAATTGTCATAAGATTTTTAACAATGTTTTCCGATTAGAATTTAATCAAAGATTAAATAGAGTCGGCGTCGCAGTCGCGATCGTCTGTATACTGTAGTATTATTATAGAAACACAAGAGGAATGTTTATATTATCTTGTTGATATATTAAACATATGGGTATGGCTTCGTATCTTCAATAAACATACACATAACAGAAAGAGAAACGATGTTCTCTCTTGCACAGAAACTTCTGAGTGACAAAGAAACTAATATTTAAATAAGAGAAAAAAGAGGTGTAACGATGTTGTGGTTAACAATGGTATTAGTTGTGTTGGAATACGGATTTTTATACAATGCCGTATCCATAAGTTTAATACCAATGCATTATCTTAACTTTAACTTCAGAATATTGTACTAAGTATCAACAATGCAACACGATTTTTTGGCGTACGTACAAGTATATCAGTAAATTTAAACAATTATTTTTTTGCTTATTGATTATTTACTGATTAGGTATTGGATTTAATTTATTTAAGCTTTATCAAAAGCTTATCTTTGTATTTTAATTGACGAATAAAATGATTATTCAGTATACCTACATACGCGTATATCAGTAAATTATATGAAGGCATTTTAATGAATCCAAAAATATTACACAAAAACACTTGAAATAACTGGAAATATTAAATATTACGAGTATATAAATTAAGTATTAGTGACATTATACAAAAATAAAATATTTGGCCAGTAAGTTTGGCGCATAACATTATTATTTTTATTCAAAAATATATATTTTTATAAAATATTTCAAATTAATTTACCTGGTCAAAAAAATTATATAATTTATATAGTGTTTTAGAAAACATAAACTATTTATAGCCTAATATAATATTAAATACATTAATATAATATTATAATATATTCAATTTTAATCACTATAAGCACAAGATTTAATAATATTTTATTTGTTTACACCATGGTAGGTATTTACTAATTTTAATTATTTACAAATTTGGAATTTAGTCGATTCTTCTATTCCTTTTTTACTGATAAAATGGTATATTGATCTAAGTAACAGTCTATTTATTGTCTAAAATCACCTGGACTAGCGAAATCGAAATTAATTTTTTTATAGTCAAATTAAATGTTTTGGAACGCCCTTTAATGAATACTGCCTATTTCAATCAATTAAAAAAACTACTTCAGCCGATTTCAAGTTATATCATGTCGTGTTTCGTTTCGTATTTATAACACTTAAAGTAACAAAATGTTAGTATGTAACACGTTATCAACGCTTTACGCTATACAAGATTAATATATTGAATATTACTTGACACGATATAATACTACAGAGTAAATTATCAACTATTGTATATAGGTATTAATTTTTTTTAATGCATTCCGAGAGTTCAATGATATACAATTAAAAGTAAGATATTTGTATTAAAAGTTAAAACTTTTGATGAATTTATAAAATGTAAATAAGTAATTTATTAGTGTGTTATGGTTAGTGTGGTGTGTTGCGTATCTTTTAACTAATTAAAATTTAACAGTAAAGACAGAAGTCGAAACGTGTAATATAATTTGGTATTTACTTTGAATTTAACGTTTCTGTCAGTTAATTATTGTTTTGTGTAAACTAATTAGAATATGTAAACATAATTTTTTTGCGTATTCAACTTTTTTCTATACATTAATATGTTGTGAACAGATGAATAAGTATATTGTAATAAATTATAATAATACTTTTAATGATGATATTCGAACAGAAAATATATTTGATGGATAAATATCATTTTGAATTTATTTAGTTATAGTTTTATGAAATAGGGTTTTAGTTTCATTCAAAGTAGGTTCTTATCATAGAAGAAAAACATAATATAATCGTTACACTTTGGATAAAAATAAACTTTTATAATAAATAATAATGAAAAATGTGTTCAATACATTTACACATAATAATCAAATAATATCATTATTATAAACAAGAAAGTAAATTACGTATCTATATCATCATTCTTATCCTAATTTTGTACTGACCTCTCTCTATAATTACGTACCTAACGAATGTTCTTGATTTTTTTATGTAGGTTTCAATCCAATTAAAATATATTTTACATTAATCATTTTTAACTCAGATATACATAGTATACTTACTGTAACGCTAAAACCGTTTAAATAATTGTTATTTTTCGCAGGTATGGTGCTACAGAAAAAATATTGGACCAAAATCGAAGGTGCCTATTGTATAGTGGTCGCATGTATCACGGCCTTGATAAAACTTGTGTTAAAGTATGTCGTTGGTATTAATTCGAATTTTGAAAATCAGTCCGGTAAGTCTAAGTAGTTTTAATATAATTACATTTTACAAGTGAAATGATTTTTTTTAAATAATAAGACTTACTTTACCTAATCTATAGCTAAGATCTTATTGTAAAAACATTGATAAATATTATCTAATTACTGTAATACTGTAATGTAGATGTAATTGATTTGAGTTTTAGCTGTATATTTTCACATAAAAAATAAGTACATTTTTAATAATTTAATTGAAATATTTAATTTGTGTATTTTTAGTTTGGTTTATGGATTTTTAAATTACAATGATATATAATTTTGTAATTTAAATTTAGTATGTACCTATTTGCTATATTTTTTTGTAAGTTTCAATCTACTATTTTTTTACAGAGTCGTTAATAAATAATAAATGGTTAAAAATATCATGTTTTTTTAGAACTTTATAGATACTATTAAAAAAGATTTCCTTGTTTATTGTTTGTTCATGAACATTTTTTCGATGGTTCTTGACATTGAAAACATTTCAATATTGTAGCCAATTTCGATAACATTGTTTATAAACATTGATGCACCTAACTCGTGTCTAAAGCCAAGCAATAACTTACACTATTCTTTTGAAGTCATAATAAAGTATAAACTATTTTAATGTTCGGTAAGACACAATTTATCACTAATTGTAATATAAATATAATCTAAGTTAGATATTGTTATTAATATAGAGCTTTTGGAAAGGGACCCGTTTTATAAATAAACGTCTGATATTTCGGGTCCTAGTTGATATTTAACCATAGTATACTTTTGAGTGAAGAAGACAGACGCAGAATCGCATTTATTTACATGGAAAGCATAATATACAATATTATATTATAATTATCATAATATTAATTTATTAGGTTAAAAAATTAAATCAAAAATGTTGTTAAATAACTGTACTATTAATATAGCATCATGTTTATTCTTTTTTTTTAAACAATTTAAAATAAATAAATTAAAAATGATAAAAACATTTAATTTTAAATCGATTTCAATAAAATAAGTGGTATGAAAATGTATGTAAATAATGATATGTGTTAAATTCTAGTTTGTTAATGATTTAATTTTTAGTACTATACATAATAAGTAAGTTAATAATAAGTACCTATAAATTATAATAGACTTACATAAATATAAAAATGTACATATACATATTAGTATATTACATGTATATCTTATGTATTTTGTTCAACTAAATAATACTAATATGTAATAATAATTATAATATCAATTAACAGGAGTAATTTTATAAGGTAGTTGGGGGTATACAATCCTTCTCGCGAAAATTAAACCCATGATAGTTTATATCTATACTCTCTAGACGTAAAACTAAATTGCATGTAAAATATAGTTGTATTATAATGGTAAATATTGTAAAAAATAATATTTATAATATAAACTATTATTATTAAAAAATAATAATTTAAACTGTTATGATTTAACTATGGCTACAAAACTTAGAGCTACGTAGGTATACACAATTCGTATGTTTCGTTTCTAATTGTTGAGGTACCATCACTGGGTGACTTCTCTGCTCATGCCTCCTGGTTTCTTAATTTTATCAAGTTTGCCTATTGTACGAATTGTTTATTCTAAAGATTGTAAATTTTCATATTTTAAATAAATAATAATAAAAAACTAATAAATATCGTATTTATAAATTATAAAATATTATATTATTATTATATAATATTGTTATGGTCAAATAAATAATAATCACATTCCTTAGTATAAGTCCTACATGTATAGTCGTAGTAAATATTGTTCTTAAATCTACCTTTTTGTACTTGAATAATGAATATTAGGTGTATATACTATATACTGAAATACTGAATTAGGTATGACTACATTTTATTGTGAAAATAATAAGACTTATTCATAATGCACATGGTTAAGTGTTAAATTGAACTGAGATGTGACGATATTTCTTAAAAATCAGACAATAAAGTCAGTTTAAAATTAATATAATAGACTTTTGGGTTTTGAATGTAGAAAGATTTTTTTATTCAAGGTCAAGGGCTTTAATGCATAAGTCAATGACATAAATAATGATTTAGTTTTAGATGCTCAGCAAAAAATTTACAAAACAGTTGCGGATATTCCAGGACCAAGGTCATTGCCTGTATTTGGAACGAGATGGATCTATTGGAAATTTGGTTTGTATAAACTGAATGCCGTTCACTTAGCATACAAAGGTATATACTATAACAATAAAGCATAATATAAACACAATATGATTATTTAATTTAGGGTCCACGAAAAGTTATGTATCGCGCACGCTATTGAAGGGAAAATATAAGTCATTCAATTTAACATGAATATTTATGATGATAAAATAAAAGTTTTTACTTTAAATTAAGTAGCAAATTTAATTTCAATTGGTGTGTAATGTAATTATCTTAGTCTTTATTTAATATGTATATTATACTGCTAAGTAATACATTCAATTAATTATTCATACAATTATTTGAAATTATCTTATATTTAAATGAACATAACTTCATAGGATTATCAAAAGTAGTTGAGTTTAAACTAGTAACCACTATAACAGCATAAATATTCTAAGTCATTGAACAAAAATAATTATATTCGCTTTACAATAATAATTGTTTTGTTTGCATATTTCTTTTAATTGTTTAAATTAAGCTAAAAACCCCCATTAAATTAGCAGTAGTAATTTTTTTTTGTAAAGTAATATCATTTAAGACTTGTTTTTAATGCGACTTAAAAATAAAATAAATATTACTATTCAAGATGTAATTTAGGTAATATAGTTTTTAATTGTAAATTAGTACTAAAAGAAATTCGTATTTTTAGCAATAAATTCATTACATTTAAGTATTAGAAAACTTATATTAGTTATATTATATTATATTTAACACTTATTTTTAAATTATTTGCTAAATTTAATACATATTCAATTTTGTAGTAAATTTACTATCTTCGTGCTAAATAGAACCCAATCAATATTATTATTTATTAATTATTATCATTCATTACTTAAAAACTCAAGACTAATTTTGAGACTACTTAACTTCGGATATATAAATATTTAGATTTATTATTATATTGCATAAATCAGATTACATCAGTAATTATTAATCACTTTGTTAATAATTCCACAGACATGTTTATCCGGTATGGGGATATTATTCGTGAAGAGGCACTGTGGAACATACCAATCATAAGTGTCAAAGACAGAGATTTCATCGAAAGAGTACTTAGACATAGTGGAAAGTATCCTATTCGTCCTCCAAATGAAGTAACAGCGAACTATAGAAAGTCTCGTCCAGATCGTTACACAAATACAGGGCTTGTGAATGAGTATGTACTTATACATATTGATACAATTGCTTTCATGGTACTTTTAAATATGAGAATATTCAAATTTGAAGTTAAAGTTTACATAATAGGTTTAAAAAATATACTCGAAAATATGTTGTAAATTGATTAGATATAATCAATACAAGTTATAATCATAATTATTTATATTGATAAAAATAATCTAAATAACAATAATTTTTTGTTTCGAAAATGATATCATCTAAATTTATAATAGTTGTATATTTTGGTTTTTTATTTATTATTTCATATAAAATAATTTATTAATAATCACACGTATTACAGACAAGGTGAAGTTTGGGCGAGGTTAAGGAATAAATTGACACCGGCACTTACTAGTCCTAGAACAATACAACGTTTCTTGCCAGAAGTTAATCAGCTAGCAGATGATTTTATTAACCTAATTTCCCAAGCAAGAGACAGCAATAACGTGGTCAAAATATTTGAATCGTATTGTAACAGGATGGGATTGGAAAGTATGTTTATATCGAATAATAATAGTTGTCATCACTTATGAGTAATAAGTAATTTAATCGATTTCCACGATGTGTTGTCCATCATAGGCACGTGTACGTTGATTTTGGGTAGGAGATTCGGATTTTTAGATGGAGAGGTTAGCGAAACGGCTACGCGCCTGGCAGATTCTGTGACCAGCCAGTTCCGAGCATCTCAGGAAGCGTTTTACGGGCTTCCCTTCTGGAAATTAATACCGACAAAGGCATACAAGGAATTTGTAGCGAGTGAAGACGCTTTATACGAGCAAGTACAACTTGTAGGAAAATTAAAAATATACGATCCGATTAAACGTTTTGTATTGTTTGAATTTAGCATCGTGTCAGAAATCGTAGACTCGGCACTGATCGATGAGGAACAGTCTTACACAGATGTACGCAGTGTGTTCGTATCTATACTGCAGACGTCAGAGTTGGACAACAGAGATAAAAAAGCTGCGGTTATCGATTACATCGCCGCTGGAATAAAAACAGTAATATATCATAAAATGACGTACCATAATTTACAAATATATTTTTTATGCAAATGATAATGTTATATAATGCTTAATAATAGTTTATTTCGCGTAGAGACATTAATAGAAATAATATAATACTAGAATTCTAACAAAAGGTGAAAACAAAACAATGCATTATTGTGTTAAATCAGTGTATCTCGAATAATAACTAGGAGTAAATATGAATTCTCTAGAAATATTTAGGTACCATAAAACACTATGTATATAATTCGGTTATTACGATTTTAATACTTTTGACAGTCATTGATTATAATTAAATTATCTACATGTAATTCACCCATAATATTTGTATTATTTAATTTGCAATAAATTGTTTTGAGACAAAATTTATGAACAAAAATATTTTCTCCAAGTACTGATTTTCTTGTTTATTGCTATTTATAAATATTTATAGCAATATAGTAGGTATTACCATTGTTGTAAATAAAGACGAGAAGAGCTTGGTGAACTTAGATCCTCCAAAACTAAGCCAAGTTTTTTCAAATTGAATAAATATTAAGTGAATCTAATATTTTATACGATTTTGAAATTAAACCCAATATAAGTTATTGAAAATAAAATTATAATTAAAACTTTGTTTTTCTGATACAGTTTTTTTAATAGGTAATATAAATACAGATGATAAGAAGTGTTGTTTTTCCGTATAATTTAGTAGGACTATAATACTCCCCGACTATATAATATTTTACTACAGATATAACTGATATAAGATATATGTGTTTGTTAGCTCTTCTGTTTACTTAATAGCCTAACTGATACAATAGTTTTTAAATATTTTAATGGAAATTACCTATTTAATGTATGCAAGTAATCATTTTTTATTTGTGTATCAATAACGATAGATGGTGATGTGAGTAGTAATGTGTTACTTCCTACATTTTTTAAATCAATTTAATAATTGAAGATTTAATTTTTAACAAAAAATTGGGTCTATTATTATTATTCTGGTTTCATATGAGGACACGTAATATACATAAGATATTTAAAACAATAAAAACTGTTTTCTCGTATTAAATTTCAGAAAATACTTCAACTGCTATATGAATTTATAAAGATATTACATTGTAAACTTGTGTGTTCACAAATAAATATAATTATTGCTTATTATAAATAATTACAGCATGGTATACCTTTAGAGTTTCTAAGATGTAATGTGAACATTTTGAAAAATATTCATAGCATTTATAATAAATATTTTTTACAAGTTTGACGTATTGATGTCATTAATGTTATTTATTTCATAGACGAAGCCTAAAATAGTATTTTTTAAATTTATTGTCTACATTAAAGAAACCCGATGCCATTAAACAAATTTAAGAAATAGTGCTTAATGGCCTTAATGTATATACATTTGTATATAAGTACTAACGACAATTTATACCAAGTGAATCAATAATTTTAAAAATGTAATAAAGTTTTATACGTATGCTTTTTAGTTGGGAAACACCTTAGTGTTTTTATTGTACTTGGTCGCCAAACATCCAGATGTACAGAAAAAAATATATAATGAAATATCACTATTGGCTCCAGCAAGTACACCTATTACTGCTGAACATTTACACAAAGCCACATATTTGAATGCGTGTATATCCGAAGCTCACAGGTAAAATCGTTTTAATATTATTATATAAATAATATTAGTTATCAACGCTCATTGATGTGTTTTGCATTGCCTATTAAGACTTCTACCCACTGCCCCGTGTATTGCAAGAGTTTTGGAATCGGAAGTTGAGTATGACAATTACCGATTACCATCAGGGGTAATTATTATATTGACATATCATAATATAGTATACAATTATACTAATAATTTTATTTTTTTATTTTATTTTAGACTGTTGTGTTATTGCACACGGGATTAGCGTGTTTGGACGATAAAAATTTCATAGACGCGACTTCGTATAAACCGGAAAGGTGGTTGGACGATTTGACGAAAAAATCACCGTTTTTGGTCGCACCATTCGGTTATGGCAAACGAATGTGTCCTGGGAAGCGATTTATAGAATTAGAACTTCAAATTGTTTTAGCAAAGGTTAGTAAGAAAGTTTACACCTAGTTAAAAATAACAAATAATAAATTATAATTATGTTTTAAAGATGGTTAAACAATTTCATATCGACTTTAAAGGACAACTGAAAACTGAATTTGAATTTCTTTTGACACCCAGCAATGCAAATTTTATTCTACGAGATAGAAATTATTGATGTCTTAAAATAGTTTATTAAATTAACCCTACTATAATTTAATACAGTACCTGCATATGTATATTAAATAATGATTAATATTATAACATTAAAATATTTATTTTATCGTACTGATCTAAAGTTAGACATATTATCATACTATATATTTTTTTGAATATTGATTATTAAGTATATTTATATACATAATATGTATTTGTATAAACTATACATTTGTGTTTATGTATATTTTTATAATCATTATAGAGAAAATACATATTAATATTAAAGTTAGGTTATTGATTTTCATTTCTCTCTTCAAATGTAAGCAAGCAGTTTCTGTTTGTAATAATCTTGTATTAGTTCTAATTATTATGTAATGTCTATTCATAATGTATATCTTACAGTAAATTAATTTAATAACCAAATATACGGATAACTGTTGTTTAAGAGCATGATATATGCACATATGCACGTGAACCTCAAATAATATTTACTGAAAAATGATGTAAGTATTTTTGAAAAGAATAATAATGTATAATTATAATTATTATTTATTTTTTGTACAAGTAGTACTTCCGTCACATTTATTTTCACATAATATTACACCTACACAATTTCAGGCATAACGTTACGTATTGTTGCAACCTGCAGTCTTGCAATGGCAGCGCAGGTACCCTTGAATATCCGCAACAACACTATTCATTAATCACAAACTACTTTTCTAAGTATCAACTGTCTACCATCAAATAATTTGATAACATTGTCCATGTTCAACAGATTTTCTTCACAAGAAGCTATTTCTTGGCGTGTATAATTTTATTTAAGAAAAACATATTTCTTTCCATGGATGCACTGCTAATTTCTAGCATTGAACACATAGATTTAAGTAAACTATTACTGTTTCATTAGTTAGGTATATTGAAATATTTATTTTTAAGTTTAATAATTATACAACTTTATCTTTCATAGCCTAAGGCAGAATGTGTTTCGTGAAGAATTTCAAATAATTTGTCAATCTTAAGGTAATACAATATGACATTTTTTCATCAACCGGTGTAATAAAGTGCCATTACCAATTATTATTAGAATGTTGTACTTACGTATTATACTATAGTTCTCTATTGTTTTCACAGCCAATAGTCATTTCAGATCGATACATACTAAAGTATAATCAATTATAGAATTTTTCATTAGATATGATATTTTCAAGTATAACCTAACTAATGTTAGAGTTCCATTATATATGTAGGTACATTGGCGTAATTTGGGAAAAATATCAGGAATTGCAAAAATTATAAGCCCGGGGGGAGGAAATTTATACTTATGCGAGGCCTGCGTTATATTTGAGGTCACAAGTGCGACTCTTGAGACTCCTAATTACACCACTGTGTTATATAAGTACCTTAGCTATGTCACATAATATTTTATTAGTTTACCCACGAATTACACATTTTTGATTGCTCTATTTTATAATTGAAATTTCTCATTCTATACAATTATTAACATCACTCACTAGAAAATAATAATAATCCCCACATGTATGAATAAATAACGTTATTTTTCAATATGACGTCATTTACTGTAACACAAACATATGTTATTGCATAATTTCAAATTTATATTTGTATTTCCTTACCAAATTCATATTGTTAAATTTATAATTTAGTTATAAATTATTAATATATCATATTCATAGCTCAATAATATTATTCAAGTATCAAAATTATACGAGTTTAATTTATTAAAAATAATATTTTATGTTAATACTTTCTATTTGCCAAATAATTGTTATTTATAAAATATTATAAATAATAATGAGTTATCAAAGAGTTATCATTATTGTTCACTGCTGAATAAAATATTAACCATATTAACCATTGAGTTATATAATTCAATCATAATATTATTAATATTTCTTAGTTGTCTTTTGTATAATATATAATTATGTTTACTATCTATACCTACAATGAAAAAAATACAATACATAGGTTATGGATATTTTATATGTAATATAATTTAAATATATGAACACATAACTAAGCGAATAGGGGCTTTGATTCTTGTTTACTTCACTTATCAAACCCTTGAGAGTTGTGCCTCTGTAACCTTGAGTCGTTTTCTTTTTTGAAATTTAAAATATTAAAAAATAAAATAAGTGGAAGGTAACGGATAAAATCATTTTTTAAACAATAAAGATTTAAAATAAAATGTTTATTTAATAGTATTAGGTATTTATTTATTGGTTGTTAAGATAAATATATTATTTATGAATATTTGTGTAATATTAATATTTAAAATTGGTAATATTTTATTTTAATTTTTAATTTTATTTTATTGATAATAAACGCCCAGATTATACATTACAATTAAATACTTATAACTATTATACAAATCAAATGATTAATTATTGATAAGAAAATAATGTAAATTATATAAGAATAGGATAAACATTTTAATCTGATTGGGTTGTCATTAGATAAATCAAAATGTTTTAATGAATTCTCTGTAATTAGCGTTCTATTAATCGTAGCAAAAAGACTATAATTCTGCCGGTAGGTATTCGTATAGAATGTTTGTGATACAACAAATTTTCAAATTTAACTCTAGGGACATGGAAAGTTATTTAATTCAAAAGTTCTGAACAGTTGATTTGGTAGTTAAGTAATTTATAAAGCCAAAACATAACATTGAAGTTTCTTCTTTTTTCAAGTGATTCTATATTAAACTGATCTGTTAGTTGCTCTAGAGAAGTACCTATTTTGTTAGTTTTAAATCCTAGTACACATAGAAATCGATTCTAGATATGTTTAATTTTATTTATTAAGTTAAATTGACGAGGGTTTCAAATTACTAAGCCATATTTTAAAATATATTAAACTAGAGAGAAGTATAATACTTTTAAACAATTTGGATTATTAATCTCCGAGCAATTACGATGTACGGTATGCTTTATTACACATTGAATTAATATGATCAATAAAACATAGGTCACTCGACAACAGAATACTTAAATTTTTAATTTATGATACTACTTATAAATCCACATTATTAATTCTATATTAATAATTAATTAAATTTAATTTACGACAAGAATTGTGAACATTTATCTATGTTAATATTTACGAGTAGGCGATTAAATGAACACCATTCATAAAATTGATCTAAATCATATTATAACTTTTCATTATCATTAGTTAAATAAATTAGTATATAGAGTTTAAGGTAATCAGTGATCATTAAGAATTTACTGTACTTAAAGATGTTTTTGGCGTTATCCATAAATAACTAGAAGAATATAGGTGATAAGTGTCCTCCTTGAGGGACCCCGGACATGACATTGATAATCGATGAAGTAGAAGTATCTACCTAATTTAACTTGTTGAGTTCTATCATATAAGTATGATTTAAACCATTTAATTAATGATCCAGAGATGCCATTATACTCTAATTTTTTTACTGAATAGATATATCAATACAATCGGACGTTTTTTTAATGTCTGTGTAAGCTATATCTACCAATAAACCTTTACTGACTAAAGACTAAAGTTCTGTATAGTACCTACACCAATAAATTTGTTAAAGTTGATTAGGCATAACGAAATCTACATGACCATTTTGTTCATCAGAAATTATATTAATAAATACTGATATTGTTTTAGGTACTAAATAAGCGTGAAATAGGATGGTATTTTTTACCATGTTTCGGTTACCTGATTTATGTATAAGATAAATATAACTTGATTAATGTTAATGAGTGAATTATTTAAGAATACTAGATCAAGTTATGTTCCTTGAGTATTTAGTGTATTATTTAATTTATATAAATTTAAAGAAGAAAAACATTCACAAATTAAATCTGAGAATTTGGATCTACGACCGCTACATTTTAAACCAATAATATTACTTGTGAAACGAACACGAGGTAAATTATAATGACAGTACAATATTAAGTTAATTTCAAAAAAAAATTTATTTAGTAACCACTTAACTGTTTCAATGTGTGTACTATGAATGCTAGATGGACTGCTTGGTGGTAAATAATAAATCTAAAATTATAACCCCATTCATCTAGTACAAATAATTGTTTAATAATATCTGGTTTTACATCAATAATTTCGGGATCAAAACTTTCATCAACTAACTACTTAGCTACACTACTACTAGTGCAATTACTCGTTTTATTAATAAAATATATTATAACGGTTAAAGTCGAGTTCTGCATCTAAAATATTTGAAATTAACCAAGTTTTCAGTGAATACAAAATAATCATAAGTAAGTATTAGAATGTTACATCTAAAAATTTTAACTTAGTACATAAACCATAAATCCCTTACGTTTTGGTAATAACTACTAATTGATTCTTTATAAATAGTTAGCCATTTGTTAATACTACTATTATTTAATTTAAAATGAAAACACAAACGACACAAATTATGAATTTTTAAGGTATGATGATTTAGTTTTTTGGAATACCATCGACATATATAATGATTGAAAATGAATCGCTTTCTAAATTTTCGGACATATAACTTCTCCTACGAGTGCTTTCATTTGACATTTTTGGCTACAAGTTAGGTCAGCGTTTATCCAGACATTTTTCCATTTATCGAATGATCGTTGAACTGCTTTATATTTTGCATTGGAAACATCATCAAATTCAATTAACGAATACCTGGTAGAACGATTTTTGCACATACGCTTAGCTTGTACAAAACTTAAATTTAAAGCAAGATCGGATAAGATATTTTTAGCAAACAACAAAGAATTATCAACAGATTCATTGTTAAATTAAAAATTATCACATTACTTCAATACTACTTTTAATTATTCTATTTTATGCTTCAGTTATTATTTTCTCATTCGATAAATTATTGTTCTAATTATGATTAGTTTTGAACGTTACGATTTCGCTACATAAATTACTTATTTTATCATTTAAAATTATATTTTACAAAATCAAATCGATTAATTATATTCCTGCATTTTTTTCATTTATATATTTTTTGTTTGTATTGTATATTTACTTAAAATACTTAATTACTTACTTAAAATAATCCTGGACCCAACTAGTGT